GGGAAACAATCATTACAGCATTAGCTGTAAATTATTACAGCAGTATGTCCTCTACAGATCACAATCCAGATGAGAAATCCTTGTGTTCTTTGGCACAGTTCACTTGATTCTCAATTTCCTTTAGTAAACCTACCTTATCAAAGTATTTGTTTGCAATTTATATTCTCTTTACTTGTTTTTTTTTCTTTAAACTAGCCCCTCTCCCAAGCCACTGACCATTCCACAAATAAGTTTTAGTCCTGGCAGGTGTCTTGTGCTCAGGTCTCTACTAGCTCAGTGAGTTATCCTCAACTGCACTCTTTTATATTAAGGTCAGCTCTTGCAGAGAAACATATCAAACAGAGCTTGATAAATATAGAATCTAGTAATTGGATAGTCTTCATCTTTGCTTCCTCCAGTCAGTCAGTGTATGATGTGCAGGTACAGAATGTTTGTTGTTGTTGACCCTCGGTGTCCTTCTTGATGACGTGACTATCAACTGAGAGCCTAGCTTGGCAACGGTGTCTGTTTGCTTCTTTTCAGTGGAGGATCAGGTGTTTGGAGCACATTGTTCTCCGTCTGCTTTGGATTTATTGCTGCTTTACTTGCAGCCCAAAATAATACGATCTGACAAACCCAATAATATAACCACTGTAAGGGTATTGCTTTATTAAGAATATCATAGTGAAATCCAAGCGTATTTATTGAAAGACTTTCTTATTTAGAAGAATAGTGCTTTATAAGGTGCCCATTGTGCAAGAAAAGTTAGCTTTAGAGATGCTGCTCGTGGAAATGGTGGCCTTCCTTTATAAATGGTCTGAGGCCAAATCGATTTACTGCCAGTCATACTTCCCATTTGATTTGCGTTTATAATTCCAGTTAGCATTGGCCAGAATTTGGTTTTGATTTCTAAGTGAAGTGGCTTAGTGTTTTCTCAAACCATCTATAAAATGTCAACTTTTAATTGTCCAGATTTATCTTGATAAAGAGAGAAAAACTATTTAAGTGGCGCCCATGTTTGCATTCAAGTTAGATGGAGGTTGATGTAACCCGATCAACTTCAGAACTTTTCGACTCCATGCATCTTTTTCTGTCTCTCTCACTCTTCCTCTTATCTCATTCAGCGGAGTCCTGTAGCTTAATGGTTAGAGCACTTGCCTCGCAAGCGAGAGAACTTGGGTTCGGCTAATCTGTCTTTGAAGTGAAGCTTCTGCAGTTGATAATTTGACAGATTTTTGCACTGGTTTTCAAATGGACTCTCAAACCGGAGTATCTGTATTTCGATTCAATTTGAAGCACTGAGCTCAGTCAGCGAATTGGTCCCCCTGAATCATTGATGTCTACAGCCTTTTTGTATCAACGTGATAAACTGTCCTAAAACATGATGCTTTATGAAAATATCACATTATTATGAAAGGGTTCCCCTGGACCTTGAGGTGGTTTGAAGGCCCTTTGGATGACACTGCCTACTTGTTGTTAGTTTGGACCATTGCAGTTTACTTAATGAATTACCACAGGTCCAGAAAGGGCTGCCATTCTTCATTACTTTATGCAGTACATTCCTGAATGCTGTCCTGTTGGCACTGATGCAAGGGCATTGGGAAATACGCTGCTCAACACTGTGCATGTTATGTCTAAAATACAAGTGATTTCCCTACTTTGTACTTGATGGTGAGCAGAGATTCCTCCAAGCATCGGGACCCCCACCAGGCATGAAACTGATAGAAGTGTGAATTTAAAATAGAGAGAAAGCAGAATTAGAAAGTAATTGGGCAAGATAATATCAAACCAAGAGTACAAGGGAATGCAAAGAACATTTTTCTAAATGTATTCATAGCATGGAAGTGGCCAAGGAAGGAGTAGAACCAATATTTGAGGGTGGATTATTCTGGAATGACCAGGACAATGTTACACAGCTTTTTCTTTGTGTTTTTGTTCACAGAAGTTAGGAGTTGCCTATTCCGTAGTGACAGGAGAATTTTCAGGGGCAAGTGAACAAAATAGAATAGAGTTCTCAGATTTTAAAAAAGAGTACTCAAATAAAAAATAATAGAATTATCAAATAAAAAAGAATGAGTTCTCAAATAAGGAGATGACAGATACGATGAGGGCATTGAAAGATGACAAATCAACAGGACCAGATGGACTTCACACTGGGAAATGTAGGGAAGTGGCTAATGAAATCTGGCAGATCTGGTGGGTATCTTCAGGGTCTCACTAGAAGATCAAGAATAAGTCACAGCATTGGTAGTGGGCTAGCACAAAGCAATGAGCTGGTTCCCACCTGTTGTAAAGCTCTGCAGTTCACACTGCGCTAGAGATATCTCGTCATGGAGAGAGTGCAGTGATAGGTGGACATGTAGGTACGTTCTCTTACAGTATATTCTGTGAAGCGCTTTGTGACGTCTAGAAGATGTGAAAAGCACTATATCAAATGCAAGGATTATTATTACTCTTAGCTTCAAGAAGAGACTGGGAATATGCATCCTGAAGAAAATAATAATGTTGATTTTTTTTCGAGTGTTAAATGGCATAGATAAAATTGACTCCAATAATGTGTTCAGTTGAGTCATGAGTCTACAAGAAGGAGTTTTAGTCTCAAGCTCAGAAGAGGGAAGGTGAACAGACAGTGTTGATCTAACTACTCTGCAAAGCAGTTCGTGAATATGTGCAGGAGATTTCTGCAGCTAGGCAATGAAAAACAATTGTGTTGACAATTTCAAGAGACGATAAGATGGTATATAAAGGAGGCAGATGGGGGTTAGAAAATGGGACCAGAATGAATCTTTCCTGATTTTATGTTTTCCTGTTTCTCCAACGGCTCAGTTTGTAAGTTCACTGGCCATCATGGAACTGAGCTGTACAGATGGGGCAGGTCCCATGTTCAGTGCCCAGTCCATGCTGTCAGTGGATCTCAGGCTGGCCTGCCAATCATAGCCCTACAGTGGGCCTCAGAGTCCCTGAGCTAGGGTGAGGAAACAAACCCCCCCCACGTTTCCTGCTTCTATGCATGCTAGGCATCAGATGTACAATTATTCTGACTCCTGTGATGCCTCCTACAGACAAATAGCTTGCTGAACACTTGCATGTGGTGTGTGGTGCTTAGGTTAGGTGCCACAGAGCTATATATGGGGTACAAGTCTGCCCTTTTACCATTAGAAGAAGTACGAACTAGGATTTCATACGCTGATTTGCGATGAGAGATTGTGAAGTATGCAGGCAGCTATGAGAACAGATTCATAATATCTTCTGTGGAAGGAAGTGCAGTCATGTTGTCGGATAAAGTACTTTTCCCACACAGGATGAAAAGCCAAGCAATCATAGGTAACGCACACAATTGATTTGGGGATTTTTTTCACTTTTTTTTATATATATATATTAGCATTTCATACCCGTTCCTTTTCCCAGGTACCACATCCTCTCATTTCACCATCTAACTCCTATATAGATATAAAATATATAGATATTGTAAAATATATACACAGAGAGAGAGATAGATTTATATAATAGAAATATATAGTTCTTGTATAGATATCAAATTCAAACTTGTGACTACTGAATCGGCTAACTCAGAACAAATCAGGGATGAAACCTATGCTGGCAGGGATTCTAATGCCCTGCCCTGCTTTGTGCTATCTGTATTGTGCTATTTGAGGCAGTAGTGGCTCAGTTTTGAGGAATGGCTTTTTTATGTTTTGGACCCATGGAGGATTTGGACCTCTGGAGAGCACTGCAGTTAAACTTCGCTGAATTACATTCTAGGAACAAAAATGTTCTCAGCAGGCAGGCATCTGCTGCCCTCTGCTGTTACTTGCAGCTTACTGCAAAACGACCAAGGAGTTTCCCATCTATTCTAATATTATCACTTTGGCAATGTCTTTATTTTGCACGTTTTTTTGCCTGCCCACCACTCACAGCCTAAATTGTTTGAGTAAGACATTTAAAGGGCAGCCTTGTGCATCCACTTGTTGAATAGGAGCTGCCACTTTGACTGCCTTTCCTATTTACAATGAGCCAACCCAGCAAGGTAAGGACTGAAATGCTCATAACAATGTCAACAAAACATCAGCTAGATTGAAAATAATGGCTGCTTGGAGGAGAGTGCTCAACTAAATCAGGAATTAGATGGTATTATCTATTGATTAATAAGTGGTGGGACGAAAATATTATGAAGGGCTTCAAAAATGAACAAAACATGTTTCTATCAATTAAAAGGAGATGGCTATTTAAATTTGGAGGTAAATATACTGAAGGAATCTTGGGGGAAATTAGATGGATAGGCTTGTTGGACCAGTGATCTACTGGTGCCTACAACTGTTGCTACTGTATGTTTTTTTACTCTAATAACAGATGCCAGGGATTAATTGCATGGAATGACTTAAGAATAGTTTGCAGGTAGTATTCCAAGATACCACTTTAACTTGAAGAGAGAGGCCAGGTTTTAGAAAGATGAACACAGATTTGTTGAGAAGCTTTGCTCAGGAGGGTGGTTAAGGACATTGTTCCCTTTGGTATAGGCTGAATGGGCAGAAGCATCACTTTCAGGGAGCCAACACCTGTCTTGCGTTGCGTGTGCATTGAAACACGGCAGATTTTGTACATTCTGCCATATTGGGTGTATGTACTGTGCCTAAAATATTGCGTTAAATCATTGTGATGCCATTGACTGACATGGAATCTCAAAATGACTTTCTTCCACGAGTCTCTTTATTTTACTCTGCTTTCATTTAAAATCTGGAAACGTGTTGTCAGTGTTCACCGACAGTGGGTTCTTGAATTATCTATAACGTATTGCCCAGGACGTGCCTCCCCTAGTTCCTCTGTTGAATCTATTTCTATAGTGTTTAAAGTATCTCCAGCTATTAGCTATACCTTCCTGCTTGTCAAGCGTTCTAATAATCTTCTCACCGGGAAGCATGTCACATAATGATGAGAATCTGTTGTGTAGCTGGGATCTAATGGGTGATACAGACCTTGTGTTAGAAATTGGTTGCTTGACAGCTCCCTCTTGTGTCTTGCAGGGAGCCCAGAAAGGTGGTGCTGCATCGCGGATCAACAGGACTGGGCTTCAACATTGTAGGTGGTGAAGATGGAGAAGGCATCTTTATTTCATTCATTCTTGCAGGTGGCCCGGCCGATCTGAGCGGTGAATTAAGAAAAGGGGATCGGATTATTTCGGTAAAGATTCTCTACATTGACCATCATCACTTTTTGTGTTTGCGTGTATTTTTAGGCTCGGAATGCTTTGGTCATGTCCTTGCTTCCAAAACTTCTGTGCCCTGCACAAACTTCCACCCTTCAGGCTGCTGGCACTTTATAATCACAAAGCTGCCACTGTCTTCAATGATGCTAGCTTTTATACTGAGCTCAGTTACCCCACTGAATTCCCACACAAATTTTACATGATTGTATTACATCTCATCTTAAATCTCATGATTTATTTTTCCTTCCATATTTCTCCTATCAATTTCCTCCCCTCCCCCTCAGCATGTTGTATTATTTGTCCTACTGCAATATGGTTCCTCACACTTCTCCAGTATCTCACCCGGTGCTGATTATTAATATGTGAGCCTCGACAGCAAGTGTCAACAGGCTAGTTTACTTAAATCTTTGACATCAACACAGAAGAGAGCTGATTAATCTGCACTAATTGGGACCACTAAGCAATCATGGCTAAGCATACAGTGCATACAATTCTACAATAACCAAAATGCGAATTGGTTACAGTGCAAACTAAATTATTCCATCAGGAATTATACTGTCAGCATTGTATCACATTCTGCTATTCCTCTCTCGACTCTTTGTCTTACTCTGCCTCACCCTCTCTGTCTCTCTTTAACATTCTCTATCTCATTCTAACTCGCCTTTTCTACATTGTACAAAAACGTATTAACACCTTCATGCTGTTGGTGAAAAAATCCAGTTCACACAAGGTTTCTAAATCCTGTGAATTATTTGTGCTGCACAGCTTTATTGTGCCCTGATATCGAGTGTGCTGCCCCTCGTATGTGGCTTTAATCCCTGCTTTCACCCTGTGCACCTGCCATTTTGGAAGCACCAACAACCTTCCTCCTTTAAAATTGAAAGGATACAAGGGTGGGACTAAATTGAGACCAGTGGATTTTGAAGTTCCCATCTATTATGTTTTTCTCTCAGCTTTTTTCTTTGACTATTGCTGAGTAGCTCGTCTTCCCCAACTCTCGCTTCTGTTCCAAAATCACACCATCTCCACCTTTGAGAATTATTGTTGGCCTAAATTTTCAGCTCTCTTGTGGAGGATGAAATGGGCAACTGGTGCCTTCCAAGTATAGGTGTGTGTCTTGTATTCAATTGCCGGCAAGACTGATGGTATGATCTTGAATGTGAAATTGTCTCTCCTCCAGTGCATGCAGGATCTTTTACTTGTGGTGGAGATGCAACCAAATTAGAACTTAATTGGATTTCTGAGTAAATATTTCAAAGGGAAGATACTCCTGCAATGTTGGAGGGTGTAAGTGAAGGCTTCAGGAAAGCCTCCAAGCATTCAGTCCCAGTATCTAACTATCCTCCCAATTCTTTACGGTAGGTGAATGGCATTGACCTGCGGGGTGCCACCCACGAGCAGGCTGCAGCAGCGCTCAAGAATGCTGGCCAAGCCGTGACCATTGCTGCCCAATACAGACCAGAAGGTGAGTGCAGGATTCAAAGCATTTTTATTCTGTTTTCACTGCATGTTTTGTGCATGTTAAACCTTTCTGAGCAACTGGAGTGATTGTTTGTATTCAATAACCATGTTAATAAAATAGTCACTGAATGAGATTAGTTGCTATCAAGCACAACCTGTCCTGAAGGCCTGCGTGTAAAGGATGTACATTAAAGGAACTTCTGCGGATTTACTTCATTAGCTGCTCACATAGTGTGTGCAGTGTCCTCTCAGCATCTCAATAGCCAAGAGCACTTGTGTCCCCTGTTCCCTTGTGGGAAGGAAAATTGTTCCCTGAGCACCATCGCCATTATTATGAAACCTAATGGTAAGCGACTATGTTGAATTCTTTTGGATTGTCTCTCTATTTGGAGATGTTTAAGTCAGAGTGTGGGAGTCTTACTTACCTGGAAAATACTTGTTTGGAAATGCTTCTCATGGCATGGTAGCTTGATGGGCCAAATGGTGGCCTTCTGTGCTGTAATTATGGTACAATACGTGCAGTTTGTTCCTTTTAAAAATTATTGTTGCACGGTGTCATGCTTGACTGTGTACCATTGAAGCAAGAGCTAGTGTGATGATCCATTGCCTTCAAGCTTGAGAGTACATGCCTGTGGTCTGAGTCATCAGGAGGGCAAACTGGTTCCACAAAATACACATTGCCACAATCTCTTTACAGTGTACCCTGTGAATCACTTTGAGACATCTCAACAGCAAAATGGTAGATCAATTGGGTGAATAGCCTACTTAATAATAATAATAATCCTTGCATTTGATATAGGAAACTTGCCCAAGGTTTCGCCCTGCCAGGAATTGAACTCAGGTCTCTCACTTGGAAAGCGAGTGCTCTAACTACTGAGCTACAGGACATCCGTTGATAACTTACTGATCCTTGACTGAGAATTGCACATGAGCATTGGCACACAGAGGACTGCTGCCGTGTACATTTCTCTACATAACAATAGGATATTGTAATAAACTGCTTCGGTCGGGAAGATCATCCAGCAACACCGTCCCTCTGAGCACTCCTGTCTGATGAGGCAGTCTTTCCTCGGTCCAATGTGCAACATCTACTCCTACTCTTGTCTGTTATGCAAATCTGTCTCACAAAAGAGGTCATAGTTATCATTTTTCAAGTTCTCAATTTGGTTACAAAAGCAGTTTAATCCATCAAACAGACTGGTTAACTAAATAGTTTCTTACTCTGAAGAATTTTGTGGTGAGGAGGAGCTGCGCCAGTCCCAGTGTTTGCAGCTGAGCGTTGTGTCTACTGTGGGCTGAGCTTGATTGTTTTGGGTTCTGCTTTGATATTAAATAATCTGCAGATAAACTAATATTCTGTTGAGAGGGGAAAGTGGGGGGGGCGGGGGTTAGTGTGGAGGGGTTCAAGGCTAAGCTCAACAGAGATGTTGTAATCATCTTGCAATCCCTCTCCCCTGTACTATCGCGCTTCATCTGGAGAGCGCTAAATAACATGTTAACATGCCAGTGATGAAGAAAGGTTAGCCTGCACAGTCGGTTAAATTGTCCAATTAGATTTGGCATTTGGGTTTTGCACCAGAGTTAAGGCATCTGCCCATGTGCACAACATGCACAGTGTGGTATCTCCAAGCCATCTGGTGAAACACAGCTCTCCAGATCCTTGTAATAGTTACCTCTTGTTTAGTTGCTGCCGGCTGTGCAAGTCCAGCTTTTCAACTAGCCTGATTTCTACAGTTGTATATAAAAAAAATTGCTTAAGCGAATGTTACCTCCTAGACCTGTACGTGGAGTGTACAGGACCAATAAAGACCATGTGTCCACCTGGCCATTACGTGGCGTTGTACATAGCTCAATCACTCAATTCTCACTGCCCTGGAATAACCTATATTGTTTTTGTTTGATAGCTGGATGGACCCAAGTCAGTACCATCTGGCTGCTAACATTCAGTGACGCAGAAAGAGAACGGGTGGCACCAATGTGGCAGCATCGTGCAGTGATGTCACTTGTTAGCGGGAGGCACACTGTTAATAAAGAGAATCAGTGGGTTCTTGGTCAGCAGCTTGTGTGTTGGATCACTGGGATATAGGTTCCTGCCAGAATTCCTGATATTGCAATCAGTTATAGTCTCGAGAAATGGAGCCAGATCTCCCCCTACACTAACTGCGTTTCCCCCCAGAATGACAAGTCTGCTTATGGTTCTTTTGCCAGTGAGTACAGGGTGTTTTCTCATATCTAGTAATCTGTCATCTTGTGGCCTAAACGGTGTAGTTCTGACAGAGTGTTAACATGGGTTACAAATGAGGTTATTCCACCGAAGCTTCAGCCCTGGCTGAGAGAATTTCACTGCACCAGAGAATTTCACTGCAGATCAGGGATCGAACCTATGACTTTCCTCATGTATAAGGCTTTCTGTACAATTTCACATCAACTGGCAAATGTAGTTACAGCATGAGACACAAGGGGATCTTTTTCTCTTATTGAGTTTTATCAGAATTTGGTGTCTTTACATCGTGTTTTTTAATTGAAAGGTTGACTATTCCAGGACGGCTTACCTTGGTCATAAACCACTATTATGGAAATTTGTCAAATGTTTGCTGGTAATCGAGCACAACCAAGTCTCCAGCAGCTTGGTTAAACATCAATCCATGCTACCCTTTAGCAAGTAATGGACCCGGTGTAATTCAGTTAGCACTCTCTCAGAAGGTTGTAGGGACTTTGAACTAATTAGCTAAGCTGACACCAATGCAGTGTTGGGAGAGCAATGCATTGCCGGAGGTACCATCCTTTGGTTGAGAGATTAAAAGCCAAGATCCCATCAACATGTTCAGGTGGATGTTAAAAATACAAAAGCGCTAGTTCAAAAGGAAAGGGAGTTACTTATTATAAAATGTGATAGCTTGTTTAGTTACTTGTCTGTCCACAAATGTAAACAATTTACTATTATTTCATTTAGCAATTAAAATATATTTGAGCTAACCATACTGTTGCTTACCTCTCTAATAAAATGTGCAGCAATGCATGAAGTCACAGTGGCTTAAAGCTCCACCCGTTATTGATGCAATGTTCTCTGAAAATTTGCACGTGTGAAATACCCGGACCGCATGCTCAATGTTTATTTGCAAGTTTCTCCCCTCCCCTTCAAAACCCCTCACAGCTACAACATGTATAGGTTTGTACAATCATTTCTGAATAAGCTTTGTTTAAGTCAACAAGGCTAAGTTTCTATGAAACTTGCTATGTCTCATCTTTATAAAATGGGCATTTTTATCCCCTATTCTCTGCGTTGCGTTCTTTCCTCTGCAGCGTTCCCATCCTGGCCCTGATCCAGAAGGGCAGCTGAAAATGGAGACCACCCCTGTCCTCTGTTTATTATATTAAAAAAAAGGTTAAAATGCATTGGTGCAAACTTGATGTTCCTGGTTTTATCGAGGCTAACTTGCTCTGTGCAGTACAGTGATTCTTATCTAATAGTACTTTCTTTGTGCATCTTATATTCAAGTTATGCTTTGAAGAAAAATTCATTGAATTGGATTGTCCAGGCGCAATTGTGAAGTTTTTTTGGACTTTATAAGATACTTAATATAAATGTTGAATAAACATACTATGTGCTCCTGTTATTGTATTACTATGACAACTGTGTTGGGCTGGCTTAGTCTCCCTATAACAGATGTCTGTTCACAATTTCAGCCAGGAAACACAGTGCTAACATTTTGTCCTAATTGTCAGGAAACTGGCTTCAAAACTAAGTTTTCCAGCAAGTCAGGTATCGTGGTCTTGGTGTTTAACCTGTGAGACAGAAGAGTCATTACTGCAGAAATTGGTCAACACCAACTCCTCAGAGTTAAACCATTTCTGCTGTGAAGCTGCTTTGCAATCAAAGGAGGCTTTATCCAGCAAGAGATCAGTATCAGAGCAGAGTTCCAGAGGCATGGACCTAATGTGAGGTTTTTTTTAATATATGCATTTGTTTATAAATATAATATTTGGTACAACAGAAATCCCAAACAAATACAACGTACAACTCCACACGCCTAATAATAATCCCTCCAAAAACAAAACAATAATAAACTGGTCATTTTCAATCTACGACTGTTTGTGGGACATTGCTGTGCGCAATTGGCTGCCGCGTTCGCCCACAAATATACAGTCAATTCACTTTTCATTGTTTACGGTACATTCTTTCACCGCAGATAGGTTCTGCACACTTTTTTGGGGATATTCCCTTTAAAACAGTCGGGAGTCGCCCCGATGTGCACCGTACGCGCACATGTTTATCGTACATACATTTTTAGGATGCTCTTTGGTTACATCTCGAGCATCTTCCTGTACGTTTTGGGTGCGCCCAGAGCGGAATTTGAGAGTTTGGTGCGTCAGAAGTGGGTGGGGGAGTGAGCATTTCAATGCACTTGGGGGTTTGGGGTGGGGGAATTAGCTGAAAAGAAACCTGCATGCTCTCTGTACCAAAGTTACCTTTTCACTCAATGTGGGATCAACTCACTCATTTTCATTATCTATTTTCCCTCCTTCTTCTCTTCCCGCATTCACCCCCCATCCATACCCTGCTGCCTTTAGTGTGTTCCTGCTCCTTGAGGTACATTGAAAGTTGAAATGGTTAATGATCAGAAGTTGACAATGCTGAGCCAGGATTTGCATAAGGTGATTTGCATTAAAAGGGATTAGAATGTATTCAGGAGCATTAAAAAAAAACAATTGGATATGAATGGATTTTGCACATATCCAAATTACATATTACAGTTCAATATTGTTAACTAGTTTCTGGGAAATAGACTGTATTAGGAATTTAACCCTTAGATTGCATACCGACAGGTTTACAGACCCGTTTTCCAGCTGTACATTTGCCCGCAGCATCTCTTGGAATGGGCTTCAGTGGTGTCTGAATTTATAATCCTTGATTTGATATAGCGCCTAATCACATCCTTGAGGTGTCTTAAAGGTCTTCATGGGATATACCGTAAAGTAGATTGACTGTGTATTTTGAAGGTGAAATGTGGTAGCCAGTTTGCGCACAGGATTGTCCCACCAACAGACAGACGGGACCTTGGTTTAATGTCTCATCCGAAGATCTAGGTGACTATGGGCATCTAGGATTATCCCAGTTTCCAGCCTCCTCAGTGCAGCTTCTGACACCCTTACCTAATTTCCCCTGCAACTTTATCATCTGAAAAGGCGGCTTTTGATTGACACTGAACAATGTTTTACATTATGAATGCAGTTTAAAAATAAACCCAGTTTGAATTCTGCAAATATCTCTGGCTCCCTTTGCTGCTAATGTCCTACAACACTGATGCATGTTCCACTGAGCCTTTCTGTCCCTGCAACAAACTTCTGCTTCTGGATTCAAACTGACTGATGTTTTGTTGAGGGGAAAATACTGTGGTCTCTTTTCTTACTACTGCAGGCTGAGCTAAAGCCATTGAGAATTCTTATTAAACATAAGAGTTATGACTGGTTATGCTTATGGACAAATATACTTTGTAAATCTTTTAGCAAAGCTTTGTGCTGGTACTATTGAAATCAGGTTGACAGACAATCAGCTTCACCAGAACATTGCAATTATCTATTGCGAGAGGCCAGGCAACAGTACAGATCAGGACCCTCTTCTGCCTACCTACCTCTGGTCAGGATAGGATTGTGGTATAGAGATGTATAAAGGTACCTTAACCTGCAGTGTGATTCATAATGTTACATATTTAAAATGTGTAACTTATCCATCCTTGATTTGTATTTTCAACCTGTAGTTTGGAACTTCAATTCTGCTTGATCTGAATCATTAACATGTCACTTTCACTTTCTCCCTCTGCCTCCAAAAGGCTCTTTAATAACCTCTCTCTCTCTTGGTCAGTATCCTCCAACTCCCATCTTCTCATTCTGCATGATGATCTCCATTTCCTGTTTTGAGTATATTATCTTATGTGGAAGTTGCTATACTGAATAAGGGCAAGTTGTTGTACTTCACATTGTCCGGGTATTTCACATATGCAAATTTTCAGAGAACAATACATCAATAACGGGTGGAGCTTTAAGCCACTGTGTCTTCATGCATTGCCGTACATTTTACTACAGTGGTAAGTGAAAGTATGGTTAGCTCAAATATATTTTAATTGCTAGGTGCAATAATAGTAAATTGTTTACATTTGTGGACAGACAAGTAACTAAACCAAAAAAACAATGTTTCCAGTGACTTTTTCAATGATCAATATATAGTTTTGTGCTTGCAGTCTTTCTGGGGGTCTTTCCCTCCTCTTGTTCCTTTCCTCTCTCTCCCTTCCCCTTCACTTCATGTACAAGCTGAATCTGATGGACTGTGTTTGTCTGACCATCGTGAGATGCAATGTTAAATCTTGAGATCACAGCTTCCATTGGCATTCAGATCCATGCTGCGTTCTTTACTAGGCTTTTACTTCTAACATCTCATGACAAGGGGTGGGAGAACTTTGCCAGGATTCCCAAGTCCCTTTGAGGTGCATGTTTCGTGTTAGCTCACAGTGGTGTTGATGGGATGGCATCAGTGGCTTCCATTTGCTGGCTTCTGGTTTGTTAGTGGTGAGACTTTTAGTAAATCCATAAACGAACTGTCAGGTTCTTAGATAATACAGTGAAACAGGGGAGCTAATGCATTTTCCTTACGAGGCAGGAAAGAGATGGAGGGGGTGAAACCAGGAGAAGAGGCTGATGTGACAGATCTTTCCTCAAGAATCCTTTTAGCTGTAGCAGACTACAGAGAAAATTTGCCTACCTGTTCTCTCAGCTTGTGACATAGTGCCAACTAATGGGGGGGTGAACTCGACAGGGGCAGCAACCACTTACATTAAAATGAAACAAGAAAGAAACAGCTTATTCTGAAGAGAAATCGGGACCAGTCTAGTCTCACTTTAATTGTTAAACTTCTAGAAAGTGTTAACTGTGTAGAACACAGTGTGTGAGCTTTGCATGACAGTTTGCATATTAAGGAGTAGGTCACGATATTAATATTAATACCGCATTTGCCTGGTTGTCTAATCTTGGCCGACTGTATGATAACTGATAGTCCCGGTGCAATCAGCAGCGTGGCGATGCAACAGAGTCATTCTGTGGACTCGGGAGTCTAGTTGCATCTGTTGTGACGTTTTAGTTACAGTCTCTGACCTCCATTGTAGCATAAAGAAAGTGGTAATCGCTGCTGATCAGCAAGCTGGTTGTAAGTGCTCGTTCAGCGATCGGATGTTCCAATTTAATGTCAGCGGGGGAGCGGATGGAATTTCGGGAACAATGCTGAAAATGATCTCCTGTTAAACAAAGGTGATTTAAGATTGTTTCTGCCGATGTTGGATAATGAATTGAATGAAAAGATAGCAAGAGAAGTTGTGCGTTTGAGATTTCTGTCGATGGATTAGTGCTGAGTATTGCAATATTGTGAAAGCTCTGACCAGAATGAGTGCACTCGAGTCTAGCAAAGGATTTGCAGAATTTGCCTTGTGTGCAGAAACATGGTTTGTGGTTTTTGCAGCAAAGTTGGTCCTGGTGCTCATGAAAACTGCAGCAGCTTAAATGAATACCATCAACTAAGCAGAGCTGTCACAAGTAGTTGGTTGTTGCAGACTGGGATGTTCAAAATAAATGTAAAATACTGAGCAGTATTGTCGGTTAGTAGGAACATTAATTTTTGGATGCTGAAATTGTTGTTTAGAATTGCTATATAATATATTTAAGATTTGTGAGTCTGATATTATGTTCCATATTTATCTTGTTCCTACTAATGAGTCCCAAGGTTGGAAGATTTCAAGTAGAAAACTCTAAATCTACGTCAGTCACCTGCTGGATAAATGCTGTTCAGTTTCGTTCTCGGCTGCTCTTAAAACAATGCGACTTCCAGGAATGAAAACAGAGACTTCCCAAAAGCACATCTGCAGAGTGTGCGCACTGCTCTGCCAGCACATCCACTAGATCACAAAACCGTTCAATAATTCAGCGCATTATTTTAGCTTCTATCTCCCGTGCTGACAATGTTCACGGCGTTTTGTGTTGGTAACTGCTGCTGTTCAGGCTGCGTTTAATTACTCTCTTCCCACCCCTTCCCGGTCGGCCCTCTGCACAGCTGCTTTGTTCATGTAAAACACTTTGTGTTAAAAGATAATTGGTTTAAGCAATGGTTAACAGTGGAGAGCTACAAGCAATCTAATGCAGGGGTTCAGTCGCATGAAATACATGAGCAAAGCTCAGATGATTCAATAGCCTTCTGAACCCCAAGATTAGACTGCAATCCTGCAAGCACGTTATCTGTTTGAATGTGAATAATAATTCCCTTCTGGATTGGGTCTGTCTGATGTGTTCTTGTGCTAGCTGGGGCAGACAGCAGCTGTCAGTGTATTACACCCTCCCCCCGTGTGACTTCTACTCCAAAGTGTTCCCAATTGTGATCCCTTTCTCTTGTATAATGGTGAAATATAATTGATTGCTAAGAAATCGTAACTCCAATATAAATGGTAATCCCTTTGGATAAGCATGAATCTAGATTCAACAGAACCTTAGCCTGAGATCTATAAACAATCTTACTTTTCGTTCACTCATAGTTAACGCTGTAATTGCAGAAGTGATCATTTGGAAGTGTCTGTTACATTTGAAAGACCCAAAGGAGGAGGCTTTCCAGTTCTTCATGCTGTTGCATTTCTTTCAATTAACATGAAAAATAATCGTTTGCCAACAGTTGTAGTGAACCTCACACTTCTCTGTCAGACACTAAGCAAATCAATTGAGTTCTGGAGAGCCTTGCTCTGCTCCCACTGTAACTGAGGTGAGCCTTTTCCCATCCAATGTGTAGCTTCTCTACCGAGATGTGTAAGTGTCAGGGCAGTGTCGGCAGTGTGTGCTTTGCTGTGGAGCTCATTAGTAGAGCACAGTGTAGTAAACTGCACAGAGTGCAGCTCATGAGTGAGTTACACCAGTGCACAGAACAGGCAGTAATGATGGTGGTGGAGTGAATAAGCAGTCTGTGCTGCACAATTTTAAAGTATTTCATATTCAGTCTGCAGCTGACCTGCCTTCGATGTGCTTTCCCCTCTGATCCTGTGCCGGCCTGGTATGCTTGCGTAATGAATTATGATTTTATATTTATTTTTGCTTAGCTTTTACGTGGTTGGTATAATTGGTTCAAGAGAAGCTGTAAATAGTTTGCTCTTTGCTCCTTTCTCAGAATACAGCAGATTTGAAGCTAAAATCCATGACCTGCGGGAACAGATGATGAACAGCAGCATCAGTTCCGGATCAGGGTCTCTGCGCACCAGTCAAAAGCGATCCCTTTACGTCAGGTAAGGACACAAAGTGCTGCTCCTGTACTGTGAGGTGGGGGGGAGAGAGAAGGAAGAGGGGGAGTTTACTTGCTTTGGTCTTTAAATTACAAATTGTGTGATGCTGCTGTATATTTCCCAAATGTCTTGAGTTCTCAGTTTGAAAATTCCTTCCAATTCTATTCCTTCTAAGTATTCCTAGTGGTAGATTTAGTTTTCCAGTCATCAAGCAGAGAACAAACTCTGTCAGAACCTGATTTACGTAAGCAAATATTTGAAGGTCTTTTTATAGTTTAGAATCTTCTTGATGGTGGCAGCTTGGACTGTGATGTTTCCATTTTACATATACTGGAGTACCGCAGGACTGAGAGTGAGAATGAGCCTTCGCTGCTTTTGATGGTCTGTTCATTATATTTAAGAACAGTTGTCTCCACCCCGCGCGCTGACTCTCTCTCTTGCGGGCTCTCACGCACACGCACTCTTTTGCTGTCTTTCCCTTGTTGAGCTCATTGTTTCTTGTTGTCTAAATCCTGCCCTCTTCTTCTCCCCAAACTGTTTAATCTCTCCCCACATCTATCTCTTTCCGCTCTTCCCCCACCCCTGCATCTAAAGTTAGTTAGAGTTTCTGCTCCCTCTCCATCACTAACCTCCTCCCTCCCTTCCACGCCCTCCCCCCCCCCCCCCGGACCCTGGTTGTCTATCCCTGCCTCCCATCGGTCTTCCTCCACCTCAAATTCCAATTGATGCCTAGCAATACAATCTTAAAAACATTTGCCTTTCTATTGCTGAAATTAATTCTTGCTGTTTGGACTTGCAGAACAGTTGAGTCTGTTGTAGGCTATGGTGGCAGCTGTGAGTGAGTGGCTGGTTGCTCCAAGTTGCTCTTAGTTTATACTTTTTCAAAACCTTTGTGTTCAGCCCTTTCAGCCTGAGTCACGCTGCAGCTCCAGCTGTCAGCTGCTCCAGGAAGAAACCCTAGTCCACGTGTGCTGCACACAAAGCATCAAAGTGCAGGATGAACGTCTGGCTCTCAATGTGCAATTCATCCTCTCCATGTCACTGCTTTGATGTGGTTTTACAAATCCACCAGTATCCTCTAAAATCATGTAAACTGCATCTGTTGGGTTTCAGTGTTTAAAAAAAACCACGATTTGAGATTCTAGACACAATTTGATGTTTTGTAGAAGAAAACAATGTAGACGCCTACGACTTTGTTAATGATTTGCACCGACGTGCTGCCTGCAAAATAGGTTGCTTAGCTGGGTTCACCCATCGACACGTGCGGTCAGATTTTCTTTGCTTAAGGCATTTAATTCCCTCCTCGGATAAAGGAGAGTCTCCTATATGCCCAGTCTCTGTCTGCTTCACCTCAAAATACATTCCTTAACTCAGGACCTGCTAGTATTCTTCACAGTGCTTACACCTTTGGTGTTCCAGCTCTGAAGCTTGCTGATAGCATCCTGTGTCTATATTTCACTCACAAGTAGAGAGTTCACAGCTCCAGACTGAGATCCTGACTGAGATCAGGAGCCCAGGATTGGAAATTCGATCCATAAACACTACCACTCGGTGCCGCACCACATCCCAAAAGGAGTCTGAATGAGACTTGTTTGTCCACCCGTGTGGTAATACACCTCAGTGACTCAATCCTTGATCTCTACATTTAACGGATTTTTGCAATTTGCTTCCTGTTGACATTGTTATACCGAGGTCCAGTCTGCCTGTCCCTTCAGCTGGATGTTGAAGATCCTTGACACCATTCAAAAAGATAAGCAGTTTTCTCCCGGTGAACTGGTCAACAAACCTCCAGATAAACTGATCATTCACCTCATGACTGTTTTCCAGGGACTTGCAGTTGCCTGCATAACCAGTTGCTATGCTTGACAGTTAAGCTCTGTAAAGCATATTGAGGCATTTGATGTGATAAGACAGTATAAAAGTGCAAGTTCTTTCTTTGTGTTACTGTAAACAACTAACCCGAATGTTCCGTTGGTTACTCGTAACTAAATCTTTCATGACCTTGATCAACGGGGTAATGGGTACGGATGGTGGAGGAGGGCGCAGAGGAAACAATGCTTCTGTTGCAGTTAATTGCTACTAGCAGAATTGTTTCAACAGCCCCATGCATCTTCAAGCAACAACAACAACAATATTACATTTATATAGCCTTTCATGTCAATCCTGGGATGTTAAGTATCAAACTATTGCATAGAACATTCATTATGCATAAGAGGATAATGAAACACAGCTATTAAGCTTCTTGTCATAAGAGAGTGTTGACCACACTCTGATCCTAGCATTAAGCACATGAGGGAAATGCAATGAGTCAGAAAGAGTAGTGGTGTTCACTAAAATACTAAATCTTTGTAGCATCTTCAACTACTCTGTACCTGTGTACAACACTTGTCAGGAAAAAGCTTGTTAGAATACGTAATGAACCTGTAAGGAGCAATGATGATTCTGAAGTTAGAGGAACACTGGCTATTATAGGGGTGGTTTGGGGAGAGAATGCAGCACTGATCCAAATTAACTTTTGAGGTTTTCTCATTTTCTCTACATCCTGCTTGTTGAACAAACACATTTCCTTCAGTTGTTCGTCTGCTGTATGTGTATTGTTTTTAGTGGGTGCAGGGCTGTGTCTGAGGCAGGATGGAAATGGAGTGCTCAGTGTATTAACTGCAGCGTGTCATGTTGAGAATTCATGTGTGCGGTTTCCAATCAGCAAATGGCAGCTGGGAGGCCAGATGCTTTCCTACAGGGAAGAAAGGAGCATCTAGAGGATACACCAGTGGTGCACTTCATACTGTCCAGGGAACATTTCCAGCCTCACTCCCCTTTACCACTCGGGCTCAGCAGACTTGCTGATCATATGCCTCAGGGCCTCTACTCATATACTGTGAGAGACAGACTAAGCAGAGATTTAATACAGTTTCCCTCTCCTCTTGCTGTTTGCTTAACAAAAAGAAGGCAGCACTACATTAAGAGGCAGCACAATCTTAGTTGCTATAAAGCAAATAAAAGAGAACTGTTAAAATGCATCTATTTAATGGAACTATAAATTGTTTTCTTTTCCCCAAATACAAAAAGCCGTCAACAAGCCAATGGATGTTGGTCTTTATCACAAGAGGGCTGGAATATAAAACACAATTAGTAATGTTACAGGTGATTTAGAGCATTGTGTGCAATTTGGGCACCATACCTTAGAAAAGATGTTTTAGCTTTCTTCATAACAAACTGAAGCTGGTCTTAATGAGCAGTATTGAGATGCATTATAGATGCTGAGCTTCTCTGCAAACACCACCACCACTTCTCACAGTGCTGGTGGCACACTGTATTGCTAGCAGCCTTCATCCGAAGATCCCCACTTTGTGACCAAGTCTACTTCAAGGAAAGAGGGTTGGGAAGCCTGCAAGTTGTGCCTCTCATGCACTACTAGAATTGGCTTTGTTTGTGCAAAAGTGCACAAGTCTGCCATCAGTGGTTTAATCTAATGGATATGATTAAAAATAGAGTGTATTCCATGGGTTGGAGCAACATAAAGCTTTCAAAACATTCTGTGCTGTTCTCCAGTAGAGCTAAGGCCTGTGTAGTATATTTGATATCATCTGTGTCTGATATTTCAAAGCTTTAATATCCATGTAGAGACACTGGGTCTGAGCTTAACCATTTGCTGCTAAATTGATCTTAAATGCCAGTTGGCTCTTGATGACAACCTGAGCTTCAAATTCAGTCCCCAAAATAGATACAAACCTCTGAGATTGGCAGCAGTTGTCCTGAAGGAAGCTTTTGGGATTTACTGGGCATCAAAATTGTTGCTGTTGTGACATTTTGTAATTAAATATAGCTTTGTAGGATTATTCTTCAGAGGCACTGCATTTTAAGCAGGTTATTTGTGTTTTACTGAAAATGGAGCTCATTATACTTCTGTTCCTTAGAGCCCTGTTTGATTACGACAAGACCAAAGACAGCGGCCTCCCGAGCCAGGGACTGAACTTCAAGTTTGGAGACATCCTGCATGTGATCAATGCTTCGGATGACGAATGGTGGCAAGCCCGCCAGGTCACGCCAGATGGAGAGAGCGAAGAAATCGGAGTCATCCCAAGCAAGAGGAGGTAATGGCCCTTCTAATATCTCATCTTGAAATTTCAATCAGGGTGAAGTGGCAAACCTTGTAAATGTAATTCCTGCTTTAAACGTTTAGAGCCTGAAGTCACATTCCTGCACCAGACCCGTTTTACTCCAGGGACGCTTTTTTTCAGTTCCAATAGGAGGGAATTATAATAATAATAACAATCCTTGCACTTGTTATAGCGCCTTTCACATCGGGAGGATGTCTCAAAATGCTTCACAGGATGTACTGTGATGTGGGGTCACAGTATGTTTTTGTGTGAATATTGTGTAATATTAAAGATGCTGGCATTTGTTAGATGTAAAGGTATTTTTTGCCCACAAAGACTGCAAGGTGAAGAGTGCAGTCTGGCGCAATGTGCTGTTGCATTGAAGGCTTTGCTGTACAATACAGCACTAAAATGGGTTCCCTCTACCTTTCTGTCAATTTAAGTAACTTTTCAGAGGCTAGTTTAACCCACTTGTTCTTTTTAATAATAGTGTCTGTTGCATAGTATTGTGTGTTGTAAGCAGATTAATACAACATGATTAGCTCTGTTAAACTTTGGATCCACAATGAATTCTCTGTCTCCTCTCCACCCCGATCAGTGTTGAAATCTGATCGCCACAAGCCTTACTCTGTACTGTTCAGTCAGTGTCATTCCTGTTGATATAAAAATGATGTCATTTGTTGTTGTGGGCAAAAAGACCCAGGTGGTACAGGATTCCTGTGTGATCGTGCAACACATGTATCACATTATTATTAGTAGTATGTGTCACATGAGTGACTGAGTTTCCTGATTGAATTAGTTTCAAACTCCTGTCCACTCCTGGGGGTTGGGGGGGAAAGAATATTCTGAGCACCATTCGCTGTTTGACCTCCAGCAGGCAATCTTGCCACGAAATTTACAGGTTATTTTGAGGTGGTGGAAGTGAGGTAGACATTATGAGCACTGGGCTTTGGGAGAGGAAAGTTACTTCAAATCAATATTGGAATATTGAGATCTTGTGAGTTACCACCATTTAAAGCAAACATTACATTTAATGAAGATCATCCAAAGTGTGCACATACTAGTATGTATATACCATTACACTGACTTGCTTTTGTGATTGAATTGAGACAATATAACCACTTGCTGCTTTTTGTCATCCTGTTCAATTGGTCAAAGATAGAGATATTCTTAGAATTTAAATTGATCTTCTAGCCCCACTTCTCTGCTCGCTCCAGGCACTCGGCTAACTCAGGTCCTAAACCTCCTCACTGTCAATAGCCGAGCCTTCTGATTCTACGCTTCTAATTTCTGGAACTCCCTCCCTCTACCGCTTCATTCCACTTCCTGTTATCTATCTGTCTGTCCCGTCTTAAACCTACCTCTGCAACCTCACCTGTGGTCACCTCCCTCTTCCCCTCCCTCTCCTACAGAGAGGAGTTATCATGTTCAGCATCAATTTCTGACTGTTTACCTAAAAGCATATAGACAAGTGGACTCTGAGACCATGATTAGAGACTTTTTGGTGCCAGACAGCAATTGTTGATGAGGATTTAAAAGCGTTTTCCATTCGGTGTCTCCAGACATCTCAAATTGGAAGCAGAATGATTTTTTTCCAATTGCTTCCAAATGTACATTTAAAAGGTACTTTTCGAAAATACATGAGAACAAAATGACAGACAAATTTTGCTTCATGAGAGGTAATCCTGCATGATGCTTAACAACCAGCAAGTGGGCCAAATGATTACACAGTTGTATAACTAAGACTTGAACTCTGACTTCAAGAGTGGTGACCCATCACTGTGACAAAGGTGCTGCTGAGATGTGTCAAAACCAGTTCTTTATTGATCCTCCACATACCTTAATATACTTCTGTCATATCTGGGGGAGACTTTAAGACACTATTCGTTTTAAACCTTTGGTTGTGCTCACTAAAGTCACGTGAATCATACTCTAGCACTGGATGATGGTGTTCTGTGGCAGTGTGGCCAGACTCAGTAGTGTGAGTAGTCAGAAAATTAATGCCAAACATAACAACTACATTATAGTACATCTCCAGTGGAGCTGCCCTGAGTTGGCCAGCCAGCCAATAATGTTCTCCTGAATCATTTTTCCCAACTATTAATCTTCTCATTTGTTAAAACAATCCATACACTATTTAACCAATAATACTGAATACAGAGTCAGGCAGAACTTTCTTCACACATACTATAGACTTGCAGAATGTTTCTCGGCAGGCTGTTGAAACAGACATTCTGGAAACACTATTTCAAGAACTTATACAAAATAACATTTAATTTAACTAGTTATCCAAGTAAGGACAGTGTTGCTTATATATCTGGTATATGTAAACATGAGGTTTTCCTGCTCCTGCAGGGTTTCTGTGTGTTTGCTAATTATCCAGCTGAAATATCCTTCACCCTCTTCAAACATCATTACCACCCTTTTCCAGCCTTTGCTTATAAAATGATTCATTCCTCATTCATGTCATCACTTTAACAGAAATGGGCAACTTGTACTGCAGAACATAGGAAAACAGGAAGAGAAGGAGGCCATTCAGTCCAACGAGTCTATTCCAAAGGTTAATTAGATCTTCACGGGTCTTTTAATCGCCATACCATTTAATACCTTAGAGTACACATCTCCTATCCTTACCTGACTGTTTCAGCCTCCTATTGTACTTCGTAAAAATTTCTATAATCTTCTTCTGAAAATCACTACTACTGAAAGTTTGCACTTTTCAAGTCTTGAGGATGTCCATGATCAGCCCTAGAGTTACGGTGCTTTTAAGGTGTTTTATTCCCGCTCACTCCCTGTGGGAAGAGCTGAATCCCAACTCAGCATCTTTCCAACAACAACAACAAGATTTCATTTATAGAGCACCTTTCACGTCGGGAGGACGTCCCAAGGCGCTGGACAGTTGGGTCAGGACCCGAGCAGGGGGGAAATGGTCAGGGTGAGGGGAGGGAAGGGAGGGAGCGAGGAGGGGGTAGAGAGTCGAGAGGGGAGCTGAAGGCACGGTCAAAGAGAAAGGTCTTGAGACCGGCCTCGAAGGAGGAAAGGGAGGAGGCGGCGAAGGCACTGGGGGATGGAGTTCCAGAGCCTAGGGGTTGAAAGGTTGAAGGCCCGGCCACCGATGGTAGGGCGGTTGGGGCGGGGGATGTGGAGCAGACCGGAGCCAGAGGAACGGAGGGTACGGGCAGGTAGGTAGGGGGATAGTAGGTCAGAGAGGTAGGAGGGAGCGAAGCCGTGAATGGCCTTGTAGGTGAGGATGAGGAGCAGTTCTAGCTTTGCAAGCAGCAGTTTTAGCTTTGGTAGCTCAGTGTGACTGGGGAGTGGAAATCTGAAAATAACCACCTCCCAACACCCAAACCCTGTTCATCCTTATCCTAAAACCACTGATTGTAGACACATTTTTTGTTTTTAACAACAATGAATCAATGTGAGTTTAGCACCTGCATTATTTTATATATATTGGTTCTAGGATGCAGAGCCTTGAGACTGTTCAGCTGTAAGTAGATTAATTTATAAGGTGCTTCAGTGACAACGCTGATAATGAAAAGGCTGCAGAGTTGTGACTGTTACTCAGCAATGAAACCTCTGTGTTTGATTTAGAAATGCCATAATTCAGCTGCCTTACAAGAGATCGAACGTGCAATACTTGTCCTGATTTTTTTTCAATGCCTCTAGAGTTGAAAAGAAAGAACGCGCGAGGTTAAAGACCGTGAAATTCAATTCAAAATCCAGAGGCGATAAAGGGGTGAGTGCTGAATTGGGAAGAGGAATATTGTGTGTGTTTTTACATATGATACTTCACAAGTAGTTGACTCTTTAAGAAGTTTATATATGATTATAATTGCATAATAAATGTGAAAAAGGCTTTAATATATGTTTGCCTCCAGAATATTGAGGGAAACTAGCCATTTAAAGAAATATAATCTATAATTTGTCTTAAAACGAACCCTCAACTGAATTGGAGAAAGAAAATGAAATTCATGAAATTGCAGTAATGAAAATGTTTTTTTATTGTGGCACATTATTGCTCGAAATGTAATGTTGTCTTGATGTGCTGCTCTCTTAAGACCACACCACTGTGTGTGCCACAAAATCCTAGATGATAGGAATTTAATTACTATTTGAACAATTGAGCCTCATTGTCTAGATCTTGATCTCCAATCAAAATCTAATTTTTTTCCGAATAATTCTGTAACCCTTGAGTGCATTGTGCAGCATCACCTGACTTCTGTGCCTGAGGCTGAGTTGACTCTCAGGCAGTGTAGTTATATACTGTTAATGTATTTCTTTGGAAATTGATTATAGCCACAGCTAGGATGAATGGCCTTGGTCTCGTGGTGCTGATAGTCTAAGGGATCCCAACATTACATGAACACAAAGGTGAATACCTGGAATTGGAGACCAACTCCTCCACAGTCCTGCACCATAGTTCGCATTGTCATTCACATAAAGTTCCAAATTGTGGGGGGGTTGAGGGGAATTACCCTTTGCATCACACACCACACTGATAAAAAGGAAGAGCTAAGGCAGGGTTAACCAGGACTCCAGTTTAGCTGAGACACAGCCCCTGTCAATCATATGTGATTTCAGAATGGGCCTGGTTCCTCGGAGACTTATATTAAGTTATTTTGAACAAAAACTGCTCCCCTAAAAACAGCGATAAGATAAGCACAAAATGTGTGTTGCTGCAGCTCTCCAAGAGCTAAATTCATCATTCCTCAATATGGCATTATTCAATTAACCTTTCATTTAGTTTTAAACAATATAAATTCTTTTGTATCTACTGAATTGGAAAAAAATAATTTGCAGCTGTTTCTTTCCTAAAGAGATAGATGGTTCATTTATTATTGCACTTTCGTTTGTGGCTTGTTTCTGTAGTGCACTGACCATTAATGAATAGAAAGAGTGTATTTATTACTAGTTTCAAGGACATGAACAGCAGTTTAGCCGTGAGCACAGGTCAAAGCAGAAGCTGGTTTCCCTGTGCTTCATGATACGTTTATATTCCAAACAGCCATGAAATCTGATTTTGTTCAAAGTGGATCAATGCTCCCCTCTGAAACTCATTTCTTCGATTATGTTTATCCTTTAAAAACATATTTGGAATCACGATTATTCTGTCAGCTTCAAGGTAGCAGTTCTGATGCAGATAAGTGAGTAGTTCAGGATGAAACTTTGATTATTTACAGAGGACCCATGTGAATGTTTATTGCACGTGTGTACGCTATTACGTTCCAGCGTTTGACTATTTGCCCAAATTAATGGATGAAATTGGAATTGGACCCATGAGAACAACAAGCCTGTTTGACGTTGTCACATGAGCTTGTTTTCTGGATGTGACTCGCTCAAGGAAAACTATAGGGTATGCCAAAGCTCCCATTCAATGGCTCTCCCAGTCATGCTAACACTGAACCAGAATTCCAGCAGCCTGAAGGAGGTGGTTCTGCTTTTGCGAGTGATGCACAATTCAGGCCCTTTGCCCGTAATCTTTATAAAGGGGAAACATCCTAAGATGATGGAACATTTAGAATTCTCACTGTAATAACCGTTCACTGGTGCATTTTGCTTGGTATGTGAGAATGGGGTAACTAAATACCTCTTATTGTATCAAATTGAATATCGTTATTCCAAACAAAATGACAATAACTTTTCTTTTAAAAGTCTGGGTTTATATGAATAAACTATGTTGATTTTACTGTACATGTGTGTAAGAAAGGGAACATTGCTAAAGCTTTTGTTTTAAGAGTTTTAGCACAGGGAGAGTAAAACGTGGGTTAACAGCATGCTGCTTCTCCTGTGCTTCCACTCATGATAAGAGTTATATTCAGATCAGCAATGAAATCTGATTTTGTTCAGCAAACGCCTCCTTATTGCGTTGTTAATAATACCTTGAGGTCGAGAGATTATGTACTTGCTAGCTCTGTGTACACTTCTAGGTATGTACACACGACCAGAATAATTGTGTACTAACACATGCACGGAAACATGCATGTTCTGTGTAGCGAAGGAGAAGTAAAAACTACGCTTGCCATTGATGGAAGATCTGCATCCCACATTGTTGACTGATCCAGCCTCCCTGAAACTCTCCATACCTTTCTCTGTAGCCATGCCGTTGCACACCGTGCATGCTCTCTACTAAAAAGGAAAACAGCTTTTAAAACTAAAAATCCAATTTCCGTCATTTTGGGTTGCGATTTGTGGAGACGTGTTCTACCAATTTAGACAAGTTTAAAACACTAACCAACATTACTCTTCTTTTCTTCAGATCATGAATATACAATGGTTAGATTTGGAACAAATTAGCAAACGAGCATACAAACAATTAATATAAAGGCCTTTTTTTATGCATTTATTTAAATTATATAGTTTATTAAATAACACTTTCAACATTTTTAATAGTAACTATTAATAACTGGGATCTTTTATGGTAATAGAGTGAGAATACAGCATAGGATAAATAATCAACAGCATCCATTTTAAGTGCATTCTAACCATTCATCTTTATGAGAGAAGTGCGAATACTATTTACACTAGCAAAGGCATTGCTCTAGCTTACTATTGCAGGGACGTACAGAAATCTGTCTCTTTTGATCACTGTTCATTGCAGCTTTCTCCCACTTATCAATGTCAGCCCGGTATTGCTCACTGCCGAGCCTGCCCTTCTTCCCTGAAGTCTGTTTATTTTGTAAAGCAATCTCGCACATGCACACCACACACAGAGAGAATAAGGGATATATCAGTAAATCCTTTTAGAATAAGATTTCATTTAAATGGACCCTGTGAATTTATCAGCAACTGGTCTCAAGGTAATGGGGTCTTCATATTGGATTACGGAAAGATTACATTTGAATGGCGGAGAAATTCACCTGAAATTGCTGAGAAATTGGATTTTTATTACTTTGATGTCTGGCTCTAGGGTCAAAAAATTAGCTTTCTTAACCTTGCTTGGGAGTTTAGTGTTCACTTATGCTAAACATATTAATAGCTTTGTAAAGGCTTGGGCCTTTAAGTTCGCATGCGGGCATCCACATTTCTCCCTAGTTTCACAATCGGTAAAATGGAAGTCTGTTGTTTGAATCCATCTGGGTTTTGTTTCTACTTTTGTTTTGCTAAAAGTGTTAATTTTGTTTTAATCCCTATTGTCAGCGCTTTTTACCCAGCTTGATCATTTTCTTCTGTGTTGTTTTGATTTGATTTGCCTCAGATGCAGAATTTTGACCGATTGTGCTCTGGTGGAAGTGACTTGAAGCCAGCATATTTAGTCTTTTTAATATACTAAAAAAATGAAATTTGCAGCAGCTGAAAAGTTCATACATTAAAAGAAGTTCCAAATTGGCCAGTGGGACATGGGATTGCTTTAGCCTGGATTTATTCTAGTATTTGGTTGTGTGCAGTCGGATTGCATGGCCACATAGATATCCCATTGTGCAGAATTGTTTGCTTGCCAACGTTACAATTATTCTTAATTTGAGTTGATCTTAACACTGAGATATGGTGGCCCGAGTCACTTCCCGTGCATTTCTAGAGCTGGGCATTATTCACGTGGACATTAGACACCCCTTTTTTGCCCCTCCTTCTCTTCCTCAGCAGTCATTCAATGACAAGCGTAAAAAGAACATCTTTTCCCGAAAATTCCCCTTCTACAAGAACAAGGAGCAGAGTGAGCAGGAAACCAGTGATCTTGAACGTAAGTAGTTGGAAAAGGATCTGGCCTCCAGAGAAGGTCACCTCTCTCCAAGTTGGGGGTCTTTGCTGTGTTACCATGGCAACACTTTTTTGCTGAATACAACTGGTCCCTTTTTTCCCCTCTTCCCCTCCCCCCAACTTTGCACATAAATTGGTACTTTTGTGCAAAGTTGGCATTTTGCTGCATTCAGCAACGTGAAGATCCCACTGCATGTCTTTCACTGTTGTACACAAAAAAGGAGAGACTCTGTGGTTTACTCTTCGGTTGCAAAATGTGCAAACCAGTTATGTTCACACAAAACTGTTTGTCATGGTAGTAGTCTTGTTATATGCTACTGACAGATATTTTTTCTTCTTCTGTGATTGTTTTTTTTCTTATTGCTTGCTGTCTGGGGACTACTCTACAGGAGATCCCCGGGTTAGGTGACGACGGTATGGGAACAAAAAGCCTGAGTAAGTGGCGGAAAATCCTCTCCATTCACATTTGCCTCCTTTGTTTTCTGAACTCGTTTTACTTCGTGTTGCTTTCTATAGTGGTTGGTAGGTTTCTGCTGGCATGGGGGAGGTTCATAGTTGTTTTATTTTTAACATTCACGTTCAATTGTTATCTTGTAAAGGTGGGTTGCATATTCTCTTTCAATATTTCCTACGTAAAGTTTTTACAAAGTAGTTGGATTTCATTACAGCCGGCAGAGACTCTACTTTCTGTTTTGTGCTTCAGTCTAAAACATCAGGAGAGAAGCTGATGCTCAACTAACAATTGCTACTTATTGCTGTTTAATTGAGGCCGGGTTGGAATTCGGTCCAAGTAGCGTAAAGAAGCAACCTATCGCCAGTTTAGTCTTGAACAGAAAACTGGGGAACACAAGTTGACGTAGGATATATTGGAAGAGATTTGTGCAATTATTTCAAGTGTTTTTACTCCATGTTAAAATGTATTTAATGAAATCAATTCTGATACTGTGAACTGGAGGTAAGCATGTGTCTGAGCTGCGCTTTATTGCTGGGTTTTAAGTGAAAAAGAAGCCCCACTGAAATGAGGATCTTTCCTGCCATTCCACACACAGCTGAATATGGGTCATTGCGATTGAGCCTACAAAAGAGGTGTGTACCAGGAAATCTGCTCTACTTGCACAAACAAGACATGCGACAAAATTCCCAGGCTTTTTGGTCCCTGTCTAACCACTAATGCTGCTGATTTCACAACTGACGTAATAAACTGTGGTCCACTTCACACTTGGTTCAAAATAGAAAAAGTAGGAATGTGAAGGGATTATTTTGCTCCAACTTTTCAGCCCTGTTTAAGGTCATAATTAGGCTTATTTTCATCTCCCTCTTGATGATCGGCTGGTTATCTCTCTGCACATGTTGTGTCAGCAGTCTGTTGGTTTCTTATTTGAATGCCTTGGGCGAGTTCACATTCACTGCTCAAACGTGAAACACATCCTTGGGTTAAACTCCAGCTGTACTGCTTCAATCTTCCCTTTCTGGTTCCACAGAATGAGCTATTTTGAATCCACCCCACTGATTTCACACTTTCTAAATCTTCAGTATATACCCCTCCTTTCTCATTGTCACTTTTTCCAGTCGAGCAGATACACCTTCCCTGGGACCGCTTCACAGATCTCTTCACAAATCTTTTCAGATCTAGCTCCTCCCTTTCTTGCCTTTTCAATTCTCTTATACTTTGGGAGTTCAACAACGTTCTCATCAATGATAAGATTCAATTTAGCTTCCTTGGACTTGATCTGTATGATTCTATTTCTATAACAAGAACAACTTGCATTTATATAGCACCCTTGGTGGAGCAGTGTCTCGGAGCACGACATACCAAACTACCAGAGGTGATTCAGTTTTGAGCATCTCCATGGCTGCAGTAGAACTAGTTTAAAGGTCTTGGTCATCCTTCAGGTTTATAGTGTTCTCTGATATCTAATAATAAAATATTAACCAGCCAGATAGCATTACCAGATATTGGATAGTATAAATCTGCCTTCTCACACTGCTGTACGGTCACGTAGTGCGATAAACACTTACAAAGTTCAATCAGCTAGAACATCAAAATCTCTTTCCCACTGTACTTTAATGATGTGCCTTTCTGTTGGGAATTTCAGATTTTAGTGCCAGTAGGCTTTATTTTAATATATTAAACTTTTATTAAGGTGAAAGTTTATCTCGCAGAGCAAGAGCTTTCTTGGAAAATCAGGTTTGCCTGCCAAGTTTGTCATCCACACCCCTTGACTACTTGACAAAGTGTTCATTAATGAACAGCGGGTCTCCCTGATGGGCTCAGCGAGTCCGGTTAGAATCCCTACCTCTTAAAACAACCCTCATTTCTTATCATTTGTTCATTATCACACAATTCCTCTGCAGGCAGGTTTATTACTCACTGCTTGTGGAGCTCTCAGACTTTCGGTGTGTTCTTTGAGGACAAGTCTCCTCTGATAAAGCTCTGGAGCTAGGAGTCACATGCACAGTGGCTAAATTTGCAGATCACACAAAGCTAAGGAAGGTGGTAGATTGCCAAGACTAACAGGATAGATTGCAGGAGGACTTGAACATACTTGGGAATTGGGCAGATCAATGGTAGATGAAATTTAATTTTGAGAATTACAAAGAGCTGCATGCGGTCCTTAAAATTCAGGAAGGGATTATTATTTAAATGTGAAGAAAATAATCTGTACGGAAAATGACCTGGGCTCCTGATTGACAATAAATTGAAGCTATCGCAGCAGTGCTCAGTAGCAGTGAGTTGAGGCAAACCAGATTCTGGGTTGTATTAAAAGGACAATAATGAGCCGAAATAGTGGGGTAATTCTGCCACTTTATAAATCATTGGTGCGATTGCACTTAGAACTTTGTGTGCAATTCTGGTCACCCCAATATATAAAGGATTTTGCAGCAATTGAGAGGATACAGAAGATGGAAATCGAGATGATAGATGGGATGGAGGGACTGGACTACGAGGAGCATTTAGGTAAACTGGCATGTTTATGCTGGAGAAGAGAAGGTTGAGGGGCAATATGATTACAGTCTTTAAGATTCTGAAGGGACTAGATGATGTAGACCATGATATCTTGTACTGAACAGTAGAGCCAGAGGACACAACCTGCGATTGAAGGGGGGTAAATTCAGAACAATGCGGAAACACGACTTCAGTGAGCGAGTAGTAAAGTTATGGAACAGGCTCCCTAGGGAGATGGTGGAACAGAAAGTGTTTGTTTCAAGAAAAAATTAGATAGACTTCTGCTAGAAAATAATATCCCGGGATACAACAACAACAACAAAATTACATGTGTAAAGCACCTTTCATATCGGGAGGATGTCCCAGGGAGCTGAACAATCGGGGATCAGGACCCGAGCGCGGGGGTGTAGGGTTGGGGTGAGGGAGGACAGAGAGGTAGGAGGGTGGCTGGAGGCACGGTCGAAAAGGAGGGTCTTGAGTCGTGCCTTGAAGGAGGTAAGGGAGGGAGCAAGGTGAAGAGATTGTGGGATGGATTTCCAAGGGGTGGGAGCAGAGAGGCTAAAAGCCCAGCCACCGATGGTAGGGTGGGTCGGGCGGAGAAGACTGGAGCCTGCTGAGTGGAGGGAGCAGACATGTGGATAGGGGGTCAGCAGGTCAGAGATACAGGAGGGGGCAAGGCCGTGGAGGGCCTTAAAGGTGAGGACGAGGATTTTGAATTCTATCCTCTGATAGTGGAGCCGGGTGGGGGTGATGGGGTCATGGAGCCTGGTGCGGTAGAGGACAGGAGTTGCAGAGTTCTGGATGATCTGCAGCTGGTGGAGGGAAAAGTTGAGGAGGCCGACAATGAGGGAGTTTCCGTAGTCGAGCCTTGAGGTGATGAATGCATGTGTGAGGGTTTCGGTGGCCTGAGGGGTGAGGCAGTGGTGGAGTTGGGTAATGTTGCGAAGGTGGGGGAAGGCAGAGTGAGTCATGGTACGGATATGGGGGAGAAAGGACAGTTGAGGGTTGAACAAGACACCCAGGTTCCGGACTGGCTTGGTGAGGTGTGGTGTGCATCCATGGATGCTGATGCTGCCAGCGCCTGAGGTGCGAAGGCGCTGGCCCGAGCCAATCAGGAGGGTCTCGGTCTTGCTGACATTCAGCTGTACAAAGTTAGCTCTCATCCAGAGCTTGATAGCTGACAGACAGTCTGTCAGGACGGTCAGTAGTCCTGGAATTGAGGGTGGAGGCAGACAGATAGAGTTGGGTGTCATCCATGTACATGTGGAAGTTGACTGCATATCTACGGATGATGTCACCAAGTGGGAGAATGTATAGGTTGAAGAGAAGGGGACCGAGGACAGAGCCCTGAAGAATACCGTACAAGACTGTGCGGGGGCTGGAAGAGAAACCGTTGGTAGAGACAAATTAGAGACATTGTGAGAGATAAGGACAGAACCTTGAAGGTTGAGGTGAGAGTAGAGGAGGATGGAGTGGTCCACAGTATTGAAGGCAGCAGATAAGACGAGGAGGCAGAGGGAGCCCCGGACACTAATGGACAGGATATCATTTGTCACCTTGACCAGAGCAGTTTCCGGGGTGTGAGATGCACTGAAGCCCGATTGGAGGGGCACGTGAAGGGAGTGCTAGGAGAGGAATGAGCGAAACTAGGAAGCAACAACTCTTTCAAGGACCTTGGAAAGAAAAGGGAGGTTGGAAATGGGTCAGTAGTTAGAAAGCAGGGATGGATCCAGGGAAGGTTTTTTTCAGGATGGGGGTGATTATAGCTGTTTTTAGGGGGAATTGCAATGGTGTCAGATGATAAGGAAAGATTGATGGTGACATGTCAAGCGACTACTACGATGATGGAAGTTGAACTAGATGGACCTTGGTCTTCTTTCGCTAGTAAATTCTTATGTCCTATGACCTACGCACCTTTTTTTCCCCACCTCTTCTCCCCTCTCACAGATGTCCTCTTACAGACATCCTCCATTGCTATCCTTACATGACCAACATGAGTTAGGTAAGAGAACCCTATGATGCTGCTGCAACTTTTTCAGTTCCACTGCCCCACCTCACCTCTGCACTTGCTGCCACAATGGGCTAAACATTTGGAAAGGAGGAGATCAATTAGGCGTACATCCTAACCTCTCTTAATTTCTTGTGTTACAGTTTTATGCATTTTGTGAATTTTCTGTACCTTCTGTATGAAAACAAAATGCTTGAGGTATATATTGTAGGAGATTTGATAAATATTATGATTGAACTTTAAAATGTGGGTGGTGAATATCAATCGTTCCAAGTGTACAACAACAAAATTACAGTCAGGGGTCAGGACCCGAGCACGGGGGAGGGGTGGGGTAGGGGTGAGAGAAGGCAGAGAGGTGGGAGGGTGACTGAAGGCAAGATCGAAGAGGAGGGTCTTGAGACTGGCCTTGAAGGAGACAAGGGAGGAAGCGAAGCGAATGGACTGTGGGATGGAGTTCCAGAGTGTGGGGCCAGAGAGGCTGAAAGCCTGGTCACTGATGGTGGGGCTGGTCAGGCGGGAGACATGGAGGAGGCCAGAGCCCACTGAACGGAGGGAGCGGGCAGGTTGGTAGGGAGTTAGCAGGTCAGAGAGGTAGGAGGGGGCAAGGCCATGGATGGCCTTGAAATTGAGGATGAGAATCTTGAACTTGATCCTTTGGATGATCTGCAGCTTGCGAAGGGAAGAGTTGGGAAGGCCGATGAGGAGGGAATTTCCATAATCGAGCCTTGATGTGTCGAATGCATGGATAAAGGTTTCGGCAGCCTGAGGGGTGAGGCAGTGGCAGAGTCTGGCAGTGTTGCGGAGGTGGTGGGAGGCAGTGCCGGTCATGGAGTGGATGTGGGGGAGAAAGGACAGTTCAGGGTCAAACAAGACACCCAGGTTCCTGACTGGCTTAGTGAGGTTGAGTGTGCAGCCGTGGAGGCTGATGCTGCCAGCGCCCGAGGTGCAGAGGCGCTGGTGCGAGCCATTCAGGAGACTCGGTCTTGCTGACATTCAGCTGGAGAAAGTTGTCCCTCGTCCAGGACTTGATGTCAGACAGGCAGTCGGGTCAGGACACCAGTGGTCCTGGAGTTGAGGGTGGAGGCAGAGAGATAGAGTTGGGTGTCATCTGCATACATGTCAAAATTTATCCCATGCCTGCGGATGATGACCAAGGGGGAGCATGTAGAGGGTGAAGAGGAGGGGACCGAGGACAGAGCCCTGAGGAACGCCGCACGAGGCGATGCGGAGGCTGGAGGAGAAGCCATTTGCTGAGAAAGTGTAAAATGATAAAAGTTCAGGAATAATGGATGGATTCTTGTTCGAAAAATGGAAATACTTTATTTAAGCACTTCCCCAAATATCTCAGTGATTTTCAGAATTATGCCGTATTACTGCAAAGTGCATTCTTATAAAATATAGACACAGTGATTCTGAAACCTGGTATATAAAATGGGATTGGATCTGCTTCCACCCATCGCCTGAATTATGCGTATCCAGTAGTCTCCTAGCAACCTGCTGACAGCCAGTCAAGGCTTAGACATTATTACTCATCAAGCTGTTCGGGAAATTTTGAGCAATCATTTATTCCTATTAGCAAACACACCTGGTAAATATTTTAATCTGAGTCCACTTGATACTGAGGATCCAGCTACTTTATTCATAGAACATTACAGAATTACATGGAGCATTACAACCCAGAAACCAATTTGGCCCTATTCATGAGAAATGATGCACAGGACATCCATTGCAGAGGTTTAGAGATTGACGAAAGATAACAAAGATAACAAATTTCTCATTCTGACAGTACATTTCTGTGCACCACCTTACCCTCAGAACAGTGTCTTCTTCTGCACCTGTGACATTTCCATTTTCCACATGAGCTCCATTTACAACCTGACTCGGAACATCTTTTGTTTATCAAGGTCGAGAACCTAATCTATAAATCTTGTTTTAAAGGCATTTATTATCATACAAATGATTCAGGGTTAATTTTATGGTTATGTTTGAACGTGTAAGCAATGAGAATCACAGGGTGGGGGCAAGGTGGAGGGAGTGACAGTGTGGAGCAGGATGTATTTTATTAGAGCAAATGGCTCTACATCTAAAATATTTGATACCCTGTTGTTCAATTACTGTGAATTTTCAGCAAAACCTGCATCTAGTGAACACAATGGTTGAAGAACCCAATGCTTACTAATGCCAGGGTTGGAGTTGTCGTCCTTACTTTAGTTGTTTACCTTTTTATTTTAAAAATATTTGGAAATAGGCTGAACCACCCTGTTTTTCATCTCTGAGGAGGTCTTCGTCTTCACCGCACTGGGCCTTAAATACCTTTGTCCCCTGTGATGTTCCTGAGGCCAGTCAGATATCCCTGGCCAGTCTCATTCACCTGAGCCTCTTTTCAGTCTCCTCTTGTTGCCTCACATTTTCTACAGAATGAAATCCCAATACCCTTGTATCACGTTTTCACTAACCTGGGTCCACTTCAGCTATTAAAGCTACTTCAAGGATATTCTCCATTTTCCCATTGCATCCTCCTCTTCCTCTCCTCCTCGGCCACTACCTCACCACTGTGGCTTCAAGAGGCTCTTTGCTATATTGCAACGCTTATTCTAGTTTATATGTACCACATTAATACTTGGATTGAATTAGCATGATTGTCGTAGAATTGTTTCTATGCTCTGGAATCTTACTGCTACAATTTCAGAGCCGGGCTAATCAAGAAGATAGGAAATTAGGAACAGAAGACCATTGGGTACCAACATGCCCACTCCACCCGCCACAGACAACACCATGGCCCATATACTACAGACTTTTCCTTGTACATTGCTGTCAACAGTCACATTTCCAGCCCTGGGACTTTACCTCAAACTAATGATGATTGCCAAATTTCTCTCTCCATTTTTGCCAATTTACATAATTAATATCAATGACCACATTGTATAAATTAAATGCAAGGTGGGTAATGGATGACTTTATAGATTGATAAATAACAGGTAATGGAAAAACTTCACACTTGTGAGTGATTAAGGTACTTGTGTTGCTCTGTGTTTTCTCTTGACACTGTGACTCTCTTGGATATTCCCTATATCACAATCTGATGTATTCATCTAATGGGGTGTAATAACCCCCTTTGGCAGTTAATTGTGCCCAACACTACAATATAAAGCGACACATGTTGAAACAAAAGTGTGAATGCAAAATTTATTAGTAGAATCAGACACTTTAAATATGTGATGAGTTTTAAAAAAGAGGAAGAAAATATGAAATATTTTAGTTTTGGATAACACTCCTTTTTATTATGTAAGAACAAAGCGAACGGAATGTAGACAGGGCAGAAGGTTGTGCACTGGTAAGAACACAGTTAACGCCTGTATCTACTGGGGTACCACCTCCCCAGAGATTGCAGGGTTCCTGCTTATAGCTCCTCTGTGCTTTACCCCAAAACTAATCTGGGAAAACTTTGTTAGCTCTGACCAGGATCAAAAAGCTGTATAGTGTTCCTGTAACCACTGAAGATTTGTGTTTTTACTTCTGTTGATTCCTCAGTTACTTGTTCAAGTAATTCATTACCCCGGTGGAAGATCTGTGTGCTCTGTGAAAGGGAAAAAAATTTAGATTAATGCCGAGCAGGCATTACAGTTTGTCAGATTTACACACCAGAAACCAACAAAGATCCAGGCTCCAAACAGGACAGCACAGTCTTCATTGAGGGACAGCACATGTCCACTGGTGGATGACCATGACGCAGATCTAATTTGTTGAAAGTCCAGCCCCACATCCACTGGGAGACTTCCAGATGAAGTGAAAGCAATCGGCTCTTTTAGAACCATAAAAATTAACAGCCCGGAACAAGGCCATTCTGGGGAACACATTTAATTAATGCTGGTACTCCGAGAAATATCAAAATGTTTTATTCCTGCACTCCATAACTGCGGGATCAGGTAGTGCTGCTATGTTACGAGATATTGTACGGAACCGATCTTATTGCCATGATGTGGTAGCAACTCAACAATGCATGGGTGGCTCTGTGTTACCGCTGTTTAGGATAAGCTGCTCTGCCAGTTTTCAGTGGGAATTTGGGTGCTTTAAAGGTGTTGGCGTTTTCTTTCCTCTAAGACGGTGTGTATGTGGAGCACTCTTGTGGCTGATGTCAAATTGTCCAGTTCACAGTAATTATATCATCCATTTTGTTGCATTTAATGACTTCATGTTCTGCTTCCCACACTTTTGAAATACATAGTTTGTGTTGAAATGTCATTTGTATTATCAGTTTGTTTCTCATTTTATTTCTGTTATCATTTCAGAGCATGTAACCTCTAATGCCAGCGATAGTGAGAGTAGTTACCGTAAGTTGTCTTTTTGTACCCTACTTATTTTTTTGCATTCACCTATGCTTTGCTCCCTCTTTGTTAATAGATCCTTGTCTTGCAGAGGTTTCAGTGCTGCTGCCCACTGGTGAATAATTTGCAGGGAATTAACAACCTTATATCAGAGGAGTGAGCTGGTCATACATGGCTAGTATTCATTCCCATGTAGTGTATAACATGCTGAAGTAAACACATGGGGATTGTGTTTGTCGGGAGAACACAGTTTCTGACAGCGTTTTACAGAGAAATTCGAATTAAGTTCTATTTAGCTTTGGGGAGAGAATGTAGTGAAATGTAGAATATGATGACACAGCAATCCCTCAAAAATCTATACACACTTTTTCACTTAGTACTTCTTACCAGCTTTGTTGCCACTGGACTTATTTAGTCCATTTAGCCACATTTCCTCTTGGAGTTCTAATATCCAAAGAGGGTTTGACCTTTGGAGCTGCAAGAAGTTTGCAAACTCCCATGTTTGCCTCATTCCAGGGTTCACATACAGATAGATACATGTAATTGAGAGCCTGTTGCATTAGTCCCAATTGAATTTATTGCTTGGTGCATGTGCATAGAGTGCAAATTGGTCTCTGCTTATGCCTTGCAGTGTCAAATCCGGTATTCATATACTTAGTGTCAGGTTGAGAATATCTGAAAGACCGGGAACCTACAAGCCTGAGCCAAGGTCCAGAACTCTGGGTATTTCACACCTAAAAACATTATCTAAGCTGTGGAACTCGGCTATCTCAAGGTACAGCTGGGGAAATAAACTTGAACTGAATTAAATATGTTCAGGCTTCAAGCAGAATTTTTCAGGAACCCTTGGGACACATTAGGATATGTTTACCTAAAGCACTGAGGATAATTGTTGAGAGCCAAGGTTGTACCAAATAATACATTCATCTTTTGATCAGACTAACTATTTCAGATCTTTACCAAGAACCTCCACAGCATGCACATTATACATAGAAAAATTGTGTGGTATATAGAACATTTCTCAAGGACGTGCATTGCATAAGGCACCAGCCTCAGCATTGTCTGCCCAGTATCAACCTTTCTGTCATTTGTTGGAATTCTCGTGCTACCACCATCTCATTCCTCATTATTATGTAGACCCTCTACAAACAGTAGCCATGTATGAATAGTTACTTTATAGCTTGTTTGTAATATAATTAACACTAAAGCACTTAAAATTGGGTGGGGGCGATCAGAAGAGGAAGGGCAGCCAGCCTGAAGTCACTGTTACTCTTGAGTCTGTGTGTGATGTTGCAAGGTAAGGAGTAATCCATGGAACAAAACCACTGATCTCTGCAATACTTTTAAACTCTCTTATGTTGCAACTTTGACTTCTTCCCTTTTTCCTGCTGCCTTCCTTTCTTCTGTTCTTCATGACAGAAATCATGATTACAGATGAGTATGGTGAAACAAGAGGTTAATTTCATCCAGCTCTGTTTTATGCAGCTCTTTTAAAACTTCCCACTGTTGCATGAAATTTTGTTTGTGCTGATCACTTTGAACTGCATGAATCGTTTTACTCTTGAATTCATTGTATAATTTGTTCTTAATTCTTCTCATTGCCTTTAAGTGGGAAAAATGATCTGCTTGGGTAGAAACAGTTAAAGTTGTACATTTGTTCAGTTTTGAAAATGGGAAGAGTCTGCTAATATTTACTACCATCAAAAGTGTTTTTGACTAATAATCCCTTTCTCTTCTCACCCTTACCCAAAGAATCCCACGATAGTTGGAGCAGAAAATCGCCTGCTCACAATCAGTGAGCATATAGCAATAGCACAGTGCATTGGCCAGAGCTGGAGAAAGCATAAAAATGCCACATCTTGACCTTGCTGCATTGGTTCAAATTGCCACTGCCTCAGTTAATCTGATGTAACCAAGCCAACCATCTCTGTCCATTGTAACATGAGATGTTCAATCAGAAACTTTGAAGCTTATCTAAATTGAAGCTAATAAAAATGAGAAAAAATAATTTGCTTCCTATTCAATTCCTTAGTGTAAATTAATGGTTTTGTTATTAAGTTAAATATTTGCAATTTGTGAATGTACTACTTTAACTGACCTGAGAACAGCAAACACCCTTTACTTGGCACACCCTCTGCTCTTCAGTCAAGCCCAAGCTGGGAAGCAATAAATAATACAGGCAGCAAATACAATAATATATGTACAAAGAGGATCAATTGAGATGTAACTTCTTGAAGGTTACAGTCTTGCGTTGATAGAAAAAAAAGAAAGTTCCTGGTTAGGACATCTTTAACCGCCTCTTCCTTACCTGACGGAATTGCTTTGAATGAGGTGCGCATACTGCAAGGGTAGAAGGGTGTCAGGTGAAGCGATGTTCTATCTTGCATCGGTATCCGTGCCAAACGAGGGTGTGTTGGTCTCATTCATTGCTGGTTGTGCATCTGCTCAGTACTGCAGAATGAATCGTCTCTTTAAAAACTGCTTCATGGTTTAATCACCTTTCTGTGTCCTTAAATCAACATCAACACCCTTTACCTGTTTTTTTTAAATTGCATTTTGAAACGTCAAGTCTGTTCCCCTAATAGCAGAGTGAGTAAAGGCGCAGACACACACTTACACACGCTGAAAGTATGTTTGTGGATGTCAGGTGAGGACATTGTTGGATTTGGTCTTAATATCCTGCCGACACTCACTGTGTAGCTCAAACATGAAGAGTGACCACTCGGGCAAGGTGCCAGAGTGAGGCTAGGTCCCATGAAGATTAACAACAAAGAAAATGATCGGCTGTGTTTTAAAGTTAACGCAACGAGCTAGCTTACAAAGAACAAGATTGTTGTTCTGCCATAGAGGTTACTGGTGTATTTAGCTGATACGATCATCCTTTTTTCATGCACATATAATATGCCAAAGCACCTTTGGGCAGAGCATCAATACTACATCAATCTGTCAATGTTTTGACTTATTGATACGTGTTCCTTAATATTCAGTCTGAGAGACTGAGTGGTTTCTGTTATCAAAATCCCAGACTTTTTGCTTCCACTGCCTTAGCACCTCAGGTGCATCTATCCACAGATATTATCCTGATGTGGATAGTCCTGCCACTGTAACGTCAGCCTCACATTAAAACAAACTGAGTTCCCTCCCCTTGAGCAAAATTTCTATTTAAATTATTAATGCTGTCTTTGCTTTAGACTATTGACACTTGATTCGCTCTAAATGTTACTGTAAACTTTACATGACTCACACTGTTCTACTCAGAGAGCACAACAAGCTGGGGATGCAACTTGCACACTGGAGCGAGGGTCTTATACTACTCAGCTATCCAGCACAAAGTTTCAGGTGTGACGTATAACCGCTTTTTAAATATCTGTTAGGATCTGCTGTTCAAGTAACTACTGTACAATGGTGAACTGAAAACTTGACTTCAACAATTGGCAAGGTTTAGCAACTGACGTTCCCTAATTGCATAAAAATGCTTTGGCCCTAATTCATTTGTTTTGAGAATGTTCTGTATTTGAATCAGGATAACCATAGTAAGCCCTGTTTCAAATCGTACGATTGGGTTCAAGATTTCACATACATTATCCTAGTGGAGAAGAGAGTGTTTAACCCATTCTCTCAGCCCTCCCAAGGGTTTTGACTGAAATTCTCGCTCTCTAGGGAGCTCCTCACTCTCTTCTCCATTAACTGATTGCCGCCTCGTTCTTTGTGTTGTGAAGCTGATTTTCATACCCAGGACAGGTTCATCATATTTCTCTTGTGTGCTGTCTTCTGACATAGGTGGCCAGGAAGATTACGTTCTCTCTTATGAGCCTGTCGGCCAACAGGAAGGTAAGCTAAGTGGAGCATGCAACGGACATGCAAAGGTTACATTTAATGGGTGTTATCCTGAAATTAAATAGTGGGAAATATTGCTTCTTGTTTTTCCTCCTGGTCTAACTTTGTTAAGATGTAGTACCTGTGTAGGAGGTTTTTTTGTACTATTTTCTCCCCCTTCAGTTCCTCCCCTAGAGCAATCCACAAATCTTGTACCACTCTGACCACAAGGACTATCTGGAGTATAAACCTTGAGATGTGTAACACTGCACGTCTGCTGATTTACTTTAATTCCTTAATATTACATACTTGGTGTTTTGCATTTTAACAAGATGATGTAGTAGGAGCTGTCAAACTCAGGGAGGGTCTCCCCACCCTTTTGCATTCAGACTTTTCACAAGATAGACAAGAATTCCATATTTTCCCAAGAATAATATATAAGGACAGGCAAAAAAAACATGATAAAGCATTTGGTAAGAGTGAGAGGAGAAAATCTGGAGCAGTTACTGGTTTGGGGAATGCATTGTAAAAGAAAAGAAGCCTGTCCTGAAATGAGAGAGAGAGCAAGGTCAGAAACAACTTGCTGGGAGAGAGGACAGGTCTTGGAGGAGGGTATAATCAGTGTGGATTATCAAGCCGTACAATAAGAACGATTTTTTTTATCTTAATAAAAAAACTAAGGATATTCAGTGCTAAAATGCAGCGGGATCTCAAATAACAACTACCAAATTATAGATCTGGGTTGCATTCTGATTATAGTTTAGTGAAGGCTCTAACCTTTCTGCCTTGTCTGTCTGACTTTGCATTCAGTGCGATACACCCGTCCTGTTATAATTCTGGGGCCCATGAAGGACCGAATCAATGATGATCTGATCTCGGAGTTTCCAGACAAGTTTGGATCCTGTGTTCCTCGTAAGTACTTGATCGGTTGTCTGTGAAACCTGCACGTGTGACACTGCAGGTGCGCTGACACCAGGTGCCTGAAATACAATGTCATCCCCAGCACGCTTATTCCTCGTCGTGATCACAAAATGGAAAGGGAAAGAGGGAAATCAAAATGGACACAGAGATAAAGGGTAACAGAAATGTTTCACTTCTTCCAGACACAACTCGACCAAAGCGCGATTATGAAGTTGACGGCCGGGACTATCATTTTGTTACGTCCCGAGAACAAATGGAAAAGGACATTCAGGATCACAAATTTATTGAAGCAGGTCAATACAACAACCATCTGTATGGTACCAGTGTGCAGTCTGTGCGAGAGGTGGCAGAGAAGGTAATGGAAGGCAATAATAATAATCCTTGCATTTGATATAGCGCCTTATGATTTCTTCACGACGTCTCAAAGCACTTCACATAATGTACTGTAAAGTGAATTGACTGTATATTTTGTGGTCGAAAATACAACCCGAGTCTTATCTAACCATCTCATTTTATATCCACCCTTTACAGCAAGTCGTGTTATTTTTACACTGCATGTAAATGTTTTAATGAACCCAGGACATGTAGCCTCCAGTCATCATTAGTTTCATGTGATTAAATGATCCCAAATGTTTAACCAATCATATATATTTCTATAAATATATAACCGCTCTTTCAATTGTATTAGGATTTAAAATAACCCCAAAAATAATTTGGCTCATTGCTTTACTTGTTTTTGTTCACCAAGGGGAAACACTGTATTCTGGATGTGTCAGGAAATGCTATCAAGAGACTTCAAATAGCCCAGCTCCACCCAATCGCCATCTTCATCAAACCAAAATCAGTGGAAAATATCATGTAAGTACTGATCTTGAGTGTCTGAACCAGTGTCTGCTGAATTAAGGACCATTTAACGGTCCTTGTGTGAACCTCATAAGGTTAACTTATAAGAGTCCGTTTTTGTCCACAAAATAAAAAACTGGATATTTATCAGTGTCTTTCATTTTATTAAAAAAAAGCAAGAAAACGGAGTGGGTGATGATGGGTGCAATTTGATGCAAAAGAACACTGGTAAATTCACGATATCGGACAATATCTGTCTCTGGTTTGCTTTCTCTCTCCATGTTAAAGAAAGTTAGAAAACGCCACTACATTTTTCAGAGCACTGCATGTTACCTCAATACTGATGGCACTTGTTAACCCTCACAGGGTTCAGAGATCATCTGTGAGTTGTATGTTAATGAGCAAAATTGTAGTACAAGTGTATCCCAGAAACCAAATGTAAGTCACGATTCTGGTGCGGGGAATTATAACAGGACGGGTGTATCGAAAAAAATTACATTCCCGTATTTATGGTAAAAATCAGTTAATTCCAAAGCTGACTTTAAATTTCCTTAGTTATATACCAACTTTTCAACTTGGGAACCTGAATGAATGCAACCCAACATGATTGAGTACAAAACTCTTCTTATGGGCATAAGGTTCCTGGACTCGATGAGTTTTAAAATTATGAATGCATTAACCAGTAAACTTGTGTGGGAAGAGCTTAATGTATTTCTTATTAAGTCTGTTCATTTCCACAGTTCAGATATCTGCGGTTCCCTGAGGCAATATTGGTAGACCCTCAATTTATTGTTTGTTGCACCACCTACAGCCACTTAATACTATTGCAGCCCAGTTCCTGGTAATAACTGCATAAATTTGAGGAGAATTGGGCAGAAAACAGTTCAGGAGTTCCCCCACAATTCAATATGGTGTAGAAACAAAATAAAACCACAAGTAGTGAGTGGTGAGTTGACACAAAAGTTGAGTTAGGTTCTGGCTGAGTGGATGTAAGTAGATTAGCTGTCTGCTCTGTGTTCAGAATAGTCTTTCGCACTTGTTTTCATCAGATATAGCTGTTTCATGTAACCCCTTTCTATTCTTATGCACCAGAGAAATGAATAAACGTCTGACAGAAGATCAGGCAAAGAAGACTTTTGAGAGAGCCATGAAACTTGAGTTGGAGTTTACAGAGCATTTTACAGGTCAGTATCTTGCTTAAGTGATGGACAGAGGATTGTAATACTCCAGAAATAAACTAGACAACATTTGCTAATTTACCTTCTTATTCACAAAGTTTCATTAAAATCTTACAAATTCTGTGACCCAATGGAGTACCTCACAAGCTGCTAACAGACCAGTAGCTGTGATGCTCACAGTTTCTCACGAGTCTTCCTGTGAGGCATGTTCTTTACTTTTTTTAAAAAAAAACTTCCTTCGATGGGAACAATCGGTCATAATTGTCCTTGAAGCCTCATCCACATGAGTACTGACGCCCTTAAGTTTACATCTCACTCTCAGTGTCGTGCAGAACTGTAGCCGCTCGGGGACTATTAATGTGATTTAATACAACAACTTGTATTTTTATGGCACACTTCAGGCATAGCATCTCTTAGAACTGGCTGAGGGAGCAATGAATGGCCCTGTAGCTGAGTTCTCTCAGCCATTGATAGCATGTATGCTGGCAAATCACAGTTCACCTCAGTCATAAGAGCATAATTGAGATCTGAATACCGATTTTTAAAAAATAGTCATACAAGATTTTCTTGGGTGTCCCAGCATTACGGATTAACATGGTACTAAATGACGCAGCAACTTATGAATGATTGACTCTTTCTGTAATGCACAGGGATTGTCCAGGGAGACGTGCTGGAAGAGATTTATAATCAGGTGAAGCAGATCATTGAGGAGCAGTCAGGCCCCTATATCTGGGTCGCGACCAAGGAAAAACTGTGAAGCCTTTTCATAATCAACATCGCCCATTGAGTGTGACGGCTCTGGACCGTTCTGCAGGAGTCATCGCATCCTGCTTTGTTCGCAGATCTCTCTGTCTCTCTGTTTCTCATGAAAAGTGATGTATCTTGCACTGGGGACGCTTGTGTCTCCTGTTTGTGAAAATTGCTTGTATGTGATACCCAACAAAATTACCACCGTTTTATTTTGAATGAAGGGGAAAGGCCTGACTAGCTGTTGAAGGGAGATTCTATGGTACAGTTCCTTAATGTTTAAGGGCAACAACTCTTCAGTGATTTTCAGAGAAGCTTTATATATATATATTTTTCTTTTAAAGAAAATACTACTTAAAGGAAGGAACAACAAACACTCAGAGCTCTTTTGCACGTTGATCTATGGAAACATGGTTTTGGCAGAAGGGATGTCTACCACAGCATCTTGGGTTATATGTAACGTTTTACTTTCATCTGCTTTAGTGACCTCATATATGTTGAACAAACTAGAAAATCATCAGCCTTTAATGTACAGAAGGAGTTTGATGTTCACTTTACGAAGGGGCTTCACAGACAATGCTTTCATCCTTTCCTTCTGCCAAGTTGAAGTGCACGAAATGTAAACCTGTTTATATTGAATGCCGATCAGGGGCACTGAAATCTTCCTTCCACTCTTGTAGAGGAATAACTTTTATGAATTTGGTTATGGGGGGTGGGCAAAGAGGTGGATATAATGACTATTTTGCGTGCTTGGGATAGTCCTATTTTAAATAATAGCTGACATTTCAATAGTATTTTGCAAGCGTATGTTTCTCTGAGCCGGGGGTGATCAATCCATAAAGAAATGGAATTGGCTGAGAGGTGAAGCTAAACGCTAATCAGCTCTTTGTAATGGGGTGTAAGATTTACAATTTTAAGGTATATAATTAACCCTCAGTAATTATGTATTTTGATATAAATTATCAGCTATATTAAGCATACATTTAACAAAATGCTCTATAACTCACAAGAAATGTTTTTAAAATAGTTGCACACACATTCTTTTCTTTTTAGCCATCTTCCCCTCAGATTTTTTCCCTTTCCTAATACTTTAATCATCTTTAAATTTACAAGTTGCACAGGGAGTGTGACGGGTTCGAACAGTGTTCAGAGAATACATGTTCCGAGAAGCACACTCACAACCAAGCCAGTTCTCTTATTTCTTCCCTGTGAATTCTGTGTGAGATTCTTTCAAGTGATGCTGTGCATGTTTTCAGAACATTAAGAGAGATTTTAAAAGAAAAAAGATTTTTAAATTTTCTGTAAGTTTTGAACCAGCAATTGCAAAGATTGTCATATCTTTGGTTGTAGTTCTCACTCAGAGTTGTACAGGCTTCTGTGTCGAGAAGATATATATATATATATATATTTTAGCGGTTATAGATCTCAAACACTACAGCATTAGATTTAACTGCCTGATACCTTTGCTAGTTATTCTGAGATTTGGTTTTATATAGGAATTATGTGCTTATCCCTCTCGTCTTCCTGGAGCTACAGTTTGTAAATACTGTCACCTATATCCATTCCATTTGTCAAGAGGGGAACAGCTAATAAACTTTAATGTACAATTTACTACATTGAATTTGTTTTCTTTAACTTGTTTTAATTTAAAAAATCTTTGCTTATTGAAAGTTTATCAAACAGTCAGCGAGTTAAAACCAAGAGGTTCTGTACCGTAGCACAATATTGGTTGAAGACTGGGGCCTGTCTGAGATACCTCAGTCATGGTGGGAGGCAGTATGGTGCCCTCAGTGGATTTTAATTAAACCTACCATCATTGCTGAGTGATGCAGTCGACACATAACTACATCTTCATTAAAAACAAATGACAAGTTTACATCGCTGGTTAATGACTACGGTAAGAATTCATGGGAAAAGGATTACAGTCTGGCACTGGATGGATAATTAGCTGAACCGCAAATAGGTTTCAATGCAATCTTTTTAAGCTGGAGAAATGTTAAGAGCTGAGTACCTTGAGAAGTTGATAATAATGATAATCCTTGTATTTGAGACACCTTAACAGAATGTACTGTAAAGTGAATTGACTATTTTGTGGGCAAAACGGGAAGAATTTTGAAGGGATTATTACCCCCCCCAGAAAAGTGATCCACTAATCGACTAACAACCGGGTTCCTACTCAACTCTAGGTAAACAGAGGCTTGTGGAGTAAGGAAACCTGCCTAATATTTTGCCCTGCCCAGGAATTGAATCCAGGTACTCCCTCTTGTGAGGCGAGTGCCAAGAGGAGGTTGACAAAGTGAAATGACTAACACATTACATAATAAGGTGTAATGGTTGTGATTCACTTGCCAATGTCTCAGCACAAAGTGACCTGCCACTGATCTTGGAACATGGCCTGGCACAATAGAAAAGTGACCAAAATAATCCCCTGACCCCTCTCAATAGCACCAATCAACTCTGTAATTTGCTGAAAAAGTTCCCTGCAATTTTTGGCAAATATTTCCTCCATTTTCTATTGTTTTTTGACATTGCCCATTTTAAGCATTATAAATATAATCTTGCATCCGGTAATTTTTTTCTTCACAAGGCGTGGACATTGTGACGAGACAGCAGGTGGAAAATAAAACCTGAAGAATGACAGCTGCAGAAAAGTTAGTGCTAAAATTAGAAACTTTATTAATCGTTTTTCTTACTTGTTCCTAGTATTATTTTAATCGCAGTTTCACTTAAGATTTAAACTTTCAGTGAATCACAGACAGGAGGCACTGTGGCTGACAGGATTCAGGCAGTACTTATCCAGCATATATACCCACATTGTACATCTGCAAACTGCACAACTACAAAACAGTTATGGGCAGCAGTGAATGATATGTAGGGTGTAACTCAGTCTCTTTTTGTTAAAAGCTGCTAATCTGGGGGCTCATAGATGTAAGAAATGTGGAAATTGAATATTTTGTCCATGTCTGACGGCTCAAAGAGGTGAAATTTCTCTTGCCACTAAATGTAGTATCTGATGTAATAAGGATTTCCCCATTAGAAGTACCAGTGCTATAATGTGGTTCCCATTCTAAACACAAGTGATCGTGGTAAGAGAAACATCTCGCCTTTGAATGTTTAGGATTAGTCCACGTTAGATACAGAATAGATTCCCTCTATTCTGCTCTATTATATGCGATTTAACCCTAACTTTAGAAATACACCCACTATATTACCAGCATATTTCTTAAGGCTTGGCTCAGTGTTGCTCAGAATAGGCAGTTTTGAACTGTACCTTACTCCTGCCAATATTTCATACAGGTCCTCACAGACAGCAAACACTTTAACCCCCTCAATTAAGGCTGGATTAAAGATCAACTCCCAGAAGTGAAAGGTTACTGCACTTAGCTCCTGCAACTACCCAGTCAATTGGGCAGGAATTTTGAGACTTTCGTAATATTCTTTACCTAATACGTATAAAAGCAGTGTTGTACAATATAGGCAGTCAACAGATAAGTTTTTTTTATACAAATACCTGAACTTCACCCTTCCATTTAAAATTAGTCAAAATAAGAGCTTTAAAGGAAATAAAAAATTGATTGAAACAAGAGGTTTAAAGGAGAAATGCTAATTTGTAGTGATTTGTAAAGACAGGACTCTGGTATCAAATTCTGCAGGGAACCTGGATGTGTCTCGAGCTGGAGTGCTGATCTGCCAAGGACCTCCTTTGGCAATTATTCAGATTCATGGAGACGAGATTGGATCTGAACTACAGTGAGTTCCAGCCAATCTGGCATCAGACATCAATATTTGAGAATCTCTTTACACATCCCACAAATCAAACTCCCGTGTGGAGGAAGAACAATGGATGAAATTTTAGAAGAGCCTTTTTATTTGCTCAGTAAGGTCAGAGGCTAATCCCACGCCCTCTCTTTCCTGCACCTTCAACTCTTTAATATTCCATTAGCTACAGATTTCTTCCTCCAAAGAAATTAGTGAACAGCATCAATGAGATTTAGCAACCTGGAGTCAAAACTGCTTAATGTTAGCAAGGCCACCACACGTGAACTTGGTAGCAATGATTACCACAAAAACAACTCCACTGCTCAGAGAAGTTCTGATGATATATGTAACAGGCAATTGCATACGCACTGATATGGCTATTGCCCCTAGAGATGGTATGCACAAAATACGTAACAGATAGTTGGATCTGCTCAGTTGCAGAATTTGTGCGTGTGTAATGAGATTTGAAACTGTTTCTGCTGAGAGAAGCTATGGACATTTTAAAAAACATTGTATAAGTTGTTCCATTATATGTAAATGGCATCATAAGTTTTTTTTTACATCAGTAAATAATGCAGACAGACCTGCTTTCAGGTGACAGAAAATTAATGGACACCAGGAACTCTTTAGAAGCCACCAATCCTGAATAATTTCTCTACAGTAAACCTCACATGTCAGTTAGGAGTATAGATATAATATGACTTATACAAAGTATGAGTAATATCAAACTTTCATAGAATATACACTCTTGAACTGGACTTGGGCAGATGTATGCCTTAGACGATTATACAGATCAGACTTATGTGAGTTTTACTGCACTATGTGAGGGGATAAATATAACATTTGATGGCTTGTGAGTAAGTGGCCTCATGGAGTACAGGAAAGCTCGGTATCTTTTTGCTTGATTTGGATGTCCGTGCCATTGCCATCTTGATTTGGAAAATTCATTCTTTGATCCAGGGTGTTTCATTTTGGGTTCCTTTCCTCTGGTTATACAGCAGGACAGGAAGAAAACTCACAGGCTGACGAGGCAGGTGGAGCACCTGGAACTTACATGTGGCAATGGGCGAGTAGGAGACTGAGGAGAATCAGCAGCCAGAAACTTGCGGATGGAATCACTGTTTAAACAGCAAAAGTTGTTATTAACAGAGTGATGAGTGTTCACAATTCCCACGTAGTCAGTCCCCAGCTGACAGTGAAACCCACCCCCTCCCCACTTTTACAGGACCAATAGTTCTATTGGAATCATAGAATCTTATGGCACAAAAGGAGGCCATTCGGCCCATCGTAAGTGTGCTGGCTCTTTGAAAGAGCTGTCCAACTAGTCCCACTCCTGCGTTCTTGCCCCATAGCCCCGGAAAATTTTCATTTTCAAGTACCTTTCCAATACTAAAGACATATATCCTTTAGATTTAACACTTATTTGTTCTGTGCTGCTAGGACAAACCTGCATCTATTAGAAGCTGATAACATTCATTTTCTCTCATTGGACAAGGAGAGGGAACAGCACTGCACAGAACAGCTACAAATACAAACTAAATGTTATTCTGCAAAAAAAATCGCTGATGTTTATGGGCCCGTATAATGAGGAAGGTTGTACAGCACATCTGGAGAGAGCCAGCCGTTCCCAATTATGTCATTCTCTCTAGCGTGCACCACCCTGTTTAAATATAAAGAACCGCTGTGATTGTAAAATCGTGAACTGGGCAAGTTAAGGTTCGTTAGTCCTGGTGAGTTTGGGCTCATAGCAGCGTTTTATTTCACACAGGACCCTTGAGGCAACAGCCTTGGCTGAATTAGTGTCCCACAGTAAAAGTGCAGTGGACGTTTATTACTTAGTTAATCTTAAATGTTGTACAAACTGAGGGGTCTCTCACCTGCACCAGAACACTCCAAATTTTTAAAAGCTTTGAAGTAGTTTTCTCCGATCCACTTTAAGTAAGTATTCTTCTCCCCCACTGGGGTAAGTTTCAAAGTGGAATCTTTAAAGATCAAATCAGTTCCGATGTAGTTTGAGGAATCAAACATTTTAAACCCATTGGGGTTAGTGTCGTTGCCAAAGAACTCCTGGAAATAGAGAAGCCAACGTATTATTCAATTGCTTAACTTGTGATTCACCTCATGACTTGGAGACCTTTATCATGGGAGTTTCAGATGTGCTGTGTGTATTCCACGTAATTAAATGCCAACAATATTCCAGATTAATTTATCATACAGCTGGTTGTAAGACCTTGCTGGCACAAAAAACATCCATGTTTGCTTACAAAAAGAGATACTGTGCTTAACAATCATTACTTGTCAAATGTTTCAGGGTGAAAAGGAGCTGTAAAAATGCAATGTTTTCTCTCTCTCAATCTGTGAGCCACTGGTTTAATTTGAACTGGAATTCTTTCTCTTTGCTTACATAGAAACAGGAGTAGGCCATTCAGCCCCTCAAGCGTGTTCCGCCATTCTATAAGATCATGGCTGGTCTGTACCTCAAGTCCAATTACCTGCCTTTGCCCCATATCCCTTAATACCCTGATCTAACAAATAGCTATCCACCTCCATCTTGAAGATGTGAATGGATCTATCACCGACAGCTTTTTGGGAGAGAGAGTTTCAAATTGCCACTACCCTTTGGGTAAAAAAAACTGCTTCCTAATTTCCATCATCAGTAAGCGAGACACCTACCTGTGCTTTATCAAGCAGCCCGAACACCACAGAGGTAGGAGTTGAAGGATGGACCATGACAGCATGAGATGGAACTCGAGCCCAGTGGCACTGCTTCCACTGATCAACCTCTGCCCGCGCTCCGTTCAGGCACAGCAGCTGATAATCACTAGATTTCAGATATTTGGCCCAGGGATCCTGGTTGTTACCTAACAGGAAATTATACCCATTAAAACTGGGAAGTTTGGGTTATAATTACAATGAGAAACATTATCGATCAAGGCCATTCATTCAGAAGAATGGTTCAGGGAACCAAAGCCACCTCTGGAGAAGAGATAGAGAAGAGATGTGATGCTAATCTTTAAATTGCCAAATGGGTGAATAATCTGATCAAAACCATTCTTGTAATTTGCAATCCCAGCACTCATTGACTTGACTGTCGGAATGGCTAACGTAACTAACCCATTCCTTCCCAGAACTTCAAGAGGGTGGCACTGCCTATTGTACACACTTATAAAACCCAATGGTTTGTGTCACTTAACCATCATTCCTTGATTTACCTGATCCTCTTTACAACTTTGATTCTGTATTATAAATGTAATTAATGATTCCTCCTGTATGGTTAATCAAAAAGAACATTTGAGAATTCTGTATCTTATGAGTATCTTATTTTATGTCTTCAAAGAAACTCCTTCATGTTAAACACCTTGTTTTCAATTGTTTTATGTCAATGATTAAAGGGGGCTGCCATCACATTGGATGAGCCAGAAATAAGTTACTTCAAAAGTTGCGTTTAAATGGTGTAACTACATCAGCCAAAACTCCTATGCAAGTACTATAAAGCTATGAAATACAAAATTCTTAATGTCTTATTGTTTAAATTCAGTTTGTAATGATAACCAATGATACTCGCCATCAGTGTTCTCGGAGACTGTCGTGTGCTTAACAAATGCAACTTCTCCTGCTTCTTGAAGACACCTAGTGATGGGGTTAAAAATGGAAAAAATGCTTAATGTTTAAAAAAAGTGTGGTAACAGAATAGTGCAGCAGTTGGTGGGTGCAACAAATTACAGACACTCAAGATTCTGTGCATAGAGAACCCAATCCTCTTCTGCATTCATATCAATATCATCTACTTCTCAAACTCATTGTTTTCCTAGTGCCTCAAATATGTCCAGCTCCTCATCTCCCTCAGTCTAACCTTTCTCCTACAATCCACAGCTTTTTAAAATCTAGTTTGACATAACCTAACAGCTATGTTATTTCCTACCTTGATGGTATCCTGCATTGCAGGCCTCAGCCTAGGTTTCACAATTTTCAAAAGAATCATGCCACATGAGAATTTAAATCATAGGCTGATTGTACCAAGAAATTATATCAGTGTTGAGGTTAGAGTCCACGTTAAAGCTATTATGAAGATTAGCTCAGCACTGTAAATTTTTTTTATTTTAGTCATGTTTTACAGCAGCTGACTGAGCCTAAATTTATCAAGGTGTATAGATTAAAGTCAGTTTCAGGCATAAATTCTTCCACTATCACTTTTGACAGTGAACTAAGATTCTCTTTGTTCAGATTCCCCTCCACTCTGCCAGACTGACCTATTGTACTCACAAAAGCATCCCATCTGTTTTTTAACATATATGTTGCTCACATTTATGTTCTGTTCTCCAATTCCATCTATTTTTGTAGTACTTTTTCTCCTCGTTAAGTTCAAACAGTGTTTCCTGATCAGAACAGCAGGTGGGAATGTTCTCCACAAGCTTTAGCAGAATGGCTTTGTAACTGCTGAGGGGAATGGTTCAGTATGCCTTCACTTAACCCAGTGTCTGCAGAGCACCAGGGTTCCAACAGTGAGGAAACACAAACCTATACATGTGCCTTGACATTTGCTGCTCTGAGTGTTGCCATCCTACCTGCCATCCAGACACCAATAGATACTGCTTTAACTTTAAAATGCCACCTGACGTCTATGAATATATCAGCGATTATTGTGTTTACCTCCCGTGATTAGAATCTGCACTCTTTAAGGCTGGCAACATGCCATTGAAGACTAGCTGCTCCCGCAGATGTGGGATTGAAATTTATGGGTTGTGTATAGCTCAATTCATAGTAACAGTAACTTTACCAACTGAGGCATCGGTGGAAGCCTCAACATTGATCATGTTTGCTCTATTACCTGAAAGCTCCAGCATGGCCACTATATTGCTCCTCTGAGGTGGAGGCACATTTTGCCTTCCCCTGGTTATCCCCAATGCACAGGTCACACAGGTTGGATGGGTATCTATGTTCACTGGCACCTGGCAGACAACTGGCAGAGAAGAATTCACTGAGTGCTGCACAGGAACAAGAAGGAACTCTGTTAATCTCCATCCGTGGGACAGGGAACCTTACAATTCTGACTAAATTTCTTTAATTTCTACAGATGCTCCACAATTTTTCTACCTCTATATTTGTGGAGAGTAATTTCCATAAGCAATGTCAAAACATGGTGATAAAATGTACAAGTATATGTCCTATTAAATGACTGAAAAATAAGCAGCTTCCCAACACAAATCGTCATTACCTTTGCCGTAGTTACAGTTGGAAATCTTGAGGGCACCTCTCTCAATCAGGAGCCCAACAGGGATGGTCCAACCTGCTGACCTGCCCACACCAGTGTGGCATGATTTCTTTCCTTTCAAATCATTGATGGTGAAGGAATTATGGCTTTCCCTTTTCACCACTGCTACAGCAAAGTACATTGCTGCATCATCTTCCCCTGGACAGCACATGAAAGCAATTGTACAAGAACATCAATACAGGAATGAATCCTGCAGGATAAATAAATAAGAATGGTAATTTATACAGCATGTCCAGCTCCCTACCTATTATAGCTTTGCCTTCCAGGGTTGAGCACATATCCATTTTTTTGAAAAAAACTGATGAACCAGACATGCTGCCCTGACATCAACAATGGTTAGAAATACATTACTCCACAGTTGGTAGAAATCGGGATCTAACACGTGTAAAACTCGCATAAATGGTATTTTTATTAATCTTATAATCATCCAAGTCACACATGCACCTGAGTCCAATTCAAAATCTTCCTATTCAAAATCACTTAAGAGATTTATTTGTACTATTCGTACTTTAATCATCTCCTAACGCTGCTCCCCTATACTTCTGCAGTCACTGCGTTGTATGAATATTGACCCGTTGCCACATGTCCACTTAACGGCAAGCAATGGAATCGCATTGAATCACAGGAAATGAAGTTGATGGAACAAGACTATGTTTGCCATGATTCAATGCAGCCAGTTAGAAAGTGCACTTACTGCACTTACCCAGCATCTTGGGACGTCCTCCTGACGTGAAAGGTGCTATACAAAGTAATTTTGTTGTTGTATTGAATCGGGGGAAATGAATTCCTGACCTGTTGACACATGTGCACTTACTAACCGGCTGCATTGAAACATGGCAAACGTAGTCTTGTTCCATCAATATCTGCAGAAGAACTTCATTTCCTGTGATTCAATGCGATTCCATTGCTTACCGTTAAGTGGGCATGTGGCAACGGGTCAAGACTCATTGAATCACAGGAAACAGTGTTGACCCGTCGCCACATTTGCACTTACCGGCTGCATTGAATTACATATTTGCAATGTAGATTACTCATTAAATCAGATTTTAAATGATTTATACAGCTCAACTGCAACTCAGACTTTGCATAAGTCATATTAAATGTTATGGTCCCAACTGATATGGTGCATGTGAGTTCTATTGTAGTTTACTATCATCAGGTTGGGTTTTTCATCAGGTTGTGCAGTTTCTTATAAACCTCTTGTTGTTTTCTCTCTCCCACCCTCTCCTGAAGGTACTCCCAGAGACACTGAGGCCAATGGTATCATACCTACTGTTGCCCTGAGCAGGACCTATTAATTTAGATCAGACAAGAATTGGATCCTAGGTCCTCTGGACTGTATAGTTTAGATCCACACTGAACAGAGGCTTTATCAGGAGAAAATTGCTTGTACAATTACGCAATACCCACTAATGACTGTTATTGGTGGATCATGGTTACATTATCTATACAGCAGGAATCATTTTCTTGTCTAGTTATCCGGTGCAGAAATAGGGATTTTGTTTCCTTCTGAACACCTTTATGATCTTTCCTTTTATCACCTCTTATTTAATTTACTCCTTACCGGAGTAACTTTCACCCACTGCAGGCACCAGGCCATACTCTTTCCCAGCAGTGTAGATCTGTTGTGCATCCATCTTGACTGCATCAATATCCCGATTCTGGAAAGAAGCAAGGAACGTAATTGATGCTGTGAAAATTTCACCCTGCAGGACCTTAAGCACGGTAAATACTGGTTGCAATCCCAAGCAGCATCTTGCTCATTATGCTGCACATGACAGTAACTGGCTCAGTATTGGGCTGTATGAATGAATACTGTGAACAGAACTTATTTTAAATACCGATAGGTGATCAATAATGATGCACTGTGAACTCCACTCCCCATGGCACCCTCCCGTCGCAAGGGAAGGGAAACCCAGGGAAGCCTGGAAATACTTATCGTGTTGCTATCCCTTTAGTATGAGAGCTCTATTTAACGGGATATATTAGCATTTGTTCTAAGTGGTTTCAAGAAGGCAACAAGTGAGCTGGTTCTGATTCCTTATTGTCTAATGACAGTTGGGTCTCCCGATGCAATCAGCTCCAATCTAATTGGTTAACGGTTGGCCAGAGAGGATGACAGGACCCACCCTCCATTCAGAAGAAAGCTTTGAAATTACACAATCTGATCCGTGAGCAATTAAAGGCTCCATTGTTTCAGGGTTCTGTGCTGGTCCCTGACATCCTTTAGATTGACCAATGGAAGTCCTTGTGCCAAGGAACTGTGAAGCTTGGGCCCCATTTCATATACATCAGCTGCCCATCGGAACATTCCCCTCTCAACCTTCAAACACATCAGCTCAAAACCCTCATTACAGTGTCTCCTACTCATTACCAGGACTGCAAGACTAATCTCCCACAGTCTTCCCTTCCTCCTACAATCTATTCGCTTTTAAAAATCCAACCAGGTTGCCACCTAACCATTATTTCTTGATTGATTTTCAACTTCTCTCCACTTTATAAACTGAGTCCTCCAGGGTCTTTGACCTGGGTTTCGCAATAAATAAATGAAAATGTGTTTAATAGCAAAAAGGATTTGGTTCTTCTAACAAGTGGCTGAAAACAATCCATCTTATTCCACTCTTACATATTCTCTATATCCTTCATTTCTCTTTTTCCAAGTATCTTTCTAATTTCCTTTTAAAATAATCTACTGACTGCCTCAAAAGTGGTTTGATGGCTTCCCCGACAATTCCACACTCCAAATAGCCTCCGAACTGAGACTGTTTTCTAACTTCCATTTTAATTTCTGTTGTGATTTTTTTTAACATTTGAGGTCTGTTAAACATTTTCATCTTAAAATCCTTTATTCAGCCCAATATTTTAAATATATATTGTATCAGGCCAGGAATGTATCTTCAATCGATATCTATCAGATATTTTTCCACAAAACACATACTACACTTCATGTTATATCCTGTGACGCACTATGAGACATCCTAGTGCAAGGCGCTATACCAAATGTAAGGATTATTATTATTTGCAATAATAATAATCCTAGCATTTGATACAGCGCTTTTCACGTATTCTAGACGTCTCAAACGCTTCACAGAATATGCTGTAAAGTGAATTGACCGTATATTTGTGGGCGAAACATGGCAGCCAATTGCGCACAGCAGTGTCCCACAAACAGTCGTGGATTGAAAATAACCAATTTCTTATTGATTTGTTTTGGAGGGATTATTATTAGGCGTGTGGAGTAAGGAAACTTGCCTAAGGTTTCGCCCTGCCTGGAATTGAACAAGGTGTCTCGCTTGCAAGGCGAGTACTCTAATCACTGAGCTACAGGACTCCACAATGTTGGAAGAAGGAACTCATGCCATTTCTACATGGAAACAAACCAGTGCCAAGGTTAGGAAGATATTGCTGATCCTTTGCTAAACAGATTGAAACAGAGTTCTGCATGGCCCATTTACACTGTGTCCAACCAAGAACAAAATGTTCGAAAAGCTTTCAGCTGTGTGAACTTGACAGAAATATGTGTGCAGGAAATCAGGTAGGAAGGAACATAAAGGTATGTTGAGGGAGCGGTACTAAAATAGGAAGGGAACAAGTGATCGACGAATCCAGAGTGTTGGGGGCAGTCAGACGGAGACAAAAACAGATAAGAATCAGGGTTACTTAGCGTTAAGTCAATACAGAGTAGGAAATGGCAAAAAAACAATTTTTTTCAGGTGAAAGTATACATTAAAAATATATGTATACCCACATTAAAACCACATTTTTTCAGCAACTCAAAAACAGCCTCAGCCCTATAAATACTGTACGGATATGAGTCGCACCTTGATTTTCTGCATGCAGTCAACGGGATTTTTGGCTGAAACGCAATGAACTGTTGGTTTCAGCTTCTCCTTGTTGAAAGCTATAGCCATATCACTACATTTCTGCAACTCGCCTGTCGATTGAGTGCACCAGCGCAAGGTGGGGACGCCTGTGTTAAGAAAGCAGAATAAGGTTACTTACTGCCTGGGACGGTTACAGTGTTTTAACATTTACACAGTCAATATCACAATCGCATGCAGCTCTCGCTTTGTTTTTTCCAGTAAAAAGCAACACCAACAATTTGCATTCATATAGTGCCCCTCATGCATCCCAGAGTGCTCGACAGTGGTGGAGCATGACGCCGAGCCGGGGAATGGTGACTGTAAGCACGATCAAAGAGGAAGGCCTTCAGGCATAACCTGAACCTGGGGAAGGAGGGGGCAAGACAGAGCAATTCAGGGAGAGAGTTCCAGAGTTTCCAGAGCCAAGGCTCTTATGCAAACAACTTCCATGGGATGGGTTTAGCCACTAAGCATGGAACTGAGTCCCATCATGAGCCAAACTTTCAGGACAGGGGAAAAGAAAGTGGATGGAGAGGAGCAAAACTGACATGACGCCGATGATCTTTGTCCTTAAAGGGATTGGACTCCAACCGAGTCATTCATTATTAATAACATCAGCCTGCAAATCAAAGCACTAAACAGTAAGGAAGCCATAGCTGGTGCAGCTAGTGGACTGTGAAACTTATCAGTGCTTGAATGCAACACAGTGAGAATCTATCTTGGGTGGCTCGTCCACCAGATACTGATGGATTGGAATAACAGGTTGTCTCCATGCTTAAAGGACAGAATTTTTCAGACATACATGTTATATCCTCTCTATTCTATGGGATAAATGCAGGAATTAGGCAGTACAATACTGCAGCAGATTTTCAAGTCTTGACACACCCTAGCTGCCACTTCTTAACTGCCCGTGCCTTCAGCTCCCCTCTCGACTCTCTTCCCCCTCCTCGCTCCCTCCCTTCCCTCCCCTCACCCTGACCATTTCCCCCCTCCTTGCTCCCTCCCTTCCCTCCCCTCACCCTGACCATTTCCCCCCTGCTCGGGACATGACCCAACTGTGCAGCGCCCTGGGACGTCCTCCTGACGTGAAAGGCGCTTTATAAATGGAATCTTGTTGTTGTTGTTGTTGTTGCCCTACTGTATCACCTGTGTATTCAAGATCCAAATCAATGTCTTTAAGATCATCACTGGAAAACCTTACTTACTGTCTGAGCTGCAGTCCAGTCCTCGCATGGCACCTAGGTACTCTGGTCCCAGCCAGGCCTCATATGTCTTGTTTAGAATTTGAATCAGTTCTGTAGTGGTGTCCTTGAACATCAGATCAATGCCACCATAAACGTCAGACTCAAACATCTTAAAGCCAGATGAATTGGCACCAAAATGTTGCTGGAAGTAAAGAGCTCAGGATTATAAAACTCCTTGCACATCACAGCAAAGAGGCAGAGTTTATTTGCCCCAGTGAATGTTACCAAGTCCCAAAGTCAGTGATCTAATGAGTAAGTAATGAGATTAGAAGACTCGCACGTGTGTGTGTGTGTGTGTATGAGAGAGAGAGTGTGAGTGTTAATAGCAGTGTCTGAGTAAGCAATGGTGCATGTTTGTAAGTGACTGTGTCTGTGTTTACAGTGTGTGTGCAGGGAGGGAGACTGTCACCGTCAAACCTCACACATGCCACTTGAGCAAATAACACTCATCTAATTGGAATCGTCTCCAAGAGAAGAGGAAATTGATGAGTGAATAAACAAAAATAACATTTGACAATTCGTTCAATTAAGTCGCCATACCTGACCAGCATTTAGAAAATTAAAGATCTCTGTATCAGATCGGACCACAACTGCACGGCTGGGCACCTTGGCAAGGTGACAGGTATGCCACTCTGTGACTTCAGCACGGCTTCCATCCCGACACAGGAGCTGGTAATCACTGGAGTTAAGGCCTTTTGCCCATTCTTCAGCATTCTTCCCTGAACGGTGGTTCAGAACAGTCAAACTATTGCGATTTACATAATACTCCTCTTAACAATAACACAGCTTTATATTCCACAAATACTCCAAACCTGCTCCACAGAGACTGTCTGTACCCACAATGCTGGGCAGTAAACTATCCTTTAGAGCAATTCAGAAGTGAATGAGAGCCTGTTACAAAACCTGAATCTACAACTCGAGTGTTGTGAGAATAGTTATCAATTACTGCCCTGTGAGTTAGTAGTAAGTGGTCTCATCCGTTTTTTTGATCATCAAACAAGTTTTTTTAGAATTATAAAATACAGAAAGGGCTACCCCGGTGGATTAATCCACTCCAATTGTTGTTGGATAGTGTACATGACCAGGATTTTAGTCATAATTTTGGGTGCGCTCAGGGTGCGCCCACTGGGTAGCCCACGAGCGCACCCAAAACTATAACTAAAATAAACATGAGGGTAATCATATAAATTACAGAAGGATGCTCAAAATGTAAATAAAAAGTTTCCCGAAAATGTATGTACAGTAAACATATGAAAGTCTGAAATGGTTCCCACTTCGGATCATTATCTACTGACTCCTAGTGGAAAACATTGTATTGAGTGAGGAAGTCTAACTGTGAGATCATAGAGGATAGGATCAGGTTTATTTATGACGTCCCCATAGTTGCTGACACTCAATGTCCAGGCTCGCACAAGGCCACTACCACTCTGCAGTACAGTGCAGTGGCACCATTGTCCTGCCCGAACTACAGCATTTCAATGGAAAATGAAACTGTGGGGAAGGGGAGGGAGAGGAGAAAAACAAGTTATCCATGAACAAGCCCCTCCAGCTGTCATAATGACATAATTACAAACAGTCATCACTCCAGTACCAAACCGTGCCATCCTGCTCGAGCAGGGCACTGTGCCAGTGGATATGTCACTGAAGGGCCTTACATCATCTCTGCCTCATATTAAGAGCCGCAGGCTGTGATAACGCATTCTCAGAATGAGCTGAGAATGTGCCTTTCTTTCATGCTTCCCAAGGACTCTTGTAACTGGTGCACTCCAGCAGCAACAAGCACCACAATATTAATGAGCTGAATCAAAGCTTCCAAACTTGCTGTACTTTGAGAGCAGCAGTCAGGGTGCTTCGTCGCCTAATTTTATTATTTTATTCTTTATTAGTCACCTAATAAAACACCTACAGGTGTAGGGAAATTCACTCTTTTCCAATACAGTTTGGCAGGGAAGGAAAGCAAACTCACAGGAAAGAAGTTGTATTATTTTAAAGAATCCCGGTTTGACTACACACATCTGGATTTATTCAATGTAACAATTCATTGAGGTATGTTTTTCTTGTCCTGGCCCCATTTTACCCACCTCTATTGCAGCCAACCTGTGGTTCTGATGAAACATTATCCTAACTCTCTTTTTCAGACACCTGCCGTGAATTTTCTACTTGAAATTCAAATATTTGAAGCATTTATCTTGTGTTATTTACATGAAAGGTCTCAAAAGACAGTAAACACTGAGAGGCATTTTGATGTGACCGAAGGTATGGTTGAAGAGATAAGGCTTTTGAAAGCAGGGAGATGAATGGGGTGAATATTGAACTGGGTCTAACAATTGAGAGGAGGAAAGAATTGAGGCTTAACTCACCATCTGTGTTATCAAACACTGTGGAATTTTTGATAAAGGCAACATCACCTACTTGCTCAGCAAGACACCTGCGAGAGAAGAGGGCATATTGAAATAGTTTTTCCCCTGCTGACACCATAGCCTGTGATGCACTCACAGGATCTCTACATGTTTGCGAAAGCTCTTCAGTAATGGTCACTTCATTGAGAAGTGTTAAATGGAGTCCTTAAAATGGAGTTAAGTGGAGTCCTGTAGCTCAGTGGTTAGAGCACTCGCTTTGCAAGTGAGAGACCTGAGTTCAATTCCAGGCAGGGCGAAACCTTGGGCAAGTTTCCTTACTCCACACAGAGCCTAATAATAATCCCTTCAAAAACCAAAAACAATAATTAATTGGTCATTTTCCATCTACGACTGTTTGTGGGACATTGCTGTGCGCAATTGGCTGCCGCGTTCGCCCACAAATATACAGTCAATTCACTTTGCAGTATGTTCTGTGAAGCGCTTTGGGACGTCCTCCCGACGTGAAAAGCGCTATATCATATGCAAGGATTATTATTATTATTATTAATGGGGCATGCGCAGAGCTTTACATGTTATGAATGGTTGAGAACTTTTTCCACTGCCTGGACAGGTCTACAGAGGCCAGGAATGTGTGGGTAGTGAGTGAGGGCAAGCTGGGAGCTCAGGCTTCCAGTAGAAACCAGGTAAAGGGCGATCAGTAGACCTGATTCCCACTTGCCTCTGGTGGAACCCTAGTAATCACTGCCTTCACACAGAGCACTGCTACTGAAGTAACTCTAGCTATCAGCCCTGCACTGTTAAGGGAGCACAACTTTTCTTGTTAAAAGATTAGAGGTAGAAGAAAGACTGTACCTGAATGCTCCATTATAGCTGTAGTAAAGTTCATTGTTATTTGCTTCACATTTGTATTTGTCCTGTCCATTACCAATGCAAAGACTGCAGAGGTTCAATGGGAAACCCATACTGGAGGATCCAGGAATACAACTTTTTGAGAAGAATTCACCCACAGCTAGAAAGGGGGAGAAAAAAAGGTAAGCAGACAACGATAAGCAAATCAGTAAGCACATTTCTCATGAAATCTGTAATTATAACATTGGTGTTCAGTTCAAATGATGTGGAAACCAGAATTTTGCAAACTGTGGGGTGAGGATGGTACAATGGGAAAGAGCGTGGCATTCCAGCTCTGAGAAATGAGTGGTACACAGTAAAGATGAACACCGTTTTGAGTCCCACTGCACTCGGTTCCTGATCTGAGCCCCACTGAGTGACATCATTCTCTCGACAAGGAGAACCAAAAAGGGAGACAGGTAAAGAAAGATTAGTCAAGCGGACAGCAAGTGAAAAAGGCGGCAAACAAGACCGAAACACACAGTGAGAGGGACAGCGAGAAAGGAGCGCAAGAGAGAAAGTGAAAGAGGCAATTGGAGAGTTATGGTGGGAGGGGAGCAAAAGAAAAACAGCAGAGGGCAACAGGCAGAAAGAAAACAATAATCTACGGGAATCACAGGGTGCAATCTGTGCACAATCCAGTGATTACCAGAGTTCACCTTCTCCAAATGCACACGCCATCATAGACATTCTTCCAGAGTCAACCAGATAGCCAATAGGAACGTCCCAGCCTGCTGTCCTCCCATAGCCAGTGTGACAGGACTTCTTTTGGTGCAGATTGTTGATGTTGATTGAATTATCAGACTTGTGGACAACGGCCACGGCATAATACGAGGCTCCAAACTCTTGAGGCAGCAGAAAGGAAAAAGAAAATTTGACATAAAATAAGGATTTTTTAAAAAAAATCTAAGGAAGACCGGTGGTGGGGTGGGGAGGGAATCAAAATTAACAAAATAATTGGGCAGTGCACAGGGAACAGTACAAAATGTTATGTCTCACACACACAAAAATACAACTGGGTAAACTAACCAGCCTTTAATATTAACTATTTATTCTAAAGAGCTTAGTGGGGAAGGAGTTTAAAAATGAACCGGAAAGGCATTCTGAACTCTCACCCAAGTTGCCATCTGTGTACCTGAGACGTATAACGACAAACTACAGAGACTTCAATAGCAAATTACTGAATATGGCAACAGTTTCTGATTCCTTGCAATGACAATGTTGACTGATATTTACTGAGGATGCCCAGTGACATCGAGAAAACAGACATCAGCTCTTCTGGTAAATCTCAGCAGTTATTTGAAGGATGCCTCCAGATCTAAATTTACATTCATGATATGGCGCAGAACTCTGCTGACCCACGTTTGCATCAATAGTAGAGTGGACTCTGTACAATACCTTGGTTATAATACTCGCCCACGACAGGCATCAAGTTATGCTTCTTCCCTGCATGATAGATGTCCTCGCCATTCAATGTCACTGCATCTGCTTCTCTGGTCTGGTAAAGTGAATCAGGCAAAGTTACCAGTGGAGCAAATAGTTCAATTTAACAAACAGAAAAATGACATTATTGACTGCCATGAATCCCCTCTCTTTTCCAGTCATTCCTCGATCAGTGCATTTATCTAGCGTTTATAAGGTTAAAAAGATAAAAGGATATGAATTGTTATTTTAGAACAAGATTAATAAAGGTAAATAAAGATGAGACAAATATCTGGAAAAAAACACAATATACAACAGACAGAATAAAACTAATCCATTTTCTCATCCTTAAACATTTGACACAGAACGCTGTTACTTCACTAACTGAAACCTACCGCTATCTTTTCCATACAGTCCTTTGTTGATTTGTGTAAAATGCAGGATAGTGTGGGCTGGATTTTGGCAGATTGGAAAGCCGCCTTCATCTTGTTGCACTTGACCATCTCTGCCTCGGAAATTGTGCACCAACGAATCTCCCTTAACCCATAGGCTGCAGGAAAAAGTGAAAACTGTAAGACAATCGATAAACTGAGAAACAGTAATATTATAGCAAGCATTGAGAAGCTGAGGCCACAGATCTAAAGCTCTTGATGCAGTTGGGCACAATCGAGGTTCACGTCTGGCCAAGTAGACTGCAATTGTCTTTCCAATGTTTTTTCTACTCCTGTGTATATTCCTATGCTCACCTGAAAGAGGGAAGGCGTAATAAATAGAGCAGTAATGGTTAAGTAACACCAAGCTTGGGCTTTGAAGTCCTAGGAAGTTACAGCAGGATCTATAGGAAATCATGCTGACATTGATAGTATTATAGTCCATGTTTGGACTCACTGCATGATCTGGAATATAGAGAGATATGCCATTCTTCCTACAATCTACAGGTGTTTAAAACCTATGCTTGGCATAACTGACCTACTGCTTAAAATCATAGAATTTTTCAGCACAGAAGGAGGCCATTCAGCCCAACATGTCTGTGCCGGCTCTTTGAAAAGAGCTATCCAATTCAATCCCACTCCCCAGCTCTCTCCCCATAGCCCTGCAAACTTGTCCTCCACAAATAATTATCTAAATTATCTAAAAGCTTAAATGATGATATCTTCTTTCATATTCCTTTCAACCTAATCGGTGACCTGCATTGTGCGTTTTGGCCATTGACCTGGGTTTCTCAGTACAACAACAACAACAACAAGACTACATTTGTATAGCACCTTTCATTTCGGGAGGACATCCCAAGGTGCTGGACAGAGTACAGCATTTCAGAATATATATAAATATACATACATAGTGGAATATACATAGTGGAAGCAATTTATTCTCTTGTCAGCTTAACAGCAAATACACATCTGAGTCTACACAAACCTTGTTCTCACAAAACTTTGTCTCATAAGGAAGGCTACAACACACAGGAAGAACTGGCTATTGATCTCACCTCTATTTAGGTGAAAGTGTTTAGTTACTGAATACGGGAATATTCAATTTTAGAGGGAATTAATCCATCTTTAGCTTTACCTTGATGAATGCTAATAGATTAACTGTTCTAAGTCTTTTTCTCTTTCAATAATAATTAGCATTTATATAGTGCCCTTCACGCAGGTAGCATCTCGGAGTGCTTTCATGAACAACAGGTCACATAAACAATCCACCTTTATTAAATAAAAACTTTAATGTTACTTATCTAGGTGACCTTCTCCAAAGTATGCCTACAAAAATACTACTTGTGACAATAATTACTTTGAAGCAGTTTGACACATTGCATAGTTACAGGCACTATAAAAATGCCAGTTCTTGCTTTTAAAATGTTATGTAACAGAACACTTGTTTTATGCTTCGCTTTTATTTTTGATACCTTTAATCCAAATTTTTCCCCTTCCCATCCCATTTCCCCACAGAATGTGCCTTTGATTCCTCACACTTTAAGTTCCAAATATCAGCCTTTCCATCAAGAAGAACAGAGTAGATATCAAGTTCCTTCTTTCAGGAAAGTAAAACCAGAGGCTTAACTTAACCTTAACTTAACTTAACGGGAACAGCATGCCTCCTCTTGGCACTAAAAACACAACACACTGAGGGACCAGTATCAGGGGAACGATCACTCCAAGAGGGAATTGGTGTAGATGATTAATTTTCAAGTGGTTCAACTCATTGGGGTCTGTGATTCCTATCATGGAAGGCACTAAATGAAGACCTAGTGGCTTATGAGAAATAAGAAGGGAAATGAAAGATGGACACCATATTTAACTGTTCACGCAAATGTTCTGCTAGCCCAACGATGACACAGATCATTTGAGCAAAGGAATGAGACATTAAACCGAGATCTTGTCTGCTTGTTCAGGTGGACGTTAAAGATCCCATAATACTACAGTATTCAGAAAGAGAAGGGAATTTCTCCCAGTGTCTTGGCCAATAATCCCCCAAAATAAAATTGTTTATTCACTCTATAGCTGTGAGCAAAATACAGTCAAACCACTTTACAGTGTATCTTCTGATACGCTTTGATGTGACATCTCAATGACGTGATAAGGCGCTACATCAAATGCAAGTATTATTATTATTATTTTGCCATTAAAATTAGCAAACCTCACTCTGTGAATCAACAAAAATGAACTGGTAAAATAGATGACTCTCCTGAGGTTGAAGTTACTGTTGGAGCAGAGTGAAAGGATTTATCATGATATTATTATTACATTATTGTAAGCTGACCTGCTTGGTGCCTGAAATTTGAAAGCATTCCATTTCCCAGCGCCAATGTTCTTGATGAGTGTAAAATTCACTGTATTAAAACGTTACCATGGCATTAAAGAGGTTAAAGATAGCGTAACTATGATAGCTATTGATACTATGATCGCTCCAGATAAGCACTTTGTGCTTAGTCAACGATGCCCTGTACAATTACAATATGTATTTTCCATGATTTGTCATACACTTCTGAAGCTAAATACTATATTCTAAACTCGGTGATGAACGATTGCAATTTACATTTCTATTGTACATGTCATGTAAGGACATCTCAACCCACTTCATATGGCTAGGCGGGGGACGGGGGGGTGGGGGGTTGGTGGATAAAAGATTCCAGAAGTGTGGTCAAAGAGATAGGTCTCAAGGTGTACTTTAAAAGTGGGTTTGGAACTGAGTTGGAGTTGCAGAGAGCAGAGGCAGATCGCTGAAAGCTCACTTACTGATAGTAACTGGATCAGGTGGGAGACATGAAGCAGACCACTGCTAGTGGAATGGAAGGAGCAGACAGGTCAGTAGGTTTGCAGGGGGTCACAGAGATAGGATGCGATGAGGCCGAGGAGGGATTTGAATACAACAAGGAGATTCTTGAATTTGATCCGCTGGGGGAGGGGACCCAGTGAAGACAAGCGAGGATGGGGCTGATAGGCTCTTGGTGTGGCAGAGCTCCTCCTGCTGACTTCAGGTGAATGACAATATTTTACCAAACAAACAAAAATAAGACAATGGTGGATGAGAAGATGTTTGGTCCTTTGGAGATCTATGGTAGGGGGTTAAGTGGAAAAAGTTTGATTCACTGGAGGCATGACCTCCTCTCTATCTTTCGGTCTGAGTTATGGACCCATCATCCATAACACTCATGAAAGTAATGCAAGCAAATGTCTATATTTAATTAGTCCACCTATGACACACACATCTTCCCTGCTTTATGTGACCCAAGTCTAACCCAAAACTAAATTGCTATTATAAATGTATATTCCTATCAGGCTTTTTATTGTGCTGAGGGTTGAACAATTTTATGAAGGTTTCTGCATGTGTCAGGCACTCAGTTGACGAAAACAAAAGGTGGATAATGGTGCCTGAATTTGGAAAGCATGGCATTTCCCAGTGCTAATATTCTTCAATTTGTTGAGCACAAAATTCAGGATTTTAAAATACAGCTAACAAAAAAAGTTAACTTGAGTGAAACATGGCATTAAAGGAGATAAAGATAGTACAATTTACTTTGATAGCCTGTTACAGATAAGTACGTTCTAGCTAATGCCTTTTATAAAATTGCAATATAATTAACATATATATTTTTCCATGATTTGTCAGTACACTTCTAAAGTTAATTATTACTAACTTGATGACTCAATATCAATTTATATTTATATAGCACCTTTCATGTCTGAGTGTTATCTCAAAGTGCTTCACGTAACAGCTGACTGTGCACCTGATGTGCGGGAGGGGAGCTGGGGGGGTAGGGGGAAAAATGACCAAAAGCACAATTGAAGAGATAGGTCTTAATAATAATAATCCTTGTATTTGATATAGTGCATTATCACATCATTGTAAAATGGATTGACTGTGTATTTTCGGGTCGATTGTGCACAACAGTTGAAACAAGTCAAATAAAAATCAAAACAATGGTGAATGGGAAGATGTTCAGTCCATTGGAGTTCTATGGAATGGAAATAAATGGAAAGGATCTGATTCACCGAGCATGACCTCCACTCTACCTTTGGTTCTGAGTTATCCTTATCAGCGCCTTGGGATGTCCTCCTGACGTGAAAGGTGCTATACAAATGTAATTTTGTTGTTGTTAACAATCATGTAAGTAAGGATGCAAGTAAGTGTCTGTGTCACACACCTTCACTAACTGACTTGATTCTAACAGAAAACTAAATTTGCTATTAAAAACTCAAATTCATATTAGCATTTATATCTATTGAGGGTTAAACATCTTTTTGGACTATAATCTGAGCAATGTTATAATGAATGAGTTTAAACCTGCAGTTTTTAACGGTAAGATTGCATTGAATCTCCATGGTGCATCTTGGAAAATGTGTGGCTCTTAATCCAAGGTTATACTGCTGTGAGAACAAGTGACTGATGGTTTTATTCTCTGTGTTATTAATTACTGTCATTAATTTTTAATGGTATCGGAATACAAAATTACAACAACAACAAAATTACATTTGGCAAACAATGTAGATATGCTTCTTTTATCAGTAGAAAAAGCAAAGTAAGTTATAATATGAGCAATTTTATGAACATCATCTGGTGAACTTCTTTGGCAACCTTTGCCTTGTGCTTCACATGAAGCTGTTTTGCTGCAGGTAGTCAGTGCAAAGTCTAAATTTACTTTAGCACTTATTGGGAGGAAGGGCAACTATAATTTGCTCCAGTTGCACCACTCGACCTGCGCTTCATATGTCCTTGACTTTACCAATAATGGCTGTGTGCTTGAGCAGATAAGGGATTAACAGTTCACACTCCTTTACATCAAGGTGAATGCTGGAAAGACTTCTTGTGTCGGCTGAGGTTATTATGCTGATGTGTTATTTTAGTGCAATGCTTCCATTTTCCAAACAGAATGTGTGGAATGTAGTAGAGTCTATGGAACACTTACTGATGAATATGGGTCAATGTTATTGTCAGTCCAGGACTGGCTATGTGTCAAAATTCTTAGCAGTGGAGGAATGGATGTATATTTCTCTGCCAATATTAAAACGTTGGGTGAGAAGGGCCCAATGCTGGATGTTACTCGGGGGGAGAAAAAAATAAAAGGATGGAGAGAAACGAGATAAATCAAGCAGTGTTAATTCAGCGATGGCAGGTTTTGGGGAGGTTTCAAATCATTGCATTGCTCAGAGGAGTCTGAGAGGAGAGGTTGCCTTGTGCTTGACATTGGGGAGAAAAACAACGAGTTCGAGTAGGAGATGAGCCAGAATTCTGCTGCTTTTCTAACAGAAATACCAAGTGGCAGAAAAAATGATATCTGAATAAAACCACATTCAAAACAAATGTGTGCTCCCAATGTGCAAACGTCCAGTCCGACTCAACAACCGTCTAAAGGACCGTCCAACAACCGAAACACAGACCCCCAACACGTTTCGCCTCTTTTACATGTAATTAGATAACGAATGGGGCTGTGGATGAGATGTGCGAATCACTGGGTTTCTCTTCGGTACATTGCACAGACGATCTGAAATCCCAATGGCTGTATTTCCCTGTTGGAACCCGGGTCCCGGGACCGCACAGCCCCCGCACAGACCCCGCACAGACCCTTGACCCAGTTGCGAGATGCAATCCACACGTTTGCTCTCTCAGCAGCAGGACTGCGGATTTTCGAGCTTCGTGTTACAACCACTGGTTTCCTTTACGGCTCTCAAAGGCTTTTTTGTACTCACCCAAACTCAAGGTGAGGATAAACACGCAGACAGTCCAGCCTCGAGTCCGCATGGTTCAGTGCTCCGATCGGTCCCCGAGCTCCGACTCTCTGGGTTTCTCAGCTTCTTAACTGATACCTTCCCAGTTACGCTTCTGAGATGATTTGTTTTTTTCACCGAGTTAATGATTGTAAAAGTGGAGACAACTGCAGCCGAGACGCGGACTTTCCCCGTGTCACACAGTATTGCCAATCGCAATGTGTGTGTGTGTGTGTGTGTGTGAATGTGTGTGTGTGTGTGTGTGTGTGTATGTGAATGTGTGTGTGTGTGTGTGTGTGTGAATGTATGTGTGTGTATGTGAATGTGTGTGTGTGTGTGTATGTGAATGTATGTGTGTGTATGTGAATGTGTGTGTGTGTGTGTGTATGTGTGTGTGTGTGTGTGTGTGTATGTGTATGTGAATGTGTGTGTGTGTGTGTGTGTGTATGTGTGTGTGTGTGTGTGTGTGTATGTGTGTGTGTGTGTGTGTTTTTCTCTCTATGCCCTCTTCCCCTGATTTTGTTTCCAGGAAAAAATGCGCATTTCAACTTGTGTGGAATCTCGACAGTTCTTCTGATCTTAACGATATCGAGCAAAAGGCAATCGATCGATCGATCGATCGCAGGACTAAACCGTGCGTGTGACGAAGACAGTCAGCGAAATCCCCCCCTGTGCACACAAACATCCCTCACATCCCCAAACACTGTGAACTCTGTGTTTTTCCGAGAAATTTTTTTTTAAGGGCTTCGGTTTGTCGCATTTTCCACTGTGTGTGTGTGTGTGTGTGTGTGTGTACAGAGTGCACGTTTTAAATTATTCACTTTTTTTTTAATTATAAAGAAAAAGAAGTACCCGACGAGAAAAATACACTAATTGATTTCTTTCGGATAATGCAAAGCTACAAAAAAAAATAAACAATGCAAAATATGTTCTATAATTAATAAAATGGTGATTTGGGGTTCAAGTCCGAGATTACAGCAGAGAGTGTAGGAAGTTAACCGGTGTGTCTTTATTGCAAAAAAAAAGGGTTTGTTAAAACGCCTGACATTTCTTTATCGATCCATCAGGTAGTGGAATGGCAAAGGTTTCCAGTGCTTGTACCTGGTGAACATTAAGGGAGTCTCCCTCTTATCCACCCTTCCTTTCCTCTCCTGGTCCTCTCCTCTGCTCCACCGCTAATTCTGAGAAACAGCCTCACTATTCCGCCTTTCAGGTTATCCTCTTGTGATATCCAGGGAGATGGAGGGAGGTGACTGTAAGTACATTGAGATAGACCTTTAAGTGGAAACACTTCCCAAGTCAGGTGCAGAATGTACTTTCTGCAATTCACAGACCCAACAACGTGCTTCAAACTAGTTTACGTTAGAGAAATTCCTACAATGCCAGTGTGAGATTACTATTTCCTATTTCATCCACCTTTAGGGGTTTTCTGAGCTATACTAACCAATTAATTCCATTCAGTTAAATTCAAGTTACATTTGTACTATGATTATGATGACCCTGGGTATCTACTAAGAACTAGATTCAGATTGACAAGTTTCTTTTAACTGAAAGTAATTTAAGTAAAACATTGTAAAACAAGGATTAATACAATTTCTATTTAGATTTAATATCCCCAAATTTTTTTTTCCATAAACAATTTTGATTTTATATTTGGTGTGCTTGGGATTGACTTCCGAGGCCATTCAGTCCACTATGCCTTTGGATTAAGTGAAGTGTCATCTTAGTTCAACTGGCAGCACTCCCGCCTCTAAGTCACACTGTGATTTCAAATCTCACATCAGAACTTAGATCTCATGTAATTTTGGCCATGGGTTTTCAAACTGGAAGGCTCCGCACCTCACCCCCACCGCCCAGGGGATGAAGAGGTTCTGAGTAATGGGACATTTATGTCCGAATGGATGGGCTGGCACACGTCTTGGCTGAATGAAGCGCTGGGACTATGCTACACTATTCGAAGTGCCTTCTATCGTTAACCAAAGTCCTGTCTTGCTTTTTCAGATGGCTGTAAAAAATCCCATGGCACTGATCAAAAGGAGCAGGGATTTTCTCCTGGTGTCATTGCCAACAGTTCTCCAAATAAAATTACTCGTTCAATTCATGGCTGTTTGTGGGACATTGCTGTGTTCATATTGATTACTTATCAAATACAGTCAATACACTTAACTGTAAAATCCTGTGAACCACTTTGAGATATACTCCTGAAGTGAAAAGCCCTATACCAAATAATAATAATCCTTGCATTTGTTATAGCGCTTTTCATGTCTTCGAGATGTCTCAAAGGGCTTCATAGAATATACTGTGAAGTGAATTGACTGTATATTCGTGGGCGAAACACGGCAGCCAATTGCGCACAGCAGTGTGCCACAAACAGTCATGGATTGAAGTGACCAATTTATTATTGTTTTTTTTCTTGAGGGATTATTATCAGGCATGTGGAGTAAGGAAACTTGCCCAAGGTTTCACCCTGCAAGGATGATTATTATTAATGATAATAATAAGTGTCAGACATAGTGGTGGACCAAGCATATGCTACTTTGCAGGACATTCCCTGATGCAAATAAGGAAGCTTTAGCTTTAGTCTTCTGATCCAACCACCAATGGGGTCTAGATTGCAAAAGGATTTATAAATGGCAAAGCTTAGATGTGTCACTGTTAAATGATTAGTGCTCCCTTCAGTGAAATCACCATCCAAATGAAGTTCCCTCCGACATCTAACCATATAAAGGAATGGAAGAGTCAGGAAAGAAAATTCTACACTAGTAAAAATATATTCAGTTTCCTTCCATCTCATGAGAAAAAAAGTTCTTCTTTTGTAGTTTTGAAGAAAATCTGTGGGATACATTGATCACTCTAGCTATCAACAGGTTTTCATTGCTGTAATTAATTTTAATTAAAGAAATAATGAGCTCTTTGCAGTCTGAAAATGCTCATGTTGGAATAATTATAATCAGAGTGATAGAAAAACATCCTGAACAGAGCAAGCGATAGTGGAACAATGCCTCATATGTATGTTTCAATAAAGCGTATTAAAGATAAAGACTCTGGAAGTCAAAAAAGTGTTGAAAGGATTGTGGGTCTTAGCTCAATCTCTGTGTCATTGCACTGGCTAGGTTTACAGTTTCATGTCAAGATTTAATGGGATTTTTTTCTTATATTAATGAGGTGGGGGGAGGGGAGATTATAGACAATGAAGTGATGAAAATGGTGATTTCTTCAACAATTGTTGTGCTGGGAAATGTCCATAAAGCACTAAAACTTTTTTTATATAGAATTCCATTTTTCTACTTCTGCACCTCCTGATATGGACGGTTTGGTTATTAAAATCTTGAACGAGACTTCAACAGCAGTAACGAATTCAAGAAACCTCAAGGTGCACCGCTCTCCACCTGTAATTCCTTCTCCTTATTCAGTTTTTGAACCGAGCCAAAACAGCCTATCACAGTATCAAATTACCATGAAATGAATTTTGCATCAAAGACAACCATTGTTGAAGTTTATGAAACTATTGCGTATCTCATGCTCAGTTTATTGGTGTGCCTTAACTTGGCTCACTTACCTGAAACCAAGCTGCCTTTGCTATCACTGGGCCATGAATAGTACAAAAGCAAAACTTTACTTGTTAACTCTTGACTTATACTCAGCAAATATAAATGGATTACTGTGTAAGTTTCACATGGCGGGTTACATTTTTAGGCTAGTTGCCAACCTGGCTCAGTTGGTAACTTTCGCTCTGAGCCAGAAAGTTATGAGTTGAAGTCCTACATCAGGATTTCAAATTTCTCCCAGTGTCCGAGTCAACAAACCTCCTGGATAAAATTGGTCATGACTGTTTTGTGGGGCATTCCTCTGTGCAAATTGGCCTACAAAATACAGTTACTGGGTTTCACAGTAAAATCCTGCTTTTGGATGTCCTCTTGGCTTGAAAGGCGCTATCTCAAATGCTTAGGATTTTTTAAGCACAGTATCAGTTGCTTTACGGTATCACAGTACAGTTGTGATACAATGTATATCTGCAGTACAAATATTTTTCTTCCCATTGTCAGTTTGGCTCCGTGGTTGCACTCTCGTATCAGGACTTCGAATCATAGTATCTAAACTGACACTCCAATACGCTCCTGGGTTTGTGTTGCGATGTTGGGAGGTGCCATCCTTCGAATGAGACGTTAAACCGATGTCCCATCTGCCTGTTCAGAGGGACGCTAAAGATCTCACGGCACTATTTGAAAAGAGAAGGGAGTTTCTTCAGGTGTCTTGGGTCAACAATTGGTTTGTGGGACACTGCGGTCGGTGGCTGCTGCGTTTCACCTATAAATTCATCGTCCCATCTAAGACCTTCCTCTTCGACCGAGCCCTCAGCCACCCCACCGCCCCCCCTGACCCCAAAACCCAGCTCGGGTCCAAAAACCCCGGACGTTCGGGCGCCCTGGGACGTCTTTCCGACGTGACGGGCCCTGCGCTCGTGTCATTTGTTGCTGCTGTCGTCGTCGTCGTCGATCCTTCAGAGTAATATCCCGTGAAGCGCTTTGAGCCGTCTCAACACCGTGTAAAATGCAATTATTATTATTATTATTATAACTCCTCCTCCTCTCACTCATTAACCCCCTGCGCCCCCCCCCTTGGCTCTCCCCGCTCATGAATGATGCATGAGGAGGGCGGTGGGGGGGGGGGAGGGGCTGAGCCCATTACAGGCTATGGTGTGTGTGTGTGAGGGTGAGGCCCTGAGAGGGAGCGCGGCGCGGCCTCCTCACTGCCGGGGCCCCGGGGGGGGGGGGGGATCGGCCGGCACCGCGCACGGCATCACAGCCGCGAGGTCCCGGGGTAACGGCACTGACCCCCCCCCGCCCCGCCCCTGCGGGAGAGCGCACGGCGCCCCGAACCCGCCCTCGGGGGGACATCTTACTTCAAAAAACGGCTGCACCTTTCGCGGGCCGCGCATGCGCACGCGGGGGGGGCCAGCTCCCTGCGCCGCGGGGGGTTGTGGGAGGTGGAGTCCTCTCCCCCCCCCTCCGCCGCCGCCTCTGCGACGCAAGTGCACGGGAAGACTACAAGTCCCAGAGGGCCCCCGCGCGCACTGCGCTCCATGGCTCAGAGGCTCTTTTTTTTGCTGCAGGGAGTTTACCCACTGTGTCAGTGTCAGTCCCCGCCCATGTCCCAATAAACCGGTGGAACAGGCTGCAGGAGCTGAATTGCCCACTCCTGTTCCTCCCAGGTGAAGGGAGCGGTAAAAGGTGGAAGGAGCAGAGCAGCGAGTCCGCGTTGCATTTCTGCGAAAAGGAACACGGAGCGGATTTGTACCCTGAACAGAGCCGAAGGGGTCTGTGGGGGTACACATCTAGAGATCGACGAAAGGGGGGCGGCAGGTGCAAAAGCAGTTGGAAAGGAAAATTGGGGTTCTGGGCCCTCTAACTTGGGCTACGTCATATAATGGTTCTGTTGATGTTGTTTCGGACACGGGTTTGGCTGCTTTTGACGTATTGTGTTCGGTTTCGGGCACCCCATGACAAGACGTTACAACAACAACAACAAATTACATTTGTATAGCGCGGTTCACATCGGGAGGACGTTCCAAGATTCTGGAGACATTAACGGGGTGATACGAGATAGTATAAATTTGAAGAAAGGCTGGCTACATTCAGGTTTTCCTAAATGAAGCGGTGGAGAATAAAACTTTTTTCTCTTGAACAGATCTACAGCACTTGCCCAGGATGGCGCTGAAGATGGTGTGGTTGACCCTTGGAGTGGTCAGGCTACTGTGGTGCCTCACTCCGCAAACTGGTTATATACATCCTGATGAATTTTTCCAGTCTCCCGAGGTCATGGCAGGTAAAGCGGTTGCCACAAATTGGATTTCTTTGTAGCTGTATTCATTTTTATTGTTATAATTTCTGTATTTTGTTCTCCTTTGAAAATTAGCATCTCCACCCTCCCCTGCATATGCCAAATTCTGCATAGAATGTGTCGGTGCTGATACAGAGGGAAACTGATGTACTTAGAATTGTTTAATCTACAATATATTAATGTTTTTAATTCAATAGTCGTCCAGAGGAACATAGCGAAATAGCAAGTGAAGGAAGCAGGAAAAGAAATGGAAATGGACAGAAGGAAGAGGTAGAACCAGAAAATATTAAAATAGGAAAAAGATGCAGGTAAAAAGAAAGAAAGCTATATCCAAAATTGTAGTTATTAAAGCTTTGTAAAAATGTGAAAAACATTGCAATATTCAGCATTAATTGATCTGTAGCAAGACAGTAAAATTGATCCCGGATTCTGTGGGAAAAACATAGGGTACAACACATACTAAATCTGACCAGTTTATAGAATGGATGTTCATAGAACTCAAGTAAGGACCCTTCAAACAGATCAATGAATAAAACAAACTATAATCAGGAAGATACTCGATGGTTAAGTGCCTGTTAGTTACAGTTCTTACCTGTGCAGTTTACTCCATGTCTAGCACAAGAGTTTCAACTTGTAATGCAGAGCAGCACACAGTCAGACTTATTTATTATAAATAGTAAGTATTTATAATAATAGTCCCTTTGAAGTATTGCCTTTCACATCAGGAGGACTTCTCAAAGCATTTCACAATATATATTTCAATTGCCGACTGTTAGACTATTTACAAAATAAATCCCATGTGGATATTCTATCCACCCCTGTTGGTAAACGTGTCAGACCTGTGAAAATAGGAGTCCCATTCCTGCTCAGTGCTATGCTTCACTCCTCTCACCCTCTCCACAAACGCTCTCGAGTCTCCCGTTTGCTGAGTTTGTCTGCCGAGCCTCTCTTCAGGTCTGATAAAAGAATGGAAAATTTACATTTGTAGATTGCATGAAAACCAAAATAAATAAATTCACCATAAAAGAAACCCAGCCATTTGCTTCCAGCTCTGATAAATGTCACATTTTAAGAATAGTGAAACTTTCCTTTGCCCAACGAGGCTGGCCCATTTTGATTCATTTGAACCGTACTCATTTTACCCCGATATTCATCATTGCTTCTCTCTCTAAAAATGCATCCATTTGCTTCTTGAACTTATACATAATGTCTAATTCATTTACCAGTCTCACAACTTTACACAACTTTAAAACCCGTTGTTTAAAAAATTCTTCTGAGTCCCATTAGTACGTCCAGAATCATAAGTTACAGCACAGAAAGAAGCAGGTTTCTCTCGACATATGAGCTACCTAAATCTAATCTTGATTCCATCCTCACTCCCCTTTTAATATATTTAAATATGTTTAACTTGTGTCATCCTTGTGTAATAATTTAGCGTAATTTCAAATATGTTCTTCCCTTCACAGGTGATATTTTGAACCTGAAAACTTTTCGTACCTGGGAGTTCAATACCAACTACCCCAGCAGGTCGGTCCTGTTCCCTTTAGTGACATCTGGCTTTTCCTTCACAGTCCTTAAAACTTTACACAATTCCAATCTTTTTGGCAGCATCGTGAACAGCTACAGCTTGTTGGTTGTCCCTAGGTTCTTCATGACGTGCCTGTCCTTTCTAATAGACTATGTGATCTACCGTCTGTCCCGTCTCTGGGGAGCAAACCCATGGAATGCTTTAGTGCTGCTCAGCAGCTCACATGTGATGTTGGTCTTTTACACCAGGACATTTTCAAACGTTATAGAAGGAGCTCTGTTTGCATTACTGCTGTTACTAGTGGCAATGGATGTGAAGCCTGCGACTGTGACACAGCATCACAGGGCACAGAAGAAGAGAAACCATAAGCATCTCATTGGGATTGTTTTAATCTCTGGCTTCTTCAACCGACCCACGTTTATCGGCTTCGCTTTGGTGCCAATGCTGACCTGGCTTTCTCGTGATCAGGGTGGCAAATTTCGATTCAATTTAAAAACAATAATACTGAATTCATTTGGTATTTTGTCATCAATGATTGCAACCAGTTTTATTTTCATTTTGACAGATGCTGTATATTATGGTTTGTTGCTCTTTAACAGTGACTGGGCTTTGACAGATGAGAATGCTATCTACAAGTTTATTGTTAAAATCAGCCAGCATCTAGTGATAACTCCTGTCAATCTCATTATGTATAACTTGGACCCGAAAAGCCTTGTTGCACATGGCAGCCATCCCTGGTTTACACATCTGACTGTTAACAGTCTCATGCTCTTTGGTGTCCTTCATTTCTCAGCCGTTGTAACCAGCATCCAAATGGTAACTGGCAAATTTGCCCACAAAGCTGGCTCTCAGAAACAACAATGGGAAAATAAATTGGCAGCACAGTTTCCTGCTGTTTCTCCATTTACTGGGTATATAGTGTTAGTCTATTTTGTGCCATTGTTCATTTTATCTGTGTTCAGTCACCAAGAAGCACGGTATATTAGTCCACTCATCATTCCCCTGGTCATTCTCACTGCTCCAAAATATGAGCTGGTCAGGTGGAAAGTTGTAGTTGTGATGTTTAATGTCTTTGGGTCAGTGCTGTTTGGTTGTCTGCATCAGGGCGGCCTAATTCCTTGTCTGTCCTATTTAGAGAAAACCCTGCATTCAAACACTCCAATAGTTGACCAGCACAAGCATAATTTGGTGTTTTACCACACATACATGCCTCCTCGATATTTGCTGAACATCAGAAAAGACCAGGATTCTGTCAGAATCATTGACTTGGGAGGGGCTGAAGTATCTGTGCTTCACAAGACAGTGTCAGAGTTACTTGATGATGTTTCTTTCAAGCACATTGGGAGTGACCAAGATATGAACATCTACATTGTTGCTCCTGGCACTGTTCAAGAAGTTGTTAAGAATTCTGGTTTATCATTGCAAACAATTGCATCTTTTTTCCCTCATTTATCCATGGAAGATCCTCCTGATTTATCTTCTCTTCTTTCCAAAGCTGGACTGGACCAGTTAAACCTTTACATTTTCGAAGTGCATGCGACACCCAAGAACTCAGAGTTCTGATGGGTGTCTTTCTCATTCTGCTGTTTACTGTCTCTAGTCTGATGTCCTTTGCAGTGTAACTGTTGGTAGAGATTAACTAATGTACAGTATTTGTGACTTGCATTTTTTGAAAAACAAAGTGAACTATATTTTGTATTTGTGCTAAAAAAATTGTGCTGAAGCAACTAGAAACTGTGATCTTAGAACCTGAAGCTAACAGAGAATAAGAACAGCAAACAGATTCATTGCTTTGATTCAGAAGGGTGATGCAGTGTAAAAAGTACTTAATTCACCACTTGTGCAACTCAGACATCATGAAATGGGCATTAAAAATAGATATCAAAATAGTTATGTGATTTTAGCATATCAAAACAATTCAAGTGCAGTTCAGCCTCTACATCATCCTAAGTGAGTTGTTCGGTGCTCTGACACATTCAGAATTTAAAAAAAAAGTCTTTGTGCATTGATGCTCCAATCCCTTGAAGTTATTATGCTCTTAAATTACAGGCGACTCTTGACACTGTCTCATCGTTTGTCGATATGTTGCTCCTTCCATTTCCATACATCTTATTCAAGTTTCTTGGTCTCACACATTATCTTCTAACACTTTCAGATGGCTTTCCCCAACAAAAAAAAATGTTCAAAGTAAATGCTTGACCATTGAAATAGGTGATATTTCAATATATTTAATGGGGGGGTGGAATGTGATTTCTTTTTTGTTTCAATTTTATAGAATTCTAGATATGTGTAAGTATATATTATTATATTAAATGTGTACATTGTTTTCAATTTAGATGAACAGACTATGTGAGTAAATAGGGATGGTGCCTTTATGCCTTTCATGGTAGGTACAGTTTTATAAGTAGGCTGGGAATGGTGCTAATAACTGCAGAGTATGTGTGGGGACGAGACACTGTGAATCCACTGCCTGGTGGGCATCTTGTCAATTTCATTCAATGTAAACCACCCTAATGTCTGGATGAATGTTTGAATGAAAATTCAAGCATTAAAGAAATTGTTTACTCATCAATACTCTTATTAAATATATATTTGAGTTAAAAATCAATGTAGTTGCCTTTTTATTGATTGGTTCAACGAGACTGGAAGAAATGAATCAATCCTAGGAATTATCCAATGCCATATTAATAATAATCATCCTTGCATTTAATAAAGCGCCTTATTATGTTGTTGAGACTTCTCAAAAAGCTTCACAGAATTTATTGCAAAGCAGATTGACTGTATATTTTGCGGGTGAAACTATTGAATAATGAGGTGGGCTGGGACGAGCCTAGGCAGGTGTTATTGAGCAGGCGCAAGTGGCTCCAGCTCCCGGATGTGAGCGCAGATAACGGGACTTTGACCCCGAGCCCCCAGGTTTAGTGATAAAACACCGCAGCCAATTCAAACCAAACCCTGGCAGAGCAGCCAGAGTGCGAGAGAACGACCAGACATTGAAGTTATCTGACAAGGTCAGGGCTGGATTAACCAATAAACCAGGTAAAACATGGCTCAGAGACCAGAGGTCTGAGGGGCCCCTGAAGTCGATGGGATTGATACTTTTACCTGTTTACCTGTCATAGCTCTCTGCTATGAAGCTGCACAGAGTGAGGCCAAGAGGGGTGAAGCTGGAGGTATGAGCCGGATCTCCAGCCCTGCCCCTCGTGCTGTCAATCACCAGGTTGGTTGAGGCACACGGCGGTGCAGAGAGTCTGGGAGGAAGAGGGGGTGAGGCTGGAGTGGTGGCGAGGGTGGGTTTATTTGGGGTTGGGTTAGTGGGTGCGTTTGGGGGTGAGGGGACTGTATGGGATGGGAATTTGGAAAAAAATCACATTAAAACCAGGGAAAGGGATTGAGCCACCAAGACGATGGGACCTTCAACTCTCACTAACGTCTGAAAAATAACATCCATGTCCAAAAATGTGCATCCACCTGAAGGTCCAACATGGCTCGTACAATAAATTTTTCATGCATCCTGTAAATTCTTAAAACATTTAGCGCTCCGTTGAGTACTAAATCTAATTCAGTATAAACAGGCAGACTTTTTAACGTTCTATGAATGGGTGCTTACATTGATAACTGCCTGAACGGTCAGTGAAACCCCATCCCAAGTCATTGGCAAAACCAACTTCATTTGGAGCATTATTTGAGTCCCTTTGATTTAAGCCTAATTTTCAATCTATCCCAATTTCACCGAGCAAGAATTAAGTCAGTCTTCTACCCTCCAAGTAACAAGTAATGGTTTAAGGTATAATTTCATCATGTTGAGGTCAAAACTCTTTTGTTATTCTACGTTAATTGCACATTCTCCACCTGTCCAAGGCGCTCACATAATTTTTCAAACAGAGAAGTGGATAGATGGAACAGTCTCACAGGTAGGTAAATAGATCTTATACAAAATTTTTAAATTATATATCTAAATATGTAAGAATGGTTAGTAGGACATACAATCCATCTTCTATTTAAAGCTCAAGAAAATTAAAAGTGTGACTCCTTTCTATTAAACCAGAATAATTCAGGTCTTTCAATCTACCAAATTAAGATGAACAAGGAAGGCACCAATTGAGCGGAGATCTTACACAATTGATTGAATGATCATAAAGATTTTCATGTGACTTCTCACTTTTGTTCTGATCTATCACATTTTAGAAAAGTAAAAATAATAATGCTTTTGCTAAACAGGTGTGTGAAGGTCTATATTACTTGTCCAGGATGGCGCTGAAGATAGTGTGGTTGACACTTGGAGTGGTCAGGTTACTGTGGTGCCTCAATCCGCAAACTGGTTACATACACCCTGATGAATTTTTCCAGTCTCCAGAGGTCATGGCAGGTAAAACATTTTATCTGTAGGTTTTTTTTTAGGAAAGAAATCAACAATTTTACAATCTTTGTTATATAACCTTGGTCATCTCCCACCTATCCCGCACCACCTGCAAGTTCTGAGAATAACATGTAATACCATTCACACAGTGAACGGTATAAAATGCTTTAAAGTTCTGAGCATAATTTACAGTGACTTTTATTCCCTCTAGTTGTTCTCTTGTACCTGTCACATGGGAATAACCGTGCAAAACATGGTAACTTTGCATCAGTGCATGTGTATTCCTTTCCACCACAAGTTGCTTCATTTGATCCTATTTAACTCTCATCAACAGTGGCTGAACACTCTTTAGATTTTCAACTGCACTGTTTTCAGTCTTTGTTCCCATCTTCATTTTGGACTGACAGAAAAATAGTTCTTATTTTACAGAATTAAGATTCTGGGTATTGATTATTGTACACATTTTAAAATGTAGTTTTGTTTTTTCTTCACAGGTGATATTTTGAACTTAAAAATCTTACGCCCATGGGAGTTCAATACCAGCTACCCCAGCAGGTCGGTCCTGTTCCCTTTAGTGACATCTGGCCTTTCCTTCACAGTCCTTAAAACTTTACACAATTCCAATCTTTTTGGCAGCATCGTGAACAGCTACAGCTTGTTGGTTGTCCCTAGGTTCTTCATGACATGCCTGTCCTTTCTAATAGACTATGTGATCTACCGGCTGTCCCGTCTCTGGGGAGCAAACCCATGGAATGCTTTAGTGCTGCTCAGCAGCTCACATGTGATGTTGGTCTTTTACACCAGGACATTTTCAAACGTTATAGAAGGAGCTCTGTTTGCGTTACTGCTGTTACTGGTGGCAATGGATGTGAAGCCTGCGACTGTGACACAGCATCACAGGGCACAGAAGAAGAGAAACCATAAGCATCTCATTGGGATTGTTTTAGTCTCTGGCTTCTTCAACAGACCCACATTTATCGGCTTCGCTTTGGTGCCAATGCTAACCTGGCTTTTTCGTGATCAGGGTGGCAAAATTCAATTCAGTTTAAAAACAATAATGCTGAATTCATTTGGTATTTTGTCCCCAGTGATTGCAACCAGTTTTATTTTCATTGTGACAGATTCAGTCTATTTCAGTTCATTATTATCTTTGATAGACAAGAAAGCTGTCAACATAACCCCGTATCTAGTGTTAAGTCCTATTAATTTCATTGTGTATAACTTTCAGCCCAAAAACCTCATTGCACATGGCAGCCATCCCTGGTTTACACATCTGACTGTTAACAGTCTCATGCTGTTTGGTGTCCTTCATTTCTCAGCCATTGTAACTGGCATCCAAATGGTAACTGGCAAATTTGCCCACAAAGCTGGCTCTCAGAAACAACAATGGGAAAGTAAATTGGCAGCACAGTCTCCTGCTCTCTCTCCCATTACTGGGTATATAATGTTAGTCTATTTTGTGCCATTGATCATTCTATCTCTGTTTAGTCACCAGGAAGCACGATTTATTATCCCACTTATTGTTCCCCTGGTCATTCTCACTGCTCCAAAATATGAGCTGGTCAGGTGGAAAGTTGTAGTTGTGATGTTTAATGTCTTTGGGTCAGTGCTGTTTGGTTGTCTGCATCAGGGCGGCCTAATTCCTTGTCTGTCCTATTTAGAGAAAACCCTGCATTCAAACACTCCAATAGTTGACCAGCACAAGCATAATTTGGTGTTTTACCACACCTACATGCCTCCTCGATATTTGCTGAACATCAGAAAAGACCAGGATTCTGTCAGAATCATTGACTTGGGAGGAGCTGAAGTATCTGTGCTTCACAAGACAGTGTCAGAGTTACTTGATGATTTATCTTCCAAACACATTGGGAGTGACCAAGATATGAACATCTACATTGTTGCTCCTGGCACTGTTCAAGAAGTTGTTAAGAATTCTGGTTTGTCATTGCAAACGACTGCGTCATTTTTCCCTCATTTATCCATGGAAGATCCTCCTGATTTACCTTCCCTTCTTTCCAAAGATGGACTGGACCAGTTAAACCTTTACGTTTTCAAAGTGATGCAAGGCCTAAAAAGTTAGAATTCTGATGGGAGATTGTCTTTATCTGCTCTCCTCATGATTGGCTTCAACTAGCCTTTATCTTGTACCCCTTCCAGACATACAAGAAAGATGTTAGAAAAGCCTCCCCAATATAAGAACCACGTTCGAATTTTTACAAAATAGTTATGATTTGAAATTGGTGGTGAATAAAATGAATGTTTAGGTTGATAGATGATTTTATGCCCCTCATCTCTGTCCCACGTCTCTTCACTTTCCGTTGCTAACTTGTCTTTCTCTGTTTAATTAACACAACCTACTTTGACCTTTCCTATCACTATTCTTTCAAAACTTCAAATTTGTCATTTGACCTGTTCTTTCCGTAATATTCACCCACAAAATATACATTTAACTTTACAGTATATTCTGTGAAACGATTTGAGACGTCTCAAAGATGGATAAGGCGCTATATCAAATACAATGATTATCATATATTGTATAATAAGTTTGTTCTATTTTCACATGCCATGTAATAAAACAAGAAACAATTGTTTTTAATATTTCCATCAATTTATTTGCAGAATGTTGCTGCCATAAATTGTCACATTATTAATTACATTCCAACTCTGTTTAAGGGATGACATTTACTTTTGACAAAATAATTCCATTGTTAAAACAAATGACAGTAACGCTCTTGCAAAATCCCGAAAGGGACTGGATTCTCCATTGGGCAACAGTTTGTGCAGAATCCTGATCCTGATCTTCTCACGTTTGAGCAAAGGTCAGAACCGAAACTAAAGTCTTTCATTACAGAATTCAACGCTCACCGTGTTCAGCCACAAACCTGTCAAGTTTTCTTGCAGTCGTTCCTTTCGCAGCCAATGATTTGTAAATGTCACTGTCAGCAGTGGCTCCCCGGCTGAGTGACATCTTGCACCTGAGTGAGTGACATGTGGACGAAATCTTCGAAGAGTCCCTGGATCAGTGACTCCTGGTTGAGCTATTGGATTTAATGACTCCTGGAGTCCCTGGGTCAGTGACTCCTGGTTGAGCTATTGGATTTAATGACTCCTGGAGTCCCTGGGTCAGTGACTCCTGGTTGAGCTATTGGATTTAATGACTCCTGGAGTCCCTGGGTCAGTGACTCCTGGTTGAGCTATTGGATTTAATGACTCCTGGAGTCCCTGGGTCAGTGACTCCTGGTTGAGTTATTGGATTTCATGACTCCTGGTTGCGTTATTGGATTTAATGACTCCTGGTTGAGTTATCGGATTTGATGACTCCTGGAGTCTCTGGATCAGTGACTCCTGGTTGAGTTATTGGATTTAATGACTCCTGGAGTCCCTGGGTCAGTGACTCCAGGTTGAGCTATTGGATTTGATGACTCCTGGAGTCCCTGGGTCAGTGACTCCTGGTTGAGCTATTGGATTTGATGACTCCTGGAGTCCCTGGGTCAGTGACTCCTGGTTGAGCTATTGGATTTGATGACTCCTGGAGTCCCTGGGTCAGTGACTCCTGGTTGAGTTATTGGATTTGATGACTCCTGGAGTTCCTGGGTCAGTGACTCCTGGTTGAGATCTTGGATCGTTGAGTGCTGATGTCTCTGAAGCGTTGGGGACGGGTTCCTCTCGCGCGCGCGAGGAGGGCCTTGTGTTTCCCGGGAGGAGCTCTTTCCTTCTCGCAGCGCCGGAGGAAGCAGCCGCCGCCGCTAACCCTACTTCTTCTCCGTCCAGCCTCGCTTCACCTCCCGCACGAAGGTGTCCCTCAGGCGCGATGCCCTTCGGCTCAACTCGCCGAGGTCGCCGGGCCTGAGCGCCCCGTCCCGCACCTGCCTCATCGTCTCCGAGCGGCGCAGCTTCTCCGCCGCGTCATGGCCGCCGAGCTGGAGCCGGGCGATGGCGTAGGCCGTGATCTGAGCCGCCCGGCGGATCACCCGCGTCTCCGACAGCCGCTCAACCAGCTGCGCGTTGTTGAGGAGAGTGGCCAGGAGCCTGCGGACAACCATGGCCGCCGCTCGCCCTCCCGCTCGGTCGCTCGGGTTCGGCTCCAGCTCGGCGCTCCCCCGGCCAGCCTGCCGTCTCCATGCCAACCAGCCGCCGACCGCATCGGCAATCGTCGGCTTCTCCCTGTCCTCCGCAATGTGGACCGAATCCCCGCTTTAATAACAGCAATAATGATGATGATGATGATGTGTACTGAGGCTCTCGCTGTCATTCCGGTCGCGCTCTCCCAGGCCCGGGATTTTAGTCATTAATAACTTAAGAAGAAAAATCAATCGAAAAGGGTTAAATGCCGGGGCGATGGTCTCTTCCGGTCCGGCGGGTCGGGTCGGGGTGGGTGGGTGGGTGGGAGGAGGGGGTAGGAACTAATCGCACGGCTCAGGTTCCAACCCGGACCCACATGTGAGACGTACCTCAGCTCGTCACGTGATTGGTCGGTGGCTGGGCGGGCGCTGCTGGGGCCGGGCTCGGGCTCTGGTTCATTTCATCATATATTTTTTTATATAAAGTATTTCTATATATATGTATAATATATATATATATATATAATTTAATTTAACAGCTTCTCCTCCGTCCGCAATGAGCGCACTTCTGAACGCGCTGACCAGCGACTCTCACGTGGAGCTGAGTCAGTACCGAGACCAGCATTTTCGGGTAAAGATTTTTTTTAAAATTTAAAAAAAAAAGACGTTACTGACGGGTAACTTTCAACCGCGTCAAAGTGTTCATCTCCCGACACTAAAGCCACTCTCCCCCCCACCACCCCCCATTACCCCCAGCACCAACACCAACACCCCACCCGCATTCCAGGTGTCTCAACAACTTGCGTTTATATAGCGTCCCTCATGAGGGATAGCAGGACGCCGAGCGGGGGTGGTGGTGGGGGAAGGGGTGGGGGGAGGGGTGGTGGGGGGAAGGGGTGGGGGGAGGGGACGTGGGGGGAAGGGGTGGGGGAGGGAGGTGACCGTAAAACACCTTCATCGAAGAATCACAGAATTATACAGCACAGAAGGAGGCCATTCGGCCCATTATGCCCGTCCCGGCTCTTCGAAAGAGCTGTCCAAATTAATCCCACTGCCCTGCTCTCCACTCCCCCCACCACCACCACCTATAGCCCTGCAAATTTGCCCTCCCCCAAGAGGAAGGTCTTCAGGAGCGACCTCAAGGAAGGGCAAGGCAGAGGGTTGGACGGAGAGGGTTCCAGATTTTCGAGGCGTAGTGGCCGAAAGTCTGCACCTGTGCTAAATTGCGCACTCGGGTGATGCACGTGGTTGGAGTATTCTGCTTCACAATTGCTCCAGCAATAATCCTTGTTTTTTGATGTAGCGCCTATAACATTGCAGTTTGTCTTCGCAGAACAAAATCCACATCAGTCTTAAGCAAAGGCCCCGGTATCTATTCTCCATAACGTTTCACGAAATATTCATGCTCATTTTTGTTTTTGTTGATTGCTGCAGAGAAATACTTGCGATTATTTGTAAGATGGTAGGAATGATTTTCTTTTAATCTGTGTATTTTGTCTTCCAAGGGAAGTCGATGCGACCAGGAAAGGCTCCTCCGAAATAGCTGCACTCTCTATGTTGGGAATCTGTCATTCTACACCACAGAGGAACAAATCTACGAACTCTTTTCAAAAAGTGGTGATGTGAAGAGGATTATTATGGGTTTGGACAAGATCAAGAAAACCTCGTGTGGGTTCTGTTTTGTTGAGTATCCTTACTGTGTGGCTGAAACGTCTACGTTCTTACCTTTTTTTAAAATAGACATTTATATTTAATTTTCAATTACAATACAAAAGCAAAACAACATATGGCAACGTGGCTCAGTTGTTAGCGCTCTTGTCTCTGAGTCAGAAAGCTGTGGGTTGAAGCCCTACGTCGGGTCTTTGAACTTGCAAGTCTAGGTTGATTTTCCAGTGCAGAGGTCGGGGAACAATTAATGGTTGGAGTTGCCATCCTTCAGATAAGATGTTAAGATAGCACTTTATCACATCAACAACAACAACAACAAGATTCCGTTTATAGAGCGCCTTTCACGTCGGGAAGACGTCCCAAGGCGCTGTACAGTTGGGTCAGGACCCGAGCAGGGGGGAAATGGTCAGGGTGAGGGGAGGGAAGGGAGGGAGCGAGGAGGGGGTAGAGAGTCGAGAGGGGAGCTGAAGGCACGGTCAAAGAGAAAGGTCTTGAGACTGGCCTTGAAGGAGGAAAGGGAGGAGGCATGTCGAAGGCACTGGGGGATGGAGTTCCAGAGCCTCGGGGCTGAGAGGCTGAAGGCCCGGCCACCGATGGTAGGGCGGTTGGGGCGGGGGATGTGGAGCAGACCGGAGCCAGAGGAACGGTGGGTACGGGCAGGTAAGTAGGGGGATAGTAGGTCAGAGAGGTAGGAGGGAGCGAGGCCGTGAATGGCCTTGTAGGTGAGGATGAGGATCTTGAATTCGATCCTCTGGGGGATGGGGAGCCAGTGGAGGCGAGCGAGGGTGGGAGTGACGTGGTCCCGGAGCCTGATGCGGGACAGTACACGAGCTGCAGAATTCTGAATGACCTGCAGCTTGTGGAGGGAGTTGCCGGGAAGGCCGGCGAGGAGAGAGTTCCCATAGTCCAGCCTTGAGACTTCTCAAAGCGCTTCACAGGATATACTGTAAAGTGGAGTGATTTTGTATTTTGTGGGCGAAACACAATATAAATCTAGATATAAACATTTATATGATATAAATATAAATAATTGATATAAATATAAATAATATAATGCAAATTGTTGCTGAATAGTCCTAACCCTTGACGATTGAATTAGATATTACACTCGAACAGAGTCTGAAAACTGCATGAGGTTTATTAATGGTACACGCCTGGATGATCGCATTATCAGAACGGACTGGGACACAGGCTTTAAAGAAGGCAGACAGTTTGGGAGAGGAAAGTCCGGGGGTCAGGTACGTGAATAGCTGGCAAAATTGTGTACTTAATGTTTCCTCCCACCGGATTTTGAATAGTTCGATGTTAAAAAAGCGAAATTGTGGGATTGTATTGCACTGAATTTGTTGACCAGTAAACGTCAACATTAGCAACAAATAAGTATCGTTCTAACTTTTTTTAAATTGCTTTTCCCATTTGCAATTGAACTTGCTATTGAACTGTGTTGGGACTACAACAGTTGGTTTTTTAAAGAAACCCAAGCAATGGTGTTTGTGAGTAGAGCACATAGAAATTTAATTCAACTGATTTGTGTAAATACAATATGGAGGAGAGCTGAAATTTTTTGTAGTGGAGTAAATTCCGAGCAGTAATATGCAATGTTATTTCCTTCTGTTGGAATCTGTTTTAATTTGTCTTGGGACTCTTTCAGGTCCGTGATGAATACAGGACGGATTTTGATGCGGGCAGAGGTGGGTTTGGTAAACTGGTGCAGATGCAAAGAGTTCCAGAACCAAGACAGAAATTCTAGAACGTATGGTAACTGAACCAAACCGCGAAATATCAGAAGCTCCCTCACGGAGATGTGTGAGCTAATGCAATGCACGCTGAACATGCTGCTGTGTGTCTGCAGAGTTCATAGTTTTCTATTCCTACTAAAACCTGCCCCTTTTCTATATTGACAAAGTTGTGTCCAACTTCTGTGAGGTGAAACAGCTTTGGTTCAGACATTTTGATTAAATTATCATTTTTGTATTAATGGCAATAAAAATGAAGAAGAAACACCTAATCGTTATTAGTCATATTCAAAGTATCATTTGACACAGCACCACTGGTCCAGGCAGCTTACACAGAAACATTTCAGGAGAAGAATCCTTAATACCTCTTTTTATTTATGCATCTAATAAATGCATTTTCAGCCTGTAATTACTGCATTACAGTACAATTGGCGTAAATGAGTTCAGCTGCCATTTGTAAATTGTTTTAAATACTGACATTGCTCAATGTGCGTTAACTAATGAACTTCTTTGACATAATTGGCTGCCATGTTTGCCCAGAAAATACACAGTCACTACACTTTACAGTACATCCTGTGAGACTCAATGATGTGATAAGGCGCTATTTCAAATGCAAGATTTATCACTGTTATAACTTGTGCAGCCAAATGCAGGAAGCTTAATCTGTGGTACAAACAGCAATACAAAGAATGACTAAATCTATATTTTGTTGAATTTGCATGAAGGAGATATGTTGGTCAAGATGTTGGGAAAACATGTTACTTTTCCAAATAATGAAATGTTTAATGTCCACTGGAACCTTGATCTCAGCAGAGATGGTACATCCAACAGTGCAGCACAATGTCAGTACAGTTTAGAATGGTAGTCCAAATAAGCTCTAGTCCTACAACTTGACTCAGAGGTACGAGTGCTATAAACAAAGCAAACCTGACACATTTATATTCTGTATTCTACAAAGCAACTTCTAAATGTGTTCCTCTGCAGTTTTTCTTTGAGATTAGATCACAAAAGGCCCATTATGCAGTATTTTGTATTGAAGGTCAGTGTTTATGAATTATGAGTGCAAAGAAACAAGAAAACTGAAAGTTCTTATTCTGACACTTAAGTCTCCACATTTGTAGCAACTCTTTGTGAGAAGAGATGGAATCTTCGATTTGTAAATAGATATAGCTAAAATTTCTGGAATGAACAATGATTGTCACTGGTCATCTGTAGAAACAGTAGATCTATATCTAGTATATGGAGTCCTGTAGCTCAGTGGTTAGAGCACTCGCTTTGCAATTGAGACCTGAGTTCATTTCCAGGCAGAGGGCGAAACCTTGGGCAAGTTTCCTTACTCCACACGCCTGATAATAATCCCTCCAAAAAACAAAACAATAATAAATTGGTCATTTTCAATCCATGACTGTTTGTGGGACATTGCTGTGCGCAATTGGCTGCCGCGTTCGCCCAAAAATATAGTCATTTCACTTTACAGTATATTCTGTGAACCGCTTTGGGACGTCTAGAAGACGTGAAAAGCGCTATATCAAATGCAAGGATTATTATTATATTATACTTAAGGGCATTTATGGCCCTCCTGCTGGCTCAGTTAAATCCACTTCTGTACTAGGACAGATAGAACAATGTGCCAGGTTTCATCCTTAATTCATGCTGTGCTTGCTGTCCAGTGACTGCTGGATGTTGCTCAGGTTACAGAATCTTGTATGTAATGTTGCAATTTTTGACAGGATGTTTCACTTGATAATCAATAAATGTCTGGTTTGATAACATGGAAATATTTGTAGCTGAGATATAAAAGTTCCCTTCAACCTTTGTTTCATCTTTTGCTTTGAAGTATTCTCCTGTATTTAGAAGTCTATTAGTTGTTGGTGTTTGACCATATTCTTAATAATATAAGTATAACATACCATAGAATGTCATCTTTAAGAGTTGTACAATGAAAAGTTTTGAAAAATATTGTTCCCTACAACAGAATTATCTCTTTGATCATAAAATACAGTCAATCGGCTTTACAATATATTCTGTGAAGCGCTTTGACACATCTTATCTCAACGACGTGATAAGGTGCTATATCAAATGCAAGGATTATTATCATCATAGCATGATTCGGGGGAAGGGAGATTGGGACATGGTTGGAATGAATTTAAATTTAGCCTAATTTTCCTAATTTTCAGATTAAGGTTCACACCTAAAGTGCTAATTTTCTGAACAACTTGCTGCATATATTTCCATTATTTGTATTTTTTTAATCTGCATAGGAGATAGTTGAACTACAAAATCTACTGAGGACCTCCAGTGTTTGACTTTATGCACTACACCAATTCAATATCACTAATTTACCATGATCTGAATGCTCCGTTAAAAGTATTAGGCATGAGATTGGTCAAAAATGTCAGGTTGAAACAAGAAGATTACATTTGTATAGCAAATACCAGTATCTCGAGTTGCTAAAAAGTATTAAGACAATAAATTGCAAGTTGAAGATATGACTAAAATTCAAGTTATTCTAATCTTGCATAGATTACTGAGAATTCATAATTTAGAATATTTCATGCAGTTTTGAGCACCCGATTTCCAGGACACTCGATGCATTCAGCAAGGCTGAATTACAGTTGAAGTGGTTTCAGAGACTGGGGTAAGGGCAGGAAGCGGAAATGATTCCAGGTCTTTAAAATAAGCTGTCAAGTTATGCAGATGTAACAATCTATTTGACTTAAACTGTGATTGTAAAATTTAAATTATCTGACAGTACTGGAGGAATAAGGGATCCTTATATTAATAATACTTGCATTTGTGTAGAGCCTTATCATATCTTCGAGACATCTCAAAGTGCTTCACAGAATATACTGTGAAGTGAATTGACCGTATATTTTCTGGTACAGCTCACCAGTTCTGGCCAGGCTTCACTGACTCCCCATCACCAAACGGATCAACTTCAAGATCCTCACTCTCGGGTTCAAATACATTCACTCCCTACCTCTCCGATCTACTCACTCCCCACTCCACCACCCAGCGCCTCCACTCGACTGGCACCTCTTGCTCATTCCTCGTACTCTCCGCCCCATCATCGGAGGTCGTGCTTTCAGCCACTACGCCTCAAAACTCTGGAACACTCCCTCAATCCTTCCACCTCGTCCCCTTTCAAGTCCCAGCTGAAAACTTTCCTGGTTGACCAGGCTTACGACCACCTCCCCACTCCCCCTGGCTAGTAGTCAGGCGCCGCTCTGAGTAATTGCAAGTTGTTGCTATTTTGTGGGTGAAACACGGCAGCCAATTGCACACACAGCAGTGTCCTACAAACAGTCGTTGGTTGAGTGACCGTCCTGGCTGAGATGAGCTTTACTCAGAATCTGACAGCCATGGGAATGCTTGATAGAAGAGTGTAAGACAAAATTTACCCTTGTATCAACCCATCAAGGTGTCTTTCCTGACAGTACTAGATATTGACAAAGTGTTTAATTCCCAATCTTGAGCACATAATAGTTTGCTTTACAAATGATGCACAACAATCTGATTAATACAATCAGGCTTCATTAGTTTATTTTTTGTCAAAGTGCAGCAATAAATACAACTCTTAACCTTAGCGACTGTGGGAAACTGTGCCCGTTACATGATGCGCTTTAGGCTCAACCAGAGATCAACTGCTGGTCAGTGGAATTCACAAGCAGAGAAAAGTAGTCAGTTCCTTATCACAGATGGGTAGATGGAACTAAGGACTCAGACAGCTGCCAGGAGCGGAGCAAGTCACAGAGCAATAGTAGGGAGGAATAATCAGGCTCTGTGTCCGCATTTCCTGATCCACAAATAGATTTTCTGGTATTCTGTTGCTCCTGGTCACTTAATTTTTATTAATATCATACACCACATTAAAATAATAAATTAATGATTTGAAGCCAGTGTACTTTGACCTCTAGTGACCAGAGCTTACATAACAGTTATTTATCATTACCTCAGGGTTTAAGTATCTCACAGCAAACTTCTTGCTGAAAAATCAACAATGTGGTTTATTCAAAATACAGCTCTGAAAAAGTACCAAGGTCCTGCTGAAATGGCCATTACCAACCAGCCCACACGCCTGGCAGATGCAGCCATTTATTGCATTTTGCTATCATTTTCAATGCGCTGTACAGTACTGGGTTATAATTAATTACAACATAGAGTTCCAAATGCTGATTGAAGTCCTCTTTGTGGGATGAAATTTTGAGCTGGTTCACAAGCTGAAACTGTGATTCTATGACAATGTATCCAAACATTTTTCAATGTATATTTCAAGTTTAAACACGTGCATTTTAAAATGTACAGACACAAGTTAAAACAGTTAGAAATCCCGTTGAAACTCAAGTGAGAAAAGCAGGAGAGGACAGAGGTCCGATAGTAGGGGTTGCTGGAAGAAAGCCCAATTCCCATCAAAGGGAAAAGGTACAAAAAAATGTATAATGAATTCAGAAAAAGGACCTTTGTTTTGCTACACAGAAGGCTAGACCATACTGGTCATTTTCTGCTGTGTTTCTTGTCTAAATAGGTGGCATCAAAGGAACTTTGGCAGTTTGATGGGATAGGCCAGGGGTTCCCTGAGGAAACCACTGCTCTTATATTTATAATATCCCATTTCCACTGGTAACAGATGAGTGATAAGAGTCAGATACAACCGCTCAGCACTACATTACGAAGACCACTAAACTCAAGTTTATCCCATCTCACAGATGACTGTTGGAAAATGGGCTATTGCCTGGCAGTCAACTCTAAATATTAAATGAAATATTTTAGGGTTAGCTCAGGTTGTTAAAGATTCCAACATTCAACATATGGTGAACTGTACAACTTGTTTGTAAAAACAAAATAAAGGGAGGGAAGAATAAAAATAAAAAATGAAACATTTAAAAGTAAAACAAAATAAAAGCAGGGTAATCTTGCAGGGAAGACAAATTTTATTGTGGCGGAGAGTTGTGGAGGAGAGGTTAATTGAGCTTTTGCTGAAACTGAACTGCTGGAACATTTGGTGGAAGGAGGGGATTAAGATTTCAGGAATAGTACCCCAATAATCCCATCAAAATTAAAAAAAAACAATTTGGTCACTCAATCCACGACTATTTGTGGGACACTGCTGTGTGCATTTGGCTGCCGCAAAATATACAGTCAATTCACTTTACAGTATATCCTGTCCAGCGCTTAGAGACGTCTCGAAGACGTGATAAGGCGCTATATCAAATGCAAGTATTATTATTATTAATGCATCAGCAAAAATATTCAATGGGTTGCAGAACCAAGTGAGCTGGTTTGATTAAAGGTAGTTGATCTCACCTGGGGCAGCAGTTCAGGGTGCTATAATTGGCATCAGAACCCCAATTTTAGGAGGGGAAAAAAATTCTGCCACACTTCCCACTCCTGATGGATACCAGTGAAGCCTGTTCCTATCCTCACTCAATATGTCGATAAGTTAGCCCCAGCTTCAACTGATCCAAATAAAAATCATCTCAAAGTACAGGAGAGACAAGTTCAGCCTTGAAGTCAATGACCTGCAGAGAATTCAGATCACTTTATGCTGCAGTTCAAGTATTAGGGAGGCTAATTCAGCAGGGATGAGAGCCTCTGCTGTTTTTAAATGTGTGGAGTGAAAGATGGGATGGAATTGTGAAACAAAAAATGTTATAACTTGTGAATCTCCCAACTTGTAAATGCACTGAACTCTGCATCAATGACACTGTTGACCTGCAACCAAAACAAATGGATCCGGTTTGCGGTGCTCATGACTGAACTGGTTCTGTCCAGCAGGCCTTTGTGACCCGACAGAGGTGGATATGGTCCTCAGTGTGATGGCATCGCAGGTCCTGCTCCTGCACAAAGCTCTGAGGCCCATAACACACATGACTCGGGCCAAACCTCTCCAGCCACTGGCGGAAATAGAGCTGAGAGGCACAGCTCTCAGCCTCTCATTTAGTCACTCATCAGAGATTCAAACCCAGACAGACAGACAGAAATACACATGGGTGTAATGACTTCACCTATATTACAAACAAAACCTGGAAATGCACAGCAATTCATTCAGGGTCTGAAAGAGAAAGACAATTTCAAGTTTCAGGTGTAACCCTTCAGTACTCACCCAAGTCACATTTCAGTATCTTAGGCACTGAGGATCAATACACTGACAATCTAGATAACAAATGAAGTACAACATGACAAAGTAGGTAAAACAAGTCAGTCGATGAGACTGCAGAGGAATGTGCCATTGACCAAGGTCAGTCAGACACAATAAACTGGATGAGGGTAAGAAAGTAACAAGGAAAGGTTTACATACCACTTGTAAATATTTTATTCTCCAGTATTAACTGAAACACAGAAAATAACTGGTTGGGTTTGTCCTTAAAACCTTTCCCATCTTCTTGAACCCCATTTATATTATTGCACTAAATACTTAGCTTTCTTCCTTCTAGCTTGCAGGTTTGGTGAATTTATTCTGGGGGATTTGGTTGGAAAATAAATTTCAGTTCAGCACATAGTAGCCTACAAAATTCAGTCATTACACTTTACAATATATCTTGTGAAGCGTTTTCAGAAGTCCTCCTGACATGAAAGGAGCAATATCAAATTAGGATTATTATATTACCTGGAATTTCAACTAAGAGCAAAATGTCACTGAACACTAACATAGCTTCAGAACAGCTTGGTTGCCATTCAAATTGCCTTCAAAGAGCTGTCTGCAGCTTAAAGTTCAAAGAGCACCTGGAATCCAGGATCTTGCAGTACTAAGCTCCCATGTAACATCAGACATACATTATTTACCATAATTTGATGTCTCCCCATCAGAAAATCTCACCATACAATTTTCCAATAGTTAAGACAATATCATTTCATGATTCAATGCGCCACAGATACTTCATGATTAAATGAGTGGTTTAATTTCACATTTACACTCTTGACCTAAGTTACTTGTCTCAAGAGTTTCATCCCCAGCTGGATACATTATTTCTTGAATAAGACTTGGAACAATAGATTTAAATACTACTGGAGTTTTTCTGCTTCGTTTTATATTCTCAGCATTGATACCCCCTCAATCTCCACGCCCCAAGTCACAGTCTCTGTTCTGTTTGGAATAAAACCATTTGTAAATCTTAAGCATGATCCCCTCAATACAAAGACACAATGAAATGTCTATGGGAGAAGAAATTAAGATCTTACCAGTGGATGGAGAGAGATCTCTCACTTACTGATACCTGGAACAATTTCTACTCTAGGCCTTCTGCGTTCCCCACTCCCCGTTAATGTAAAGTCTTCTACTTACTTCACTTAAAGTATGAGGAGAATTTGGGATTCTAAGTTTAGTCTACTGCTACATGCGTTTTGTCAACAACACCCAATCGAGCATCAAAGTTGTGCTTTTATTAAGTCTGAAGGTGCCAAGGCCATGCATGCACCTGGACAGGTTGTCACTGTTCCTTTACTGCTCCTCACGTCCCTCGCTCCCACTCGCCAACCTCGGGTCACAACACCGGCTGCTTTGCTCTCCTGGAATGCAACGTCCCATGGGGATTTCTGATCAGCACCTTCTGTGGTCCTTCCAGGTGCTCATTCCAAGAGCCGGCACTGGCACAACTCTCTGTAGATCTGCTTCCTAACTTCAGGCATGTCCTTCTGTGAGAACTGAAAGGGTCTTCCCAGAGCCAGGCACTTGCAGTACTAGACAAGCAACACAACAGTATTGGGTCACCGAAACAAGCTTTGGCCTTCCGCAGCTAGAGGATATTTCAAGCACTTTAAGTAAACACTTGTCCACAGATTCCAGGGTACAGTCAGTGGTTTGTGATGCAGTGGTGCATCTGTGCTGTTCAATATCTAAAGGCGCAACATAGAAGCTCAGTGCCCAGAGGACAAACCAGGCAATTCCACGCTGCCTCCTGCGCTGTGCATTCCACTCCAGTGTAAATGCCTGACTGATTCTGGTAGTCTCAAGGCAGTGAAGAGCTAATTCTCTGTTAAGCAGAGTACTGCTCTACAATTTACATACAGCGTCACTGTAACCAAACAGGAACAGAGGGACATAGACAGTAAGCTGGACCATGTGTAGCTCTGTCTTGCTTAGTCACCACATGGAACAAAACAATGGTGACTTGACTGAGTGAAATTACCCGTCTCCCCTACTGCCAAACAATTCCTTAAATAAGCTCTTTCTCATTACGCTAACCTCACTCATTCCCTATAAACTGATCCCTACTGTTAAATACTCTTGTGTGAATATCACAGAATCAGGCTCAGATGTATGCCTCTCTAGTCAGAAGCACGTTGATACTCAATGTCTAGTCTAACAATGAAGAACGGTTACTTGGTGAAGCTACTGGAGGGCTAATGGGATTTGTGGAACTGTATCCCAGCACAAGTCAATGCCATAAGAGAGAAAAGAAGACAGAATTAAGGGAAAAAAATATGTAGCAGACGGACTGGCATCCTACCTGAAGCACAAACACACCACAGTCGCTATCATTTTTTTGTTGTGGAATGCACTGTGGGAAAGAAAATTATACACTATTAATTGATAATATTTGCCACACTCAAAAGCCTGTCACTCCGTTTATACAATAAATTTAGGTCAATCTGTTATTTGCAATGTGTTACTTTGTTCTAATAGTGTCCAGTAGGATTCAGAACATCTATTCCTCTTCAGAATTTTCATAGTTTATTTTAGGTCAGGGCTTGTGCAGGAGAGCAAGGAGAGCCAAACAGATTTAACAAACAGACATGTCATCCACGATAATTCCAAGCAGCTGACCCTTACCATAGTGGCAAAAGCCTTCCATCCTTCCAGGAACTCAGGACAATTCCTCTCACCAGCTTCTGTCTTTAAATAGCGCAGGATATTCTTCAGATTGAAGCAGCGATGGCAGAGACAACAAAACAAACAGCAAGAAACAAAGTCAAAGAACAGGAAGCATCTGCAAACTTAAAGGGACACACTCCACGAAACAGAAACTCCATTAAAACGCCTGGGGCCTGAAAGCCACACTCTAGCTTAAGTAAAAAAAACTTGCACTTACACAACGCTCTTCATACACAATAATGTTTCAGAGGACTTTACAGAGATGGTGCAATACACCAAGTAAATGAGTGGGGGAGGGGGGAAGAAGAGAGATGTTTGTTGGCACAGTAGAAAAGGTAAGATTTTAGCTTTTGAAAACAGAGAGGGGGGGGAAGATGGAGAAGTACAGGGAGAGAGTTCCAGATGGTGGGGACACAGTGGCCGAAGGCTTGGCTGCTGTTGGAGGGGCAGAGGACTCGTAACAGGCCTCTGTTTGCTGAGTGGAGGGGACAAGAGGAAGAGTGAGGTTGGGTGAGAATACAGCAGCAGGAAGATGCGAGCATGAGCAGCTTGAAGTCGATTCACTGAGAGAAATAGAGCCAGTGGAGTGTGGTGAGAATAAGGGTAATGAGCATGCAAAGTTCTCTCCAGGTAAGAACATGCGCTGCTGACTTTTGGATGAAGTGGAACTTGTGGATGGTGGAACTGGGAAATTGGTGTAGGGGAGTGGGGGGGGCATTTGAAAGTTGAGTCTGGAGGTAATAAAATGAGAGTTTGGGCTTTGTTGCATGTGAGATAGGGACGAAAGTGAGCAATGTGACAAATACAGAAAATAAGTCTTGGTTATAGATGTGAAGGAGTGCTGAGAATTAAACTCAAACATCAAGGTTGTGTACTGGTTCAGTGAATTTGAGAGACAGAGGGGACAGCAAGTGCTGGCAAGATTATGTGATCATGGAGGAAATCAAGTCTGTTCTCTTCAGCAGCAGTCACTGGATCAGCAGCAGAAACCGTGGTTGATTTTTCTCTTTCTAACTCAAGGGCACGATGCCAATTCTGGTCAGCAAACTCAGCACAGTCCAGTGATCAAACTGGAGACCTTTTCAGTCGGTGTGGCTCAGCTAATCACCGGATAAACTCACTGAATCATCAGGCAAGCTGGAAGGTCAGTGTTTATGAATAAGAAAAGACAAAAATATTTCATAGACTCAGCTTCTGTATCCCACATTAAACAGAACCTCCCTGAAGCGTTTCTTTGAACCAACTGATTGTGTTTCAAGGGCAAATTCCCTGTAACCATGGCGACACAGAAAGGTCACAGACAGGAGCTCACAACGGGGTTTAACCACAGACCGTGCAAAGCTAGTGCTAAAAAAAAGAATGCTGGAAACCTGACATGTAAAGAGAACACGCTGGATATGCATAAGCAGCTCTGAAGAGACCTACCAACATCATTAACTCGTGCCTTTCACAGTCTGATTAACACCGCAGTGCATTTTCTGTCCTGATTTCCCATCTGGTAGATGTTGTGATTCTGTACACTGTGCTTAGTCTGCACCTAAGATTCCTCAAAATCGGAACTACGTTTGACTGAGCTATCAAGGTTCAGGTGGAGGCAAAAGGATTTCCACAGTGACTGGGAGGGCTGGTAAAAGGGCTGTTGCTTGCATATCTCGCGGCTGGATTCAGACGCCTGGGAGCAGGGCAGTTCCGAAGCTCCATCCTGGGAAATCATGCTTGGTTTACTATTGACATTTAAAATTATCGCAAAGAAACCATAAATAATAAGTCACCAAGAACAGAAGAGCTGTGTCTAAAGCAGAACAGGTCACTAGGCAAATGTTTCAGTCAAGAAGCAAACATTAAATGCCAAACAATTTTTCTCTTCAGTTATCAAAAGATTTCTTGATTTGCGAGTTGGTAATGGTTCTTATTAATGAATCCTGTTAGAAATTGTCACATTTTACACACCAACACCCAGAAATCTGGCCACGTGCAAAAGATAATGAGGAACTGGCGCTTTCTGTGCAATCATACTGTAACTTGACACCATTTTTGGCAGAGAAGCAAGGAGTGGGGGAAGAGCTAGGGGAACAGTACCCACTCTGGAGGATTGATTGCCTTACCTGAACGCAGGAATTAAAGTGGATGCCTTGAGAATCATACAGGCAGATTTTCCGATTCGGGAGATCTACTGTCAGTAATGACCAGTGGATTTCCAGATGGACAGGGATGAGTAACAATGCTTTACTGAATAAATCCACCTGGCAGGAAAAAGGGAACAAATCCTTCTAGTTACATTATAAAACATCTCAAAAGCAGATACACAACACAGCTAGAGCTGCTTAAAGGAGGGCAACAAAGGAGTTAGTTGACAATATGAATATAAAAGTAATAAGACTAGTTACCTGGCTATCAGATAGAATGAAAGTATTCTATTTATATTTATAGCTTTTGTTTACCTAGCAGTAAGTAGGAACCTGGTTGTTAGTCGATTAGCGGCGTGCTTTCCGGGGGTAATAATTCCCACCGACGTGATAAGGCGCTATATCAAATGCAAGGATTATTATTATTATTGCTATCACACAACGCACCTTTTTTGTCCATCTCTTCACAGCGTTGTAACCTTTAGTTTGAAGTTGTTTGTAAAAGAAGCTGTTGAAAAAGTGAACCTACAGAAAGAAAGAAAATCTATGTTAGCCTGATGCCCCTTCCCTCCATTATCAGGTTACAAAATAGGGTTAACATACTCACTTCCTACATGAGCACACTTCATTTAAAAAAAACTACAACTCATCAATACCATGAGATTTCTCCATTGGACGTTTCAGCCTTGGTGGTATTCTTCACCGTGGGTCTCGAAAACTTATTTTTCTGAATAAAAAGCTCCCCAGCAAAATAACACAGGACAACTCAACAGACATACGAACAACTTTATATTTCTCTATCCATGCGCACAATATTTTCCTAGGTCAGAACTGCAGGCTGATCAGTCATCTCCTTGGCTGATCTTACACATTGTGGGAACAGATTCTTGAACTAAATAGGCTCCTTCTTTCCAGCCCACAGTGTCTCTTCAAGATTGGAGACCAGCTTGCCCCAACTGAAGTTGGAGAGTAAATGTCACTGGGAGCCCAATGCCTATAACCCAATAGTCTGCGCATCTACCTTATCAGGAACTGCATCCACAATCAGCTCTCCATACATATTGATCACCTACAGGGAAACAAAACATCAATAAGCTATTCAACTTTCATAAGCCATTCACCACAACACACTCCATTTGGCACTGGCAGGTAGATCATTCTATGTAATTCTATGTAACACCCATCAGTGAGACAATCTCAACATGTTAACATTGTTATACTGTGGGTAAACTGGAGAATAGAGTCGTACCTGGACAATGGATTACTGTTCCGCAATCCAACAGCAGGTGGCACTTGATTGCCACCTCATAGCAATTGCCTGGCAACTAGGTCCAATTGCTCAAATAAATGGGAATTTACTGCACAATCACTCGATACTCCCTCCAGTTTTCTGCCCTGACTGCTGACGTCAGTGTCTGGTAACTGGTGCTTAGGTAAGTTTCCACAAGAAGCCCTCCAGCACCTAATCTAAGTGGCCATTCACCATGTGTCAAACCCAGTGTATCAGTGACCTGTTAAGATTCTGGGACATCACAGTCGAGACCAAATAGCTGTCCACATGTCTCCCAGCAGAGATCAGTAGAAATCCTGACAAAAAGGTGCATTTCAGTAACCCACCCAATTCTGATCTGGAAGTTAAATCTGCCAATTCCTCTCCCAATTGATTTACAATTTATGAAATTAATACACGTTTGAAGAGGCCATTTCTGAACCTCATTGTACTTGACTCTAAATTGCACTGTAGACTTTTTCCTGTCATCAGTGAAATGCGATTCCCTCTCCCCTTACAGATAGAGAGCATTATCTGGACTATATCAACCAGCTGAACTGTCCCCTGACCTGATCATTCAACCAGTTCTCTCCATAAAGTGTGACCAGATCGTCCAACGTCAATACATGCTTGTTGTAAACCACCTGGAAGCTAGATGCCAGCTTGTACGTCCCCATCTTCTGGTACTTCCGAATCTCTGTCCGGATGAGGGATTTCCTAAAGTACATCAGAATAGAGAACAGGAAAGTCCTTTTTAATATTCTGCCTGAGTCACAAACTATTGCATCTGCCAGTGTACCGAGCCTTGGCCCAGCGCTCATTCGCCCACAAAATACAGTCAATCCATTTTACACTGTATCCTGTGAAACACTTTGAGACTTCTCAATAACGTGATAAGGCGCTATATTAAATGCAAGGATTGTTATAAGACCAAAGTGGAGTTCTTTTGCTTGGTAGTAACAAGTGCATTTCTGTTGTTGTTGTTGCATTTTAATTACAAAAAGGTACTGAGGTGTTAACCTTCCTGGCTCAGTAACACATCACATTACAGTCTCCCTTTGTAGCACCAGCTTACTACCTTGACAGATTGGTGTGGAGTGATGACATTCTGGAACCTCGCCCAAGTTGCCATTTTTCTTGTGGCAGCTGGACAGCAAATTGCAGTGGGAAACCGGATGTGGAAAAGTTGCAGCCAAGCACGATCCTGCACTCACCTGCATCCACATACAGCAAGAGGTAGCTGAATGGCATTTAGCTGTGAGAACCATGATTAATATGTTACTTCTCTAACGCATGGAGTGAGATCAATCGAACATCCCACCTCTACTCCCACTGCAGACCTGGTTGAGATTAAGATTCGCTAATTCAATACAGACAGGTGATCAAAGCTGGAGCCTTGCCAATGTGTATAACTGACCCATCCACTGACTAACTTAATTGGTCATCGGGTAAGCATAACATTTCTTTAACATAGTGAAACTAGGCTTATTTAGTGCATCGGTACCAATAAACTATAAAATTCAGACCTAACACCAATTGACTTTAATGTTGTGCAAGTGCATCTTTTATGTTATATTGTTATTCACTCCCACTAGTGTTTTATCCTGCTGTTGTATAGTTATCAATACTCGATCCAGATCAGTTTGGAAGAATACATAAGCTAGAAGCGTACTGCTAGTTTGTTTCGCAGATTCCAACGAAGTCAGCACATGAATATCAGACCCCTCACCCTGCTTCCCTAAAATCCAAGAGACAAGATTGTTAAAGTTTTGCATTTGATGTCTTTTTTCTCCTGAAGCAGAAAACTAGAGGATTTATAATAATCCTAATCCTTGCATTTGATATAGCGCTTTTCACGTCTTCTAGACATCTCAAAGCGCTTCACAGAATATACTGTAAAGTGGTTTGACTGTGTATTTTGTGGACAAAACACAGAAGCCAATTGCGCACAGAAATGCACCGGGACTGGAAGAAGACGCACCTGTCAGAGAAATCCTGATGAAACAGCTGCTTTAACTTCATCAGAATGTCACCCTCGTTTAGAGGGATGAAACTTCCATACTTCCCTAAAAATTCATCTAGGAAACCTGCGGAAAAAAACACAAAATCAGGCAATCATTCAAGTCCAACAAATAGGCAGTTGTCTGCTGAGAAGCACGTAAACAGAAGGCTTGTTACGCTCACTGGCAGATCATAAAGTCTTTTGAACCTGTGGTGGTCAGTGTACCCGAATGGGATACACTGCTGGTCTCACGATTTTAACACTCCAATATACCCAGGCTGTTTCACTCACCTGAAACACCTAAGTTTGTATCCCAAAGGGGATACAAGGACAGCAACAGATTTAATAGGGTTATCATCAAATCTGTCAGAGAAGCTGACTGCTGTAGACCAGGATCCAAAATCGAGAGTAGTAATCCCAAAGAACAGATAACCAGTGCTTGCTGCCTAAACCATGGCTCATACCAGCAAGTTCAGATCCTGCACCTTGTCTGAAATATCCCACGAAATATCAACAACAACAACAAAATTACTTTTGTATAGCGCCTTTCACTATTTGAGCTAGCAGCTCTCATACTTTTTTAAGCTATTTGAATAACCATTTTTCATTCATGTGTAAGCCCCAACAATGAATGTCAGCAAACTACTTTACTTTAGAGGGGAGAGGCTGTAAGCTATCACAACAAGCCTGATTCAACCCCTACACAGAGGCAGTTTCCAACAGCCTGAACCATCGCTAACACACTGCAGATTGAGTCATCAAGGGATCCTACAGACATTTCTGATGATCTGATTTTTAATTTGAAATCCAGTCTCTTCAGTGTATAAACAGACTGAATGGCCATTCCCCTTTCTATATAAGACAGAGAGAAAGTGACAGAAAGAGAGAGGGATAAATATGCATGTCTTCCCCAGAAGAGCTGCTGCTAGCATGTCAAGGCCCTCTGGTTTCTACAGAGATAGACTAAACAATCTGTGGTGTGTGGCCTGGAGACAGAGACAAATCTGACATAGTATCTGATTTGGAGTGAGGTGAGAGTAACAGGGTTAGCCAGTGAACTAACAAACATGTTTTTTTTAAAAAAAGAAAGCTTTTCACAAGCTAAAAAGATTAGGAAAAGTCAGACAATGGTTTGAAAGCGCACTGTTCCTTTAAAATGAATAGCACTTTATAATAAATTGAAACAGGTAGTTTTGAATGGGGCCACTTATTCTTTAAAGCAGTGATGGTGAACCTTTGTGAGCTTTGTATGCTAGTGACAGTGATAGAAAATTGGAGGGGGGAGAAACAAATAAAAAACTAAAATTAAATGTAAAATGTTAACATCGATTTAAAATAATCACCAGCTTATGTGGTATTGTCCTGGCCGAGGAGGGAGCTCAGCTGCCACAGCGAGCATTCTCCCTGGCTGAATGCTGGCATTTGGCATTTTTGTTTGAATGCATGAGCTTATTTTACAGAACTGTCGCTCAACTCCCGAGTGCATCACAGACACATTACACAGGGTTTGGCAACACAAAGCACTGAGGTTGCTGGAGCAGCACTTGAGGCAGCACATGCCTGCTCAGCACGGGAGAGCATGGGGAGGACTGACAATTGTGCCTCCCACATGCTACTGGACCTAGTCTTCTCCGCCACGGGTTTGCCATCACTACGCATTCTGTTTGAAACTAACCTGCAGAACACAGCACTGGGCTGATTTTAAACCCAAACCAGACTAAATTGTGCACAGTATATATTGCACTAGTGGCCACAAATCAAAGCTGTATTATAGTCTCAGAAAGAAAAGGGGGAAAAGAAAGGTTTACTTAAACCAGCCACTGTACCATGAATACAGGATATTACGTGTTCACTAGAAACATGACAGGTCTGGGATTCCTTCTCCTTTCCCTTTTCGACACTTCGACCTGGCTGCTCAGTCCTTGCACCCGCATGCCCCGCACGCTCTTCCAGAGATCTATAGTAAAGATGATCCAGCAGCTGCAGTTGAGGCATGATACCCGGCTCATGGCTTTGCAAATATACTGGCTGCCCCGAATGGTTGACTGAAGCATTGGTGTACGCACAAGCAACTGAACTTGAGTCCGTCACAGTGCTGATGACCTGCGTCTCCCCATCACGAACTGGGGTCTGATTCGAACCCATCGCTTTGCATTTCTCATCAGTTTTATTACTGTTATTATTGTGCCCAATGAAGCCCTCACTGGAAGGAATACAACAAGGTGCTACCAGATGAATCTCTGAAGAATCCATTTGCTCACAACAGGCTATGTTTGAAACACCTTCAGCTTGGCTCTCTGGGCATGCACTCACATCCCTTTCGATGATTTCTGAGGCAGTGACATTCTGCTCTGAATCAACCTGCAAGTTCTGCCAGAACTCTCGGCCTTTGGTGGTACAAGCCTGTGAAGGAGCACTGCATGCTGCCATTTTATCCAAACGGTGGTTGACCTGACTCTGATTCCCACATACATTATCTGATGATTCCATTGGCTTTAGCTTCTCTTTGCTCAGGGCAGTACGGATTTTCCTTCTGTTTTGATGGTTGAAGATCCTGCAGCAAAAGCGAAACAGTGAAGGTTTACCGTAAAGCAGACGGATTCTGGGCCTTTTTGCTTGATACTTTGTCTTATGAAACAAATGAGGGATGACAAATTTGTTTTCAGTGATTTCAAAGCACCCTTTTCTATAATGGTTTGATGATTTCTGATTTGCAATACTGTCCTCAAATCCAACGTCCTCAAGAGGGTAAAGAGTTCCCTTTGCAGGGAGGTCAATTGGCTTTCTTGAGGAGCCTTTACAATAAACGTCTGGTTTACTGTTGGAATCCGGAGTTACACCGTCACTCCCCCAGTCTTCATTTTTGCTCCCTTTACCCACACCAACTTGGTTAGGTACCAATTGTAAAACTGTATGATTTTTCTCCTCAGGCACCTTGTTTATCATGGAGGTTAAGGAGACTTTTTCTTCCCGAGTTGCCTTTTTTAATCCATCAACATCTTTCGCAGTTTGTCTCTGTTGCTGCTTCAGAAGTGCCTTTCGTAACAGCAACTTGACCTGTCTTTTCCTGATTAGTAGCCACAGACGCTGCTTCTGCTGGTAGTAAAACCGCCTTTGGGAGGCCAGCGATCCTGCCAGTCGCTTCCATTTGTTCTGGTGGAATCTTAGCTGTTGTCTGAAGTTTACCTTTAAGGACCGTTTAGACAGATTACCATTGGTGTGCTCCTTCATACTCCGACAGTTTCGCTGTGAGAGAAAATAAAAACAAAAAATTCCCCTTTATTCACATGACATAATGCAATGGCTAGGTGCAGAGTAGAACTCCCCCTGCTCTCCCTAACAACATGCCCCAAATCCCAACCTCAGTTCCACACCAACTACCCATGTGGCCTTTCTACACAAGATTCCTAATTTAGCACTGACGTAAGAATATTTTTTATGCAGTAAGCACATCTCCACTTGGTACTAGGTTACAGCCGTCCCAGATGCATTCACACAGGATGGATAATTGAACTTGTATTTTTACAAGATATGAAAGCTTGAAACTTCTCAAAAGTGCCTCCCGGTAATCGCTGTCCAAATGCAGTGACTGTTTTTGTAGGCAAATGTTATTCTAATAATAATAATAATCCTTGCATTTGATATAGCGCTTTTTACGTCTTCTAGACGTCCCAAAGCGCTTCACAGAATATATTGTAAAGTGAATTGACTGCATATTTGTGGGCGAACTCGGCAGCCAATTGCGCACAGCAATGTCCCACAAACAGTCATGGATTGAAAATGACCAATTTATTATTGTTTTTGGTTTTGGAGGGATTATTATTAGGCTCTGTGTGGAGTAAGGAAACTTGCCCAAGGTTTCACCCTGACCTGGAATTGAACTCAGGTCTCTCGCTTGCAAACCGAGTGCTCTAACCACTGAGCTACAGGACTCCACATTCTGTTATGTTATTCCATCCCATAACTCTTGAGCTGGGCCACTGTGCAAAGGTTCAGGGAGGACGGTTTGGGCGGACATCGAAAGAGCCCACAGTAACTGTTTGGAAGAAGGGAGCGCGATCGCTTCTGATGTTCCTCGTTGGGCATTCCTTCCCTGGTCCCCAAATCCTCCCAACAAACAACAACAACTCGCATATATTTTTATATAGATATATACACACACACACACACACACATATGTACACACAGCGCCTTTCACGTAGGGAGGACATCCCAAGGATCAATGAAGCAGATCAATCGCCACATTGTGTGCGGTGTCTGTGGGGGATGTTTCTGGTCCACGATTCGCCCATCACAACAACCAGTGCACTTCAATATATATATATACACACACACACACACACACATATATATATATATATATAAACACACACACACATATATAAAGCAACTGACTGCAGGAAGCGGTGCTGGAGGGTGTATTGACCGTTGGTCTGTATCACTGCACTCACGAGATGGAAAGTGAAGGCGACCCCACGTGTGACAACCGTCTCCCACCGCAGACACAGGGGGTCATCGTGGCACAGAGGCGGCGAGGGAGGGAGGGGGGGGGGGAGGGAGGGAGGGAGGGGGGGAGGCCGCCCGCGTCTCTCACTCACTCAGTCAGTCAGTCAGTTAGTCAGTCAGTCAGGGCCTCGGGCTCAGCCACAGGCCCTGCCCCCGCGGAGCCGCCTCCCTCCCTCCCTCCCTCCCTCCCTGTGTCCAGCCGCCGCCAAACTGAGAGAAGCACCGCTCGCGGCTCCACACACTCCCACACTCCCTCCCTCCCTCTCTCTCTCCCGCTTTTACCTGAGCGGAGCCGCTACTCCCGCCGCCGCCTCCGCCGCCGTTGCTCCCGGGGAACCGCCATCTGCCGTCGGAGCTCTCCCCCCACCCTCCCACCCGCCACCTCCCCGAGCCCCGAGCCCAGAGCCACAGGAGGGAACCCCCGGCTTCGACTTCTCGTCACTCTCCGGGACCGCGCCCCCCCTGCCGGCTTCTGGCAGTACTGCAGCCAAGTGGGGCGCTTACTGTCCATCTGCCATCTCCATCTCCACCCACTGCAATTCCCCCCCACAATTCAGGCTCCAGGCAGGAGTCGTTACTGATTAATGATGATAATAATAATAATAATAATAATAATAATAATAATAATCCTTGCATTTAATAGATCACCTTATCACACCGTCGAGACGTCCCAAGGCGCTTCACAAAATGCACCGTAAACTGACCGTAAAGTGAAGTGACCGTGATTTTTGCCGGCGGATTCGAGTTTAATACAGTCGCCAGGAATTAAATTGTCATAAGGTTTATGGACTTAATGCAGAAAGGGAGATTAACGACCTGAAAGGGTATTTTTTTTCTTCAAACGGAAACGAGGATCGAGTCCACAAGGCACCAAACCGTTCAGGAGAATCTTCAGCAGGGGATGGTCTATCAAAATGCTTTTAAAGCTTTGATGACATGGCATCAGAAGAGCTCTCCCCTTTCACCATAACCACTAGATTCTGCTCCCTGAGCCACATCCCCCACACTCCACAGGTCTCCCCTCCCCTTCAACCCATCACGTTTAGAAAAGGATTGAAATTGAAGAAAAATTGTGTGTCAAACGAGGTTTATTATCAGAAACTTACATATACAAACCCGAGAACAGGATGATTTAACGTCATTGAGAACCTTCTGCATGTATAAAATAGTGCTGGATTTATTAAAAAAAATAAGAAAAATACTTACAGGTTGTGTACTTATTCTTTTTGAAACAAAATACAAAATGGGTCCACATTTCAACATATAAAATATAAATATAAACATCACCATGTGCTAAACAAAATACAGGCAAGAATATACATGTCATACCAGTAAAAAAAATGGTACAATGCAGTCCAAATAATAAAAATATAATCTTTTTGGTGCCTACTTTGTGTGTACTTTTCCTCAGTCTCTGATTGAATTATTGGGGGAAAAGACCCAGGGCAGAGCTCACCTTACAATACATATTATCTGCTGAGGTGTCTCCCAGAAACTGTGCGTGTGCTTTCTCTCCCCTCAACTCATCCCTTGCATTTGTTGGTTAAAGTCTAAACAAAGGGCGTAAATATAATTCAGCGAGCAGTCGATCTCTTTCAAGAACTTACAGAAAACCAACTTCAAAGTTAAGACTGAATTCTACAGTTTGAGAAATTGTGGAAGCTCGAAAATGCTATATAAATAGAGGAAATCTAGACCCAGGTAGAATTTCTCCCCCGATCGTTTCAATGATTTTCCCCCCTCCCAGAGCTAACTGACCAAGGTATTTGGAGATAAATAACTGAGTTTTGCAAACAGACCTCACTCTAAAAAAATCACATTGACTGCATCAATATGTAATGATATATCTTCTAGAGTTTAGTAATTTTAGATAAAAAAACAATTAGCAACTTCAAAACAAAAAATATTTATTTATAGGCAATATAAGACTTTCACAGTTAATGTCTAAATGTCTAATAGCTTTGGAGTTTATCATTCTATCAGGACTGTTATTGGGCTGTGTTTCGAGACAAAGAACCTCACAGTTAAGGAAATGTGTAGCAGAGATGGCAATCATATGCATAATAATTATACCATTATAGACAGATGTTTTACTTCAAAATAGTTGAGAAGTTAACACTTCTTGAAACCATTTAGCAGTACTTTTTTATGCTAGTCTGAATCCTACATTGGGTTGATGTTGGTTCATGGGTATCATGGTATCAGAATTGATGGGTGACCATTGTGGACCATCATCAGCGGATAGGTTACGACACGCTATGCAGTATTCTTCTGCCCAGTCTGCCCTGATATTCTCCTACAGGATTTGGTTTCAGCATCAAGCTCCTCATCAATCAACAGAGTGGTTATACTTCTATGAGCTTGCTTCCTCTGAAGAAATGCAAAAATCCAAGGATTTCAGAAACATTGACAAGGGTCAATGAAAGCAATATCAACATAAGCAATATCAACACATTTAGTCAAAACTGAAGAAGTAAGAAAACAGACAAATTTGATAGCATTTAGAGACATGAATCAAGGCGAGGTTGTAAATCAATGTTTCAGGCAGTTTCGAAAAGAGCTCTATTATTAAATTAACTAACAATTTGGTTGCTTTGATGAAATATCCTGGTTTTGTTCCAATTTCCATTCAATTGGCTGTCTTCTCCGTATGATTACAGGACGAGTTCACTGAACATCTGAAATGGTTAAAGACAAATTATCCTATTGCAGGCGTTCATTAATTAATTTGACATCGGAATGGAATCGAACACAATTCATCTGCTGAATATCATAAGTGTAGTGACTGTTATGTAGGCAATTGCAGCATCTGATCTGTGCCAGCAGGATCTATCAAACACAGATCAATCTGTTTATTTGGTGGTTTAGGATCAGGGTGGAATGCTGATCAAGACAATAATGGTACATAATTTTTTTTTACATCCACTTGAAGCACTAGACCATACCTCAATTTAGCATCTTATTTGAAGAATTCCATTTCTAACAATGTAGCTCTCCTCCAGCACTGCACTGGAATGTCAGCCTATATTGTGAGATAAAGTCGGCTCCAATGATCAGCTGCAAACAGTGGGTTGGAGCTGAAGTTGTCTGACAAGGTCTCAGGCTTGGTATATCTTCTAAGCATGGATTGTTTCTAGTCAAACAACTATTCACTTTTAGTTTCATGGTTGTTCCAATTGATTCCGATACACAGAGCTGTTCACAGAAGGAGCTACTGACCTTCATGAGGTGATGCTGCAAGCTGTGGGATTTGAAAAGTTTTGACAGTCGCTGGTCCTTTACCCATTGTGGACATAATTTGGACTTTAATCTGATACAATGTCGATGGTTGAAGATTGGGGATCGTCATAAATGGTTGATTCTGTAAACAAAATAAGAGTGGAACAGCCCAAATCTCAACCCTTATACAGGGTACACGACAGGAATAATCTGCAATATATTTGAAGTCTAAAGATAGTCTATAGATAGAACAAAGGATATCAGGATACAGGCTGGAATCTTCATTCAGAGATTTAAATTGCTGCCAAAACCAGACAGGTGTGCAGTCATGCAGCATTGTTGATGGCTCATCAATGAGTCTCTGAAGGTGTCACACTTCTTTCCTTGTGAGCCAAAGATCTGATTGATAAAAGCCAGTACTAGGTGGGCATATACCGTCACAAGAGACCATGATCCACATAGCAACTTACCGGTGGCAGTATTTGCATCTGGGAAATGGCTGGTACAACATCTGGTAAAATGTCTGGTCCAGTGACAGGTCTGTTGACGGTAGACACTTTGGTCCAGTTCAGCTGGTAGCCAGTGACCGGCTGGTGGAGGTGCTGGTTCAGTGAAACCCGCCAGTGAAATTCTCCGGTGACTGAGCCATTCACAGCAATGAATGCAGCAGTCAATCGCTCCGGCCTCAATGTGACCTTCCCAGAACCTGGACTAGACACTGGATGACGTCCTGGTATTAATGGAGAAGAAAGTTGAAATTTAACAGCTGCTTCATGCCCAAGTATACACCAGCATGGATTAGTTCGGCCAAATGGCCCATTTCCATGCCCTCTATTTAAGTCTGTAATTCTCTATATACACTCCTTCAGTGGGCAGTTTCTACATACATGTGCAGTCTGTACATACACTCCTTTCAGGTACATACAGTCTTATCAGTTACAGTGTACGTTTTCCTCACTGACTTTAATGGCCAAAACTTTTCTTCACTCACCGTCCTTTGTACAAAGTAGGCGTTTAGATCTCTTGACCTTTACCAGGCTGCTGCACTGAGGGGTCATCACATAGGTCACAACCTCGGCCCCCTGGCCCTGTGGCAGGAGGGGCTGCACAGTCACCTTATACTCACAAGCAAATAAGAGACCGGTGATAATGAAGTGAGTTTCCTGAAGAAAAACACAGGAAGAAAAAAGGACTTATTCAATAAAGTGCAATAAATAATTCAAAACGTATCTAACATCTCATCCAAAGGACAGCATCTTTATCAACGCAGAGCTCTCCCAACACTTCACTGGAGTGTCTGCCTTGATCGTCAGTTTAAAGTCCTGAAATACAGCTTGAACCCACAATCTTCTGACAGTGGCAAGAGTGCTACCTACTATGTCAGGCTGGAATACATGGTTTTAGATAATTTGTGAATAAGAATAATCTCCTCCATTCCAGGCACTGACATACGCTGGGGTATGATTCCCCTGGCTCCAGACTCCTTCTGTACTTCATTCATTTGCCAGTTCATCATGTGTGAGACCAGAGAGAGAGTGCTGACAGGATATTTGATTGTGAAAATATCATAACCAAGTTCAATCCTGTGCTTCGTCAATGTCTATATACTGTACATACACTTTCCAGAATAGGCCATTGGATAGCGTTCAGGGTACCACAAAGTCCTCTTACACCCCCCCACCCCCATTAGAAAACAATGATACGAGACTTCGTAGGAGCTGAAACAAGCTGTCAGAGATGCATTTCGCCTCATTATGGAAGATGTTGTAATGAACATGGGGACAGATCATTATCTGCCATGAAAATGATAGCACTCACACTGATTCTCTGTGTGTCTAAATACAGCTAAACACTTGCACTGAAACAAATAAGTACTTCTGAATGCAATTATCGTCCTTCTTCCACATGTTTCAGTTGTTGGTCAGTGCATTGATTGAAGCTTCTAACTGAAGCTTCCTGAAGCACCAATGAGTTTCATGATACACTCAGATGGATCACTCCACTCATTAAGCATTTGGCTTCCAGGGTTAAGCACGTCTACTCCTCTAGGTCTCATTGAAAGGCCTGACAAGCTGGTTGCTTCAACAACCTTCCCCGTCCCCCCCACCCCCAATCCCTAGGTTATTTGTAAGCACGGATCCAGAGGTGTCGAAGATACTGCTCAGGTGACTGCATGATCGAGAATATTTATTTTACTCAGAAACTATGTAAGGAACTAAAAGGTGTCATCGGGTTAGTGAAAATGTATTTTAAGTATTGATTCTTGAACAGGACAATGTACTGACCCTGACAGTTGTGTGTTGCTGCACTTGAGAAGCATTCCTGCTGCAGGATTCTGGGGCCCACTTCAACAGATAGGAATTTAGATCCTTGAGACTTTCTGGAACAACCAAGAAAATAATTACACATTTTATTAAAACTAATCCGTCTAAATCTCCTCATAGGTTTAATATCCTTCCCAAATCAAACCAAAATCCTTTCACAGTTTTGTTCTCTATCTATGAAATCTCTTCCAACCTATTCTCCAGATTTCCATCCACACACCCAGAGAAAATGACAATTCTGGGAACTCTAAGAATAAACGATCATCAGTCACTCATTATAAAGCACAGTCTAACCACGCTGGATCGGATTCATTAAAAAGAGCTTGAAGCAGAGGCAAGCTTTATTTGTCAAATTTAAAGGGAAATCTTTTTTTCTCCACTGCCCTATTCTTGTGCTAAAGAAGTTTGCCTCATTCTTCCTTCACTGGGGTTTGGGCAGATAGTAAATGGCAGCTGCTCATGAATGAGCCTGGATAGTGGAGATCAGCAGGCTACTTTGACCATTGGGACTATCGCAGTTGAGCTTAATCCTATTCTTACTCAATATGTACTTCACAGTAATCTGGAAGACTGAGTAACATAAGTAATGCAAATTGAGCCTTAGTCAAGGTTCAGGTTGGTTTACCTTCTTCTGCTTTGTTCCAGTATACTTTAACTTGCAATTGGTTGCCATGGTAATAGGGGGCTGCTGCCTCCAGTCTCCGAATGCCAAGTTTAGAGCGAGAGGATGGAAGCTCATTGGACCCTTTGCCCGCAGTGCTGCCTGGGATCCACTCTCCACCTGTGGAACAGAACTCATCAAATGCTAACTCATATGCCGCCACCGTCCGCCCAAACTCTGATGTCACAAAAATGTTCAGAAAATGTTCTGACATTCTGCTATAAAGGAAATTAACAGGCAAAAACCTTGGTGTAACAAATCATCTCAACATACCATACTATGCAAACAAATAGCAAATTTTGGGGAACCAGTAATTCCTATGCAATTAAATAGAGTATGCAATTATCTGATAAGCAATTAAGTGGAGTGCACTGTACCCCAGGTAAATCTATTGCCCCCTAGCAGTGTTCCTTAGCACTACTAGGGGGCAGTAGAAGAACAACCTGAAGGGTTTCATCACCCTTACCTGTGACAGGGGTATTAAAGAAAAGCAGGGCTTTTTTGCTCTTCAGTCGTTTTTGCCCCCAAATGGCCACCGCCTGCACCTGCACCAGATAGTCTGTGTTCGGCAGCAGTTCTTCTAGTTCCACTTCATTCCTTGCCTGGAAAAGAAATGAATCAGTAACTTCAGTTACAAGTGCTCGGAGTCTCGGCCAGAATTTGGCTTTGCCTATTGTGCCTATGATGTTTGGGGCAGTTGAAAGCAAAGTTCCCCCCTTGGGGTAGATCAACAACAACAATAATAATCTTTGCCTTTGATATAGTGCCTTATCAGGTCATTGAGACATGTCCAAGTGCTTCACAGGATATACTGTAAAGTATTTTGTGGGCAAAACGCAGCAGTGTCTCACAAACAATCGTGGATTGAATGACCACATTTTTTTTGGTTGGGGTGGGATTATTACCCCCAGAAAGTGATCCACCAAACGGCTAACAACCGGGTTCTTAACTACTACTAGGTAAACAGAGGCATGTGGATTAAACAAACCTTCATAAGGTTTCACTCCGGCCGGGAATCGAACCCGGGTCCTCTCGCTTGCAAGATAAATGTGGTTCAGCTGTGGAAGCCAACACTTTATCCAGCAAAGTTAAACACTTTAACCAACCCCTCTCAAAATCTTGGCTGTTTGACCCAAGCACTCAGTTCAACTGTGTTAGAACAAAATGGGGATATCATTTAGAAAGACTTCTGAAGAGTTGGAGGAGAAGTGAGAAGCATTGCAGCCCTAACCATTTATCCATGATTGAAGATTATCCCTTGAAATTCCCAATATATTTTTTAGGAAAGTAAACGGCTGCACTTTCGCTACACAAAGCCAGTAAATACATCACACGGGCTTGAATGGCCGAACTGGTACTTGTGATTGAAGCTTAGTGAAACATCATACAGTCGAGCACGTCACATTCACTGAACTCTCTGACTGCGCATTTTTGGAATGAATAACATTGCTCAAGGCTGGTTGTCATGGTGACTCTGGTAGAAGGTGCAAAGCAGCAGTTGTTAGCGAATTATCAGACCGTGCAATCCTTCCACCAAGGGTTCCTACAAGAGCAACTCCATCTGTCTTCCCCATGCTCTCCTTTCCCTGCGTGTGTTCGTCCAGCTTCCGTTCAATCCCAACTGAACACAAACGTGTGTCACTAGCGGCTGAGTTGTTTGTTTATTCGATGAGCAGTCATTCCCAATGCGATCCAATTTCACAGGCAACAGGTAACACAATTCTCTTCCCCTCCACTCAGTTTAGAACTTACTCCTTCAGTTATCTTCCAATTTTCCCTCCTCACGGGCAACATGCCTTTCCTGGAAAGCCTCTGGCTCCAGAATACTTTGTAGTGATGGATTGCCACGTCTTCCTCTCGGGGAGGGTCCCATTGAATGGGAACAATGAAGGTGCCATCGTGCCTTGCAGTCCAGTTGCCCTTCTGTACATTTCGGGGTGCACCTGGTGGTGAGGGATCTGTACGAAAGATAAAATAACTGGTCACTGGAAATGAACCACAGGCTGCAATAATAATCCTTGCATTTGATATAGCACCTTATCACATCTTCAAGATGTCTCAAAGCGCTTCAGAGGGTATACTGTAAAGTGATTTGACTGTATATTTTGTGGGTGAAATGTAGCAACACAGCAGTGTCCCACAAACAGTCGTGGATTGAATCACCCAATTATTATTTTTTGTTTGAACTATTACTCCGTGAAAAGCAATCCGCCAATCAACTAACATCCAGGTAAACAGAGGCATGTGGAGTAAGGAAAATTGCCCAACGTTTCACCCTGCCTACCTCCCTGACCGCCTCACTCCCCATTAGACCACCCGGTGCCTCCGCTCGACTGGCATGAGCCTTTTGCTTGTCCCTCGCACCCTCTGCTCCACCATTGGAGGTCGCGCTTTTAGCCACTGCGCCCCCGAACTATGGAACACTCTCCCTCAATCCCTCTGCCTTGCACCTTCTCTCCCTTTTCAGTCCTGCCTGAAAACCTTTCTTTTCGACCGTGCTTACGGTCACCCACCCGGCTTGAAGTCAGGTTCTGCAACGGTTAAGCACTCTGAGACTGCATGCAGGGTGCTATTTAAGTGCAAGTTGTTGTTGAGTGCTCTAACCCCTACGCTACAGGACTCCACAAACCAATCAGAAGATTGGGAAGGATTTGTTTTGGTTCAAGCATCACACCCTCAGGATCGGAAAGAGTAGGAGAGAAAACAAGGAAAATAACCTGAATTTATGTAGAGCCCTTCACATAGGTTAATGTCTCAAAAATGGGCATAGTCGCTGAGCAAAGGAAAAGGGGGAGGCAGGAATGGAGTGGAGACCTTAGGCGCAGTTGTTTTTAAAGAAGTAGTGTTTAGGTGACTAGTGGTTTGGGCTTTAAAAGCCTACAGATTAATTAGCATCTGAAAGAGGAAGACAGGTTAACATTTAGCATGTTACCTTCACTCAGACCAGGGTTGGTGTTGCCCCTGTATAGGACCGAGAGGGGCACCTAAGACAAGAACAAAACCAAGGACATCAGGCAGAGGTGAAGGAATTCTGCTCAGACACCCATCTCCTGCCAGATCGCAGGAGCCTCCTTTGGTTGAAAACTTGATGTTGGAAGTCAAATTGAGTTCCATGTTGTCAGCCCCCGACACATCCAAGTACTATACGTGCAGGAATCGCTACGTTCAAAATCAGGTGCTTGCAGCTTTGCCCTTTGATTGCTGTGTTTCCCCCCAGTGGCTGGGGATGGGTCTACAGGGCAGAGAGCAATCAGAACAAATGGCTTGTGACAGCGACGGGTTTGGCTGTGGTACAGGAACAGGTTATTGATCACGGCTGACTAAGAAGTGGACAGAAGAAATAATAATAATAATAATAATAATCCTTGCATTTGATATAGCGCTTTTCACGTCGGGAGGACGTCCCAAATTATATTTGTGGGCGAACGCGGCAGCCAATTGCGCACAGCAATGTCCCACAAACAGTCGTAGATTGAAAATGACCAATTTATTATTGTTTTTGTTTTTTTGGAGGGATTATTATTAGGCGTGTGGAGTAAGGAAACTTGCCCAAGGTTTCGCCCTGCCTGGAAGTGAACTCGGGTCTCTTGCTTGCAAAGCGAGTGCTCTAACCACTGAGCTACAGGACTCCACGATGAAAAAGATATAGGTGTTTGTGTACAGCTCAATAGCACTTTGATAAATTAGCCTCTCGTTGGATTTCAGTGAGAAACCCACTGTTTTTTTGAAGCTCACGGAAACAATTAGGGGCTGTGGTAGCCTGAGTGTCAACAAAAACACAATATAGTTGAATTTAGTTAGTGAATTTCATTTCTCTGAAGTTCCCTCTCTGACTCATCATCTTTTGTTGAGATTCCGAGGGCTGACAGCCACTTCATCACTCGGTATAGTGCGCCGAATCCTTACAGAGGGCTATTGTCACAAGTCAAACTTCAAGGCTTGACCTCTTGTTCAAATACTCTCCCCCCACCCAACTTCCTCCTCTTCCTCAGTAGCATTTGTTTGAATTACATTTCAGAGAATAAAACCATGGCTCTTCTTTTTTTAAAAATATACAGGGGAACCATCAATGAAATCATCCCTTTATACTACACATGGTATAATATAATCCCTTTATATAGGAGAAGCTCAAAGCCTTCAGTGGGCCCCTGACGCACCTGTTTAGGGTTGCAAACCACACTGAGGTTTCTCTGAACTCCTCAGCCCTTTGACCCAGGGCTAATTGTTTCATGTAATGAAATAAAGGAGAAAAAGCCAGCACTGGAACAAGGGCTATTTTATATTGAGAAATGATAAACCTTTGATAACATCAAGGCCTGCAGTCCAGACTCCTCAGCTGTCACTCGTGTCTTTTCTTCGTCCTGTTATCGGGACGAAGTTGTCTTTCATCGCCAAGGGTTTGGGCTCTGAGCTGGGAGGCTGCTGGCTGGAGTTTCCAATCTGTCATTTTCTATTTAATTAAAAGTCCAAAGACACAGATTGTTCTATGTGCTTCCCTTCCCCTAGTCTGTGCCTTATGACCAATCCAGCCTGCTTTCATGTGGAGTAGCTAATTAAACAAATAAAATTGCAATGAAATAAACATCAATAAATATTTCAGTGCTAAATCTGTCATAGTTGCTCCTGGTCTCCTTTTCTTGACCATGCTTGTTTGCAGACACTATTTGCTTTAACAGGGACAGGTGAAACCTCATGATTATATGACTCGATATGGAGAGAAATCTTAACAAACAGAATTTGGCGAGCCCTGATTTGGTTCTTCTAAGGCAGTGTTTTTCACTAACTTGTAGTCGAGGGCCTCAGGCCCAGACACTATCTTCTCTCTGATGTTCAATATTGTAACAATTACAGCCATATGGGCCAAGATGCTTGTGTCACATGAGATGACTTTAATCTCATTTCATAGCCTGGTCCTCATACACAATTCATGGTTTGCCCACTGCCCATGATAAACTGAGGCCACAGAATTAACTCCATCCCTCCCTCACCTCGGGAGCAATGGAAGTGTTTGCTGGGAGTAGTATAGCCCCGTGTTCCGTGGACGTTGACTGCAGCCACTCTGAACTGGTACCAACGACTTGGCTGTGTGTCTTTCAAAAGGATGTGCTCCTTGGTTGTCTGTGCCAATAGGAAAAGAGAAGTGAAGAGCAATTATGCTGCTTGGCTCAAGTGGAACATTTCTAAAAAGCACAAGGATTAAATGGTAACTTTTTTTTGATTGTTCACCATTTTTGTTTATTTGCTACTGCGCACATCTACATTCACTTCATTTCTAATTAATTGCTGTATGAGCATCGTTTTGCATGAAAGGCGCCAAGCACAGGTCAGTTGCTGCAGTGTGCGAAAGACAAACTGTGAAAATGTTTGTTTCAGATCTTAAAATTTTTAGCAAAATGTATTAAGCAGCGTGCCCTAATCTTTGATGTTCTGCTCATCTGCAAAGCTTTACCTGAGCGACTGTCTCCCACTCGCTGGCTTCGTCTTCGCTCGGATGTATCCCGGAATTCCATCTTCTCTGCAGTATGTAAAACACTGGTTCCATGGACACATTAAACCTGGACATCCAGGTCACAGAGAGATCTCCGCTTCTGCCTTCCTTGTAGCTCAGCTCCTTCCTAGGTTTCAGCGGGACACCTGGGTAAAAAAACAACACCTTCCAACATGCCAGAAGTCCACCCAGTGGAACATCTGTACAATACATCTACCAACGTGTGCAGAAGTGATATATAGGTGGTGAGGGGATAAGGTTCCAGCCTTTTATCTCTGAGATTTGGGATCAAATCTAGCCAGTGTCATTGAATAAATGTTTCTCCTCTCTGTTGGTTGTATTAGTTTTTGAATTTACAGCAATAAACCTACCTTTAATCAAGCGTCAGAATAAGAGATGGAAAACGTCATACTGGTCCAGTTGGGGGGGCGATCTTCTCGACTTGGGGCTGAGCCTCATTGATAGGTGCTGGGTAGAGGAAGCTTTACTCTGCATCTAACTGTACTACACACCTCACCTGAGTATGTTTGATGCTGACGCTGGGTGCCTACAATAATGAAAGTGTTCCATTTACCACTAGCATCCCTCACCTTGAAGAGCACAAAATCCCCACCAAAATAGAAGAGACGCAACTATGGGGAGTGTTTGTTCTGAAGATCAATTGAGGCAGTGAACAAATATCAGCTGCTCCATCATAAACACAGACTGTGGTGCCCCCAAATGCCTGCTCCTCTAATAGTGTGCATGACCTGTATATACAAAAGCCAAGACCGAGACAGGGCCAATTAAATAATTGCACATGTGTTTTATTTCAATATGCACTGTGGAAAATGGGATGTCACTGTCAATAGTGCACCTTCCTCCAAATCTCTAAATCTATTCATTCCAGTCGGAGAAGGAGGGGTTATATTGCTTCATTGCCAATAAGGAACTTTTCTTAAACCTGTCTTAGTATATTTTGCCGTGGGGAATGGTAGAAGAGGGAGTCTCTTATACAAATCCCCTGATGGAACAGTTGCAGGCCATCTCACTGCCTCATCCATTTGCACAACTTACCCTTGAACATATGTGTTGGTGTCTGGCAGGTCTGGCCACAGCCATTAGGACAGCACTTTCTAGCAGCCGGACACTCGGTGTCTGTGGTGCAGCTCTGAACGCAGGCTGCGGCAAAGCCAGAGGCTCTCTGTGGCGGTGGGCAGTTTCCTTGTTTCACCGTCTGGATGGACTTCAGAAACTCACAGCTGGTTAAGCATTCATGGTGCTTCTGGACGAAATAATGAAATGCACTGAAACATTCCGCCTACAATGCCGAACCCACATCTTACTGTGTTCCATACGGAAGCTTTCCACCTAGGCTCTTGCCAATGTATCTAAGCTTCCCAGCAACTCATTGAACCTTAGCGCAACCTTGACATTCAGATTGACTCTTAGCTGTTTTCCTCCCACTCATATCTGGTCCCTGACCAAAACCCACTTTTCTGCACCTTTGTCACATCGCCCACCTAGGGCTCTATCTCAGACCTAATGTGGCCATTCACATCTTTGTCATCTCCAGGCATGACTTTTCAAATGTCCTCCTCACCAGCCTCCCCAGCTCCAACATTCATAAGCTCCTTCAGGAGAGGAAGAGAGGAAACTAGACAAAGGCGCAAAGTAAAAAAAGGCCCTAATGACATGTCGGTGGCATTTTGTGATAAGCTGTACATCTAGTTCCAGCATTGCATCATCTCAGTGTTCATATGTAACATCCTTCTTTATTTATAGTTACCCAGTTAGGATTGAATTGAAGGAAGCTCTTACCTCACACCTTTGCCAGCACTGGTTATGGTCAGTGTCCCACAATTCCTTACAAGGCTGTAAACACTGAAAGATGTAGAACAGAAAGAAATTACCATTGCAGCCCATCAATTACAACAACCCTGTTCCCGTGTTATCATCTTTATTGAGCCTACAATCCTCTGCTCTCGTGTAACATATACAGTGGAATCTTGTTAATTCTTCCATTTGATATAGCGCTTCAGCACACAGAAGCATCTCAAAACACTTCACAAAGAGTTATTTGAAGTATTCGGGTAGTTGTGTAGGAAAATGCGACAGGCAATATATAGCAGCTAATCTGCAGCAGCGATGTTACACTAACAGCAATGGGAGGACAGGAGGTTCATCTATTTTCCTCTTTCAGATGCTGATTAATCTACTGTGGATCCTTTCTAGCCCTTTCTGGTGTTTAGCACATGAAGAGCGCTCTATAAATGCAAGTTGTTGTTGTGGTGGTGGTGATCAGATTTCCACCATATGTAGTTTGTTTTCTCTATCAATTTTTCTCCTCTTTTCCTGAAGGCATTTGACTCTTCTTCAAGTGCACTGGTTGCCTTTCAGTATCTCGCCCAAGTAACTATTATTTTTGTGTGAGCTGTGACAATGGGCAGGATACTTGCCCACAGAAGCTGAACCCTAAACTGTCCTCAGCTGACGGTCACACAAATAATCTACCAGCACAGGAAGAAGCAGGCTTGGCTATGACGTTCCCTAAAGCCTGCCAGCGCTCATCTTCTGGCTTCTCGCATGCAAAAAAGCCAGCTGAAGTACAGGAAAGTGAGTGGGATTGAGGGAACAGTGCCTCACAATGAAGCAGGATCTTCAGGAGCAGAGAGATGAAAATCAATATCAGATGCAGTTAAATTATAAAATCAGTCAAACGGCACCTAAATATCCCTGCTCCAAAGTGATGGAAGTAGACTGTGAGCTTCCTGGATATCAGCTTTGACCCACTGTTGGTTACCAGCAGGATTGCCCGGTAGAACTCAGTCATTATTGATGAATGCCTTTGTAACCACTGTTTTTCAAGACTCCAAACCTGAAGCCAGTGAGACATTTGCAGTCCTGCTAAAGAGATTAATTTGTTTGCATTTTCTGATCTCCAAACTCACGACATTCCAATCTCTCTTGTGTTTCACGTTTAAAACAAGTTAACCCTCTTGTGTTTTATGATCTAGGGTTTAATGCCTGCAATGTGTTCCCAGGCACTGCATGACATTTTCAACGCTTCTCGTTTGGGCACATTTTTCAACCGCACATTTTTCGACCATGCACAAACCTGGGCATCTGTTGTGCATTAAACAGAACCGTCAGGCAATCTGCCATGAATTCAATCTTCACAAGAAGCAGATACAATCCCTAAATCAAACTGCCAGTCAACCAAAAATTAATAGTAAAGTTACTTCAAATTCAAATAATACGACTCTTCCTGAAACAACACAAGCACTCCACACCCTCCACAACAAGGAGTAACTTGGAACCAACATGTACCAAGTAACCTGCGAGATGTTTCGTAGCAATTGATGCGGTTTGAGACTTGTTGGCAGTTTTTACTAGCGATTAGCGTATTCCACGCAAGCACTTTAAGGAGTGTTTTTAAGATGGAGCTGTCCAGTATTGCTTCTTAAGCAGATTCCTTCATCAAACCTCAGGTTTCAATCAGGGATTTCTTTCAGAAACTGAATATACAGCATGCTCCAGAAGTAGACTACCACAAAATAAAAGTTTGCGTGGGTCAGTGTGACATATCCTAGTTACCCTAAGGAGTCCCTATTTGTAACTCGGAATTACTATTACGGAACCCCATTAAGAAAAAATGCACTTTAGACTCCAGATGAAACGTGTACACATTTGTGGCCCAGAACCACACAATACTATAATTTTCATCGGTCAGTGGAAAATTCAGTTTAGTTCACAAGTGCTCAGTTATGGTAGAACTGTGTTCCCATAGCTCTATTTTTAAAAAAAATCTCAAACCTTCTCTGTATCGGCTTGGGATAACATTAGATCCGTCGCACCCCGACTAGTTTGCAGAGTAACCCTGTTGTATTTAACCTTTCCATCTTCCCTGCCCTTCCCCACATTAAACTCTATGTCACTACAAAAGTGGATAACTTTCCCATTCACCGACTCCAACATTTCAGACATTTCATCCCCTTGTGGTATGGACAACAGATAGTGCCTGCCCCTGGAGCTCTGTTGCATCCTAAAACAAAGAGCAACAAAAAAAGAGATCTTCACATCAGACACCAGCCACACATATTGATGAAAGAGACCTAGAACTCCTAAGACATTAGAGACATGCACCCGGCTCTTTTACAAGTAGAATAAACACAGCACTGCAACTCAACAACTTCATGACATTTATCTATAATGCACAAGTGGTTTGTGAATTGAGGCGTGAAAAAGATCTACACAGCACTTACAGTGTCATAAAAACAAAGGCTGCTCAAATTATTTTCGCAGCTTGTGGTATAAATAGTAAAAAATACCTGAAGTGTCAGCAAGGTTTACTACTGAGTCACTGAGCCATGCAGTCCACGATGGTGCTAATTCATAATAATAATAATCCTTGAATTTGACATAGACTTTATCACATCTCAAAGTACTTCACAGGACATAAGATGAAGTGGATTGACTGTGTATTTTGTGGGTGAAACGCGGCAGCAGTGTCCCACAAACAGCCATCGAGTGAGTGACCATTTTGTTTTATTGTTGGCCAGGATACCCGGAGAGAGAAACTCCCTTTTCTTTTCAAATAGGTCCATGGGATCTTTAATGTCCACCTGAACAGGCAGACGGGACCTTGGTTTAACATCTCATCAGCGCCTTGGAATGTCCTCCCGACGTGAAAGGCGCTGTACAAATGTAATCTTGTTGTTGCTGAAGGATTTAAGGGATTTGTAGGTGCGATTCCTGGTCTGCTGTCTGTTCTCAGTTTGCGATCTCAGCCTGGGACGCACTATAATTGGCCTCATTCTGTGTTTCGAAGGTGAATATCAGCAATGGGTCCCTCTCTACCAGTCATATTTGTTCACTCGCTACAAAATGCACGTGTGTTGACATCAGGTCGCAATCGGATCATCTTCAGCTCCGATATCTCCTCCCTCCTCTCACCCGGCCCCCCATATGTGGCACCTGTTCCCTAGTAAAAGGTAAATGAAGCCCAAGTGACATCATGAAAAGAGGGCTGGGGGAAAGGTTGAGATGGAAATTGACTATAAAGGAAAAACATTTAAAAAAATAAAATAGTAGATTCTGGTCCGCATGCAGGCAGACTGTAACTCACTTATAGCCACAGCTGGGAGGTCTCTGGTTAGCCTCAGTTGAGGTTGATCTACATGCTGCAATTCTTCTATTCAGCAAATGGGCCATCACTGAAATAGTCCAGACAAGACTTCTAGCAGTGACTGGGAGGGGGTATTCAAAACCTTTCAAAATGGGGGTTCCACGATGCCATCCTAGCAGCAGGGCTCAGGCACCTGATCTGAGCAAGGATGAGTGACTGGGCCTGGGTGTGGCTGGGAAACTTAAAAAGACAAGAGAACAAACTAGGTTAGAAAATTCGACAGAAAACTCTCACTGGGATAGTTTAGGTGTAGGTTGATGTGGACCCAAGATTCATGGGAATGCTAGAGATTATAATCAGAGATTCCAGGAATTGCACCAATTCCAAAAGTTCCTTTTCCCCTAAAGACGGGTCACATAGACAGTAAACAGCTCTCGCCTCTCTAGTGCAGTGCGGGGGAAGAAATGGTCAATAGGAATGACAACATTTCACACATTATATTTTAAAAAAAGGGGCTCAACCTTTCTCGCTCCTTGACTCCACACCTTCCCCCACCAACATTTTTTTTTCTGATCACCGAGTCACTTCCTAAAATGTAGTGACATACATTCAACTGGCTTTGAATGGTTTCAGGTAGGTAACATGATTGGGAGCACAAGGTATATGACTGAACACACACATTTAAGGTTTAAAATGTTGATTCGCCTACACGGGGCTATCAGATAACAGTGTTGGTAATCTCCAGGTACAATAGCGTCCGCATCACTACGGTAACATCCGATCACTCAACATTGGCTGTGGAGTTCCTCCTGGTTTTGCTCATTCAGGTGCTATCACAGTATCTCTTCCTTTATTTGCTGGGTGAAACAGTTCAAATACATCCTTAGGCACAAGATCTCCAAGATTTAACACTATAACATATTCACCTCCCTCCCGTACAGCGCAAACCATTCAATCTATAACAAAAGAGAACCCAGATGAAACACTGAGGCCCACAGTGCAGGACAGTATTCATCCCAGAGAGAGCAGCAGAGATTAAAGAAAAAGTCAAGAGATCATGGTTCATCGGGTACTGTCTCTCCATTGATCCCTAGAGTTTCCTCTACTTGTTGTAGGCTTAGTGGCTGACATCCTGTGTTACATCGGGTGACAATAATTCTCAATAAAAAAAAAGGAATGATAAAAAAACTGTGCAGGGGGATGGAGAATGAAATGGCAACAGAAAAATCAGTGGAATTTGCTGCACAAAATGGGTTTAAATGAAACGCCACAAAAGTCTGACAGTCTCGGCAGACTCCTGCTCATTAATCAGCTCCTGCAACAACTTCTTAACCTCAGCGAGCTCCTTTTCCTTCTCTGACCTCAAACAATCATTCAGGTAAAGTAAGCCCTTAAATATTAAAATGCTTGTACATACTGGATTTCAAAAAAAAAAGAAATAGCTGGAGGCAGATCAAGTTTGTAACACAATCTATGAACAAATACATCAATCATCTGTACCCCTCGATTGCATGTGTCAGGCTTGGAGGGCATCTCATTTTGCACATCCTCCTCTACCAGATAGTAATCTGTCCCTCAATTTGTGCTGAGATAACAGACAAGAACGGTAATCCAGCACGATCTGTGACTCGATGCATTGCACAGTAAGGTCAATGGATAAGTCATAGAATTTATTGCACCAGAAGAGACCTACTGAGGTTTTGCTCTTTACTGGAGCTGCATAAAGTACAATACTCAAATTTCAATTCCCTGCTCT